GTGTAGTGACATGTCTTAGGGTGATGGTGTAGTGACATGTGTTGGGGTGATGGTGTAGTGATATGTCTTAGGGTGATGGTGTAGTGACATGTGTTTGGTGCAATGGTGTAGTGACATGTGTTGAGGTGATGGTGTAGTGACATGTGTTGGGGTGATGGTGTAGTGAGATGTGTTGGGGTGATGGTGTAGTGAGATGTGTTTGGTGCAATGGTGTAGTGACATGTGTTGAGGTGATGGTGTAGTGACATGTCTTAGGGTGATGGTGTAGTGACATTGTGTTGGGTTGATGGTGTAGTGACATGTGTTGGGGTGATGGTGTAGTGACATTGTGTTGGGTTGATGGTGTAGTGACATGTCTAAGGGTGATGGTGTAGTGACATGTGTTAGGGTGATGGTGTAGTGATATGTCTTAGGGTGATGGTGTTGTGACATGTGTTGGGGTGATGGTGTAGTGACATGTGTTGGGGTGATGGTGTAGTGACATGTGTTGGGGTGATGGTGTAGTGAGATGTGTTTGGTGCAATGGTGTAGTGACATGTGTTGAGGTGATGGTGTAGTGACATGTCTTAGGGTGATGGTGTAGTGACATTGTGTTGGGTTGATGGTGTAGTGACATGTGTTGGGGTGATGGTGTAGTGACATTGTGTTGGGTTGATGGTGTAGTGACATGTCTAAGGGTGATGGTGTAGTGACATGTGCTGGGGTGATGGTGTAGTGACATGTGTTGAGGTGATGGTGTAGTAAATTGTGTTGGATTAGTCGATCTGGTGTTAGGGTGATGGAGTAATGACATAAGTTATGGGGATTGTGTAGTGACATACTATGGTGAAATGACATACGTTAGGCTATTCAATCTGGTGATGGTGTCGTGATATATAAAGTGATATGACTTGTATGAGGGTAAACGTGCCATGCATTAGGGCAGTTGATATGGTCTGATTGCATCTTTCTACTTTAAATCTATTTAAAACACAAAATTATTGAACAAAATAATGATCTTGATGTACCAAGATCACGTAAGAGTTATCGTTCCGCGGCTTCTGTGCCACACGATAAAATGGCTCCCCCTCGTTGGACATGTACAATTTCGTCACGTCATTTTTGTTCATGTTGGTCGGTCTCCACGCTGCGTTCAAGGTCGGCCAGTTACTGGTGACGTCTTTCACAAAATCTTTGTAGTCCTGGGCGTCGTAGATTCGCTCTGAAAATTTGAAAAAAAATATATTGATATTTCCGGAGGGTGGACCACACTGGTTAAAGCATTTATCTATTTAAATGGGGGGAGGGAGGGGGCCTCGACCAAAAGCCTTAGAGTAACTCTGGATGCAAGAAGGTAAAAATCGATAAAAAGCGTGAGGTCTTTTGTAGATGATTAGATGATCCCGTTCTTTGTAAAAACAATACTTCGTTTTGAAGCTTTAGCAATAACTAAAAGTTGTGATAGTAGGCTATTGGAAATGTTCTTTGCAAAAATCTTTAGTAAAACTACTGACGGGTCTATGGTACATAGTTGTGTACTTCTCACTTCTTGTTTGTTCTCTGGTTTTTGTATCGGCTTTTCCGCTTTGAATTACGAAGTTAAAAAAAACATTGCAATAAATTATGGTCAAAGGGAAACAAACATGAAAATAATTAATCACGTAGTTTGGTGAAGGTTATCTCGCTTAAAAATCTTTTTTTTTTTTTTTTTTTTTTTTTTTTTTTTGCGTTAAGTTACATTTATTTAATTAAACACATGTTTTAAACGTATGAAGCGTTAGTCAAATATTTTTGTTAAATCTATACTAATAAATAGTAATATGTTTTTTTTATTAATATCAATTTCAAAATCACAAGAAACTATTTAAACATGGCTAAACTACACATTGAGATATTTTCATGTTTATTCCCCTTTTAGCATTCATTTGCTTCATTTTTCTTAAACTTTTTTTCACAAACATTAAACTTTCTTATATAGACTCGTAATTACAAAAACGTAATCGTAGAGTTTAGTAGAATATTATTTAATTATCAAAAACTGTTATTTATGGGGGGGGGGGGGGGGGGGATAGGCTGAGGGGTATCGTCAATTTAGTGGAAGTGGTGTAGCTTTTAAGTTTCGATGTGTAACGGTACAAAGAGGTTGAAATTGATAAATAGCGTGACGTCTTTTATAGATGATCCCTTTCTTCGAAAAAAACTCTTAGTTTTGAAAAAAATGTAACAATGACTTAAATTTGGGATAATATTTTAAATTTTTTATTTAAATCTTTATGAAACTACTTTTAATGGGCCTATGGTACATAATTGTATATTTCTAGTTTCTTTGTTATTTATGTATCGGTTATTCTACTTTGAATTTTGAGGTTTCAAAATATTGCAATGAATATACGGTCAAAGGGAAACAAACATGAAAATAATTCACCATGTAGTTTGGTAAAGGTTGTCTCGCTTAAGTAAGTTTTTTTTTTTAGTGCCATTTATTAAATTAAACACATGCATTTTCGTATTGAAGATAAAATGTAGATAATTTTTTTTTGTTAAATGCATAATTATAAATAGTGATATTTGTATTTGTTACTTTTAATTATCAAATTATCTAAAAAAATATAATTAAGCGAGGTAACTTTGGCTAAACTAAAATGTGAAATATTTTCATGTTTATTTCCCCTTGACCGTAATTTGAAAAAAAAAAATATTTACTTTAAATTCAAAGCGGAAAAAATAACTTATTTAAAATTTATTGTAGATTTCTTTGCGGTTTGCTTAACTACTCCCAGATCCTTCCCGGCGCCCGGGACAAACTTTCAATTTGGCGCCCCCCTTGGGATCAGCCTTTCAATTTCAATTTGCACCCCCCTCAAACTTTCAAATTCCAACCCCCCCCCCCCCCTCAAACTTTTAATTGGAACCCCCCCATATATGTTTTATATATTTATAAAAACATATGTAACCCCCCCCCCCAGCCCCCCCCCCCCTCGCTGCGACTCTGACTACTCCTACAACTGCACCCGCACCTACATCTATACCTACACGTACACCGATACCTACCCCCGACCTACCGACTGAATGACCGACACCAGTGGGGGGGGGGGGGGGGGAGGGGGGAAGAGGGGGGGGGGGCACTATTTTCATGGGGGGGGGGGGGGAATGTATATATTTTCTATATAAATTCTATTTCGTTAGGGGGGGGTAGACTTTTTTCATTGAGATGCCGGGAAGAAACTCTGGATTAGAAAAAGAAATATTTGCCCATGGCATGATATTTTTGATCTGAACATTAGAAAAACACTCAATTGTTAAATTTATACCAACTATTGTTGATTGTAAGATAAGATAAATGTGTCGATACAGACTGAATTAAACAACGATTTAGACGCTTCATGTTTGTCTCACAACTTGGCACCACCCAACCAGAACCGTTGTTACCATCTAGACAAGTTTTAGACTCGCCCGTTTATGGTCTGCTTTCTTCATAAGCAGACATCGACAGCAGCTCCCCATGTGCCCCGTACAGTGTTTCTTTCAGGTATCTCCTCGGGGAAGACCATCAACCTCTCACCCCCCCCCCACCTCAAACGAGTTTCAAATTTTCAAGTGCCCCCCACCCCTTTAAAATGTCTGAAAGAAATACTGGTCCTAAACTTTCTTCGAGCAGCTACCTAACTAGCCATGCAACACAGCACGTTATGCCATTTAGTTTCTATAAGCAGGCTATCTACACATTGAAACAATCCTTTTGGTTGACTCAGATTTAAGGGTTTATTTGTAAAATTCATGAAATAAAAATGTGATATTGAATACAAGAGGTTTACAGGTACCTTCTTGGATACATGACTGGTAGAAAGTTTTAGCAACAACAGCGTGGGCGTAGTTTGTCTTTGTGTTGATGGGTTCTGATAGTTTGGCTGTAGAGAGAACATTAGATGGGTTCTGCTGTAGAGAGAACATTAGATGGGTTCTGATAGTTTGGCTGTAGAGAGAACATTAGATGGGTTCTGATAGTTTGGCTGTAGAGAGAACATTAGATGGGTTCTGATAGTTTGGCTGTAGAGAGAACATTAGATGGGTTCTGATAGTTTGGCTGTTGAGAGAACAATAGATGGGTTCTGATAATTTGGCTGTTGAGAGAACATTAGATGGGTTCTGCTGTAGAGAGAACATTAGATGGGTTCTGATAGTTTGGCTGTTGAGAGAACAATAGATGGGTTCTGATAGTTTGGCTGTTGAGAGAACAATAGATGGGTTCTGATAGTTTGGCTGTTGAGAGAACAATAGATGGGTTCTGATAATTTGGCTGTAGAGAGAACATTAGATGGGTTCTGATAGTTTGGCTGTAGAGAGAACATTAGATGGGTTCTGATAATTTGGCTGTTGAGAGAACAATAGATGGGTTCTGATAATTTGGCTGTTGAGAGAACAATAGATGGGTTCTGATAATTTGGCTGTTGAGAGAACAATAGATGGGTTCTGATAGTTTGGCTGTTGAGAGAACAATAGATGGGTTCTGATAATTTGGCTGTAGAGAGAACATTAGATGGGTTCTGATAGTTTGGCTGTAGAGAGAACATTAGGGGGTGTGGGGATATATGTATTTTGGTGTATTTCATAGTGGTTTTAGCCACAACCTAGAACAAATTAACTAATTGTTGGATTAAGGTTCAATACCTTAACACAGTCAAGACGTAAAAATTTCATAAACTTTGATTTAAATAGATACTTTTATAATTTTAGATAATGTAATGCAAATGAGAGCGGATCTAAAAAAGAATATTCAAGTGGTGAAAAAAGTGAAAGAAAAAGAGAAAAGGAAAAGACATCAAATATTGAAAGAGACAGGAGAGAAAGTAAAGTCAGTCACAGTTAATGAAAGTTGCCGTTTATAACAATATATAATAACTAATGCCCAATTATATCAATCTAATAAACACAACTTTCTCAAGTTTACAATTACTGAATAGGTTTGATCGACAATCAAGTATAAGTGTATACGTTTACATTTGACGAAAATAAAATTAAACCAAACGAAAGAAACGAAGTTTACATTTGACGAATATAAAATGAAGCCAAAGAAAGAAACGTAGTTTACATTTGACGAAGTTGAAGTTGTTCCTGTTGAGGCTGTCAATGGCGTGCGCCGCCCCGGGAGTCGGGGTCCGGTACCTCCCACACGCGTACATGTAGAAGTCTGTACAGGGGTCGATACTCGTGTTCATCCGACTTTGTACCAGTTCGGCTTTGTGGGTGGAGTTTGTTGTTGAATTAGTCAAGTGAAAACCCCACAGGGTAAATTCAGAATGAAATCTAAAATCACTAGCATCCTAGTACTTTTAGTCTTTTAACTTCTAGAACCATTGTTTGATTTAATTTAAAAAAAAAACACTTACATATTCTAAGGCATTTTGGCGTTTCGCATACTGTCTGATTTTCTGAAAAAAATTATGGCAGAAAATGATTTTCTTTTAGTTTAATAAGTGATGTTTTAGCTGTTAAATGATTTGAAAGTTGCATTGGTGTAGTATAAAATAATACGATTGTACGGTTTTATGTACTACGATAAAATATAATAATACAAGTAATGCAAGAATACTACAATAATAAGTGCATTAAAGTAATACGATAGTATGTGCAACATCATAAGGGGATAAGTTCTGAAAATTATCGGATAATTATCAGATAATATCTGAAATATAATAATACGACATAATATAATGGTATCTACAACCTAGTAATACACAAATACGTACGGGTTAGCAGGGGCGTAGCGAGGGGGGGGGGCGGGGGGTGCGGACCGCACCGGGTGACACCATTTAGGGGGGTGACACCACGGCAAAAAATAGCAAAATATATAGAGAAAAACTCGAGGCGGGGGGTGCAAATCGAAAGTTTGAGGGGGGGGGGGGGTGCAAATCGAATACTTGAGGGGGGGGGGTGCAAATCGAAAATTTGAAAGTTTGTCCCTGGGAAGGGTCTCTATGCCTCTGGGGGGGGGGGGGGTGACACCATTAAGTGCCGCACCGGGTGACACCCGACCTCGCTACGCCACTGCGGGTTAGTATATATGTTAACCTAAATTTGATAATATATAAAACATAATAATACAAATTTGCACAAATAAAAGTATAAATATGATAGTTTGTACAATATAATAATATGGTAGTACGTAAGGGTATAACGTAAAAATATAATAGTATGTAAAATATAATACATCGTTTATATGTGAAATGTAATAATATTTTAGTATGTAGACCTCACCATACCAATATGATAGTATGTAGGCCTCACCATACCAATATGATAGTATGTAGGTAGACCTCACCATACCAATATGATAGTATGTACAACATACAAGTGCTGCTAGTAGACTTACTGATTGAAATTAATGGTGGTACCTCATATGGTCGTACGCCGTGGAAAAGAGTGTAGATAAAGAAGACGACGAAACAAAGTACCTTCGATGGTGTCATTGAGAACGTTGGATAGCTAGATCTGGATCTGTTAAGTAAGAGAAGACCACGTTTTATTAATTATTTTTATAATTCTTAACATTAGCTTTTTTTTAAACCACTCTCTTAAAGAACCCAAACCTGTTAGTTTAATAAAGATAAAAAATTAAAAAAAAAGGAATGCTGGATGTAAGAAATTTAACTTCAAGTACTGCGAGAATATGATTGTAAATTTGTCAGCTTCTGATTGATTAAATTAAAAAGTTGCAGATCAAAGGATGTAAATATAAGTTCCTTCTTTTAGTCACTCACCTGTTAATTAAGGGCTAGACACGCCTACTTGAACGTGGTAAATTGGAACAGGCAGCTAATGAGGTTAACAGCGATGCCTCAAACTTCCAAGTCCATCTGTCGAATGTTCTGATTACAAGTAATATCTCCGCTAATTAAAACCCAGTTGACGAGCTGGTAATTAAATCACGATCTGACTTATGTAGGACGGTGCTCATTTGTTGGAGATGTTTTTCATCAACTTAGACATAAACATATAGCAAGATGTCATGAACAGAAAACATCTAATAAAACATATCAAATTGAACATATCATACAGTTTATATTTACTACAACCTATCTTGCAACGGCGATTCGAAACTGATGCTGTGTGTCGTAATGAAAATAAATAATACAACCACAAAATTTATAAGTCGTCTCAAACTACACAATACAACCCCAGAATTTATCAGTTGTCTTAAACTAGACAATACAACCCCAGAATGTATCAGTGGTCTCAAACGCCACAATACAACCGCAGAATTTATCAGCGGTCTCAAACTACACAATACAACCCCAGAATTAGCTCTCAAACTAGACAATACAACCCCAGAATTTATCAGTTGTCTCAAACTACACAACTGATAATATTACGTATCTTCAACAGTAAAGATATTGGGATCACAAGAATGAGATGCCTTTCATTGTTTATCGATAAATTTTAATTAAACAGGTGTAATTGCTAGTGGTTCATTATGGGTTTTCTTCTGGTTATGTGTGTATGTGTGTGTGTGTGGATGAGTATGTAGTATCAGCGTCAATGGATAAGCGTGTGTGTGTGTGAGTGTGTATGTGTGTGAACACTTAAATAGTATTCTTCACCTTTCGTGACCTCGTACACGTGGAGTTTTTTGGTCAATGTACCCAGGTGTTGTGTACCGAAGTGTTGTGTACACAGGTGTTGTGTACGGATGTGTGTGGGTCAATGTACCCGGGTGTTGTGTACGGATGTGTGTAGGTCAATGTACCCAGGTGTTGTGTACGGATGTGTGTGGGTCAATGTACCCGGGTGTTGTGTACGGATGTGTGTAGGTCAATGTACCCAGGTGTTGTGTACGGATGTGTGTGGGTCAATGTACCCGGGTGTTGTGTACACATGTGTTGTGTACCCAGGTGTTGTGTACGGATGTGTGTGGGTCAATGTACCCAGGTGTTGTGTACGGATGTGTGTGGGTCAATGTACCCGGGTGTTGTGTACACATGTGTTGTGTACCCAGGTGTTGTGTACGGATGTGTGTGGGTCAATGTACCCGGGTGTTGTGTACACATGTGTTGTGTACGGATATGTGTGGGTCAATAGTCTTAAGTACATTTTTAAAAAATAAACAAGTAGACGGATGTTGTTTGAGTTGATTTACGTCTACCAACATATGTGCGTTGTTTATAAGTGCCTACAAATATTTAAAAAAAAAACAACAATACAAGCATTTATACTAAACATAACAGAACTGTAAAGTGCCATTAATTGATGAAATATCAGATGTAAGTTTGTGAGAGCTCTGGTTTTGAACGAAACCAACCAACTCGTCATCTTTGCCACGACTTTCGACCTCATCCAACCCTCACACTAGACCTACATATTGTAGATTGAGGTTAGAAAAACAAGTTTACGACAGAACAACCATAAAGTTTTTATAGCAAATTATAAATCATTGCATTAACAAACAGATTTTATTGATTACTTACTGAGGATTTTTCGTTGTTGTTTTTTTTAGCGTACACTGTCCGACGGTCGAAAACTTTCCGTCCTTGTCAAAATTGTATTCTGTTTCCAGTGAGTTGACATCTTTTTAAAAACTTCTTGGTTTGATTTACTCATTACACAACGACATTTTTTTCGGAAAATTAGTTTGATCTTGTAGCATCTGTCTAGCCAGAGTGTATAGTGTATGCTGCTACGTTTTTAACTGTAGGATTTTTTCCTCTATAAAAATAATCACCTCTCATAAAAGGGTTCATAGTTCAGCAATACGGTTACATAGCGTGAAAGGTTTGTAGCTGTAAATACGTCGCTTTATTTTAAAAACACACCTCTTCTATCTACAACACGTTTTCGTTAAATCTTTGTTATCAACTCAACTTTACTTTAGCAAATATGGTATGGACAAGATACATTGTATGGAAATAATTTTATTGTCAAAGTCTGACTTTTATTTCAAGTCAGGAAAACTACCTCGCTAGATTGTATCTGTATATTGTATCTGTATATTGTATCTTTAGATTGTATCTGTAGATTGTATCTGTAGATTGTATCTGTAGATTGTATCTGTAGATTGTATCTGTAGATTGTATCTGTAGATTGTATCTATAGATCGCATATGTAGCTACATGTCAGTCAAACGTCCACTACTCATTGCCGAGGTGCTGTGGCTAATTAACCATCGTTATTACCTCAATATAAACAAACAAGTATTCATTAGATTTTAGGAGTCGGCGTGGTCGGGTAAATAAAGCTTATGGCTGCTAAACCGAAAAGTCTCGAGTTCGAACCCCCGGGCGGATGTGGCTCGCTAGCTGGGGACAGCCACCATTCTAGGGGAGTGAACGCTTCTAATCAAGCGAATGCTGCCTTGTAGTTCGGTGTTGCTATATATCTGTCTGTGTTATGGGTATAGGTTTGTAATGTATCTGTCTGTGTGGTGGGTGAAGTTTTGTAATGTAGAGGCCTGTATAATTGAGTATGTCGAATCTACCTATCACAAAAATTCACCAATGTTTCTAAAAATAGAACATTTCTTATCAGCAGGGATGAGTTACAAACCTTCTCTACTGACTGCTGCCATGATAATCTTCATGCTGCCAGCAGGAAGCTCAGAGTCCAATCAGACCGTAGACTTGTCCAAATTACCGCACAAGATACCAGAGCGTAAACATAGTTTTTTTTTTTTTTTAATAAATTTGTTTCTGTTTTTTTTGTAGAATGACCATTGTCTCCGGGTGGGGGTGTGGGGGGGGGGGGGGCGTCACTAGAATAGCCGTGACGGCCTATACTTTAACGCATACAACACATTTATCTCTTGAATCAACACGAAAATAATTACCCTATCTTCCATTATGTCTTAACTTTACCTATCGCCCAATCATTTCTTAACTTAACCTATCGCCCAATCATTTCTTAGCTTTACCTATCGCCCAATCATTTCTTAACTTTACCTATCGCCCAATCATTTCTTAACTTTACTTATCGCCCAATCATTTCTTAGCTTTACCTATCGCCCAATCATTTCTTAACTTTACCTATCGCCCAAATAAAATAAAAATGGACAGTTTCATTAAATCAAACATTCCGCAGGTACGAAGTATGACTCAATGTTAAAGTTTCGCTGATAAGTTGGCAAAATATATGGAGTTGTACACAGGGGGACACAACATTTTAAAACGGCACTAATTGTATTACATCCCTTAACTTCCATGATTGGGGGGGGATATGAAATGTCACAGAATTTTATGCAAAAATGTAATGTCCATTTCAGGTCTAAAAATTTATAAATGATTTTATCTTTAGCTTTTACTGATTTATTTTTCAGCCGTGCAGGAAATTTGTAATTCGGTCAAATGCCAATATTTGGGTACTATTTTTAAAAATTTTGTATCTAAATAAATATTTCACTTTTCATCCCTTTGCCAATCATTTAACCATATACTTAATTAACATCGACTTAATTAATTAAAACTCGTAAATTTATTCTAACAAACCTAGGTCCTAAAACTACCTCTACTAATTCACGTTTGTCGGAGTGCACCGTCCTCTCAACATTCACATAACTTTTTATGTTCAACAGCGAAGCAGGTTGTCAACCTGATGAAAAAATCCGTCAACCCTTGTGATGACTTCTACACGTACGCCTGTGGGAATTACAGGCCCGCGATGCTCAATGAAATTTCAATCCTTGACGGCCTCAACAGAAAAAACTACGACTTCCTTTTGGGTAAAATTCAATTCATATTGTAAGGTCTATAACGTGTCGAAAATAAGTAGCTCCAGAAAATATTACACAGCGTTTTCACTTACATTTTTGGGCACTAATGTCTGGTTTTTATGCGCTGGTATAGCCCCGTTTTCATTTTGTAATTGTAATAAAATATAGTTATCTAAATAACATAGCGTGTAATAAAAATGAGTAACAGAGCTTGCAGATGTAAATTAAAAAAATAACAATAATAATAACTTCGAGGACTGCTATAGATATTTATGTTTAAAAGGGAAGAATGGTTTGATGTCATGTGTAACATTGTACTCAACATAGCATTCCGGCTGCTTATATTATCTATAATATTACTAACCATCCCGGCAGTGGCGTAGCGAGGTCGGGTGTCACCCGGTGCGGCACTTAATGGTGTCACCCCCCCAGAGGCGTTGCGACCCTTCCCGGGGACAAACTTTCAAGTTTTCGATTTGCACCCCCCTCAAACTTTCGATTTGCACCCCCCCCCCCCCCCTCAAGTTTTCGATTTGCACCCCCCCCCCCTCAAACTTTCGATTTGCACCCTCCTCAAGTTTTTCTCTATATATTTTGCTATTCTTTGCCTTGGTGTCACCCCCCTAAATGGTGTCACCCGGTGCGGTCCGCACCCCCCCCCCCTCGCTACGCCCCTGCATCCCGGCCAGGTCCTGCACTGGCCTCTGTAAAAAACCTATCCGTAAAGGGCCAATATTGCACTATGACAATCAAGTCTTTTACTACATACATGCCTACCACGGGGTCCGCCGCATACGTATACAGACAAAGAGTCCATTTCAACTTTATATATTAGATTTTTCTTAAATCCTTTAATTCATATCAGCTCTTTGGGGTCGACGTTGACGAGGCGGTAAAGCTCATGGTTGCTAAACCTAAAAGTCTCGAGTTCGAACCATCGGGCAGATGAGGCTCGTTAGCTGGGGACAGCCACTCTTCTAGGAGAGACAACTACAAAAATAAAACAACTGCTGCCCTGTAGTTTGTTCTTGGTTGGACAAAGGATGTAGAAGAAAATCCAATAAGAAAAGCAGGCTGAAATCGGAGTCAATGGCCTCAATGGCGCATAACAAGTTGGCACGTATAAAATTAAGAACGAAGAAGAATAAGAATTTCAGCTCTACTTATAAACATAAAACCCCTCAGCCCACCAAACCGATAAAAATAAAATCCCTTAAATCACCATTTAATTGCAAATTTTCAATTTCATTTTTAAAAATGAAATTGTAATTACACTTTTTGCATTAGATCTATGTATTGGTAAACCATCGTAATGAATGAAAGTAGGCTACAGTTAAGAAAGAAATATTACTATTATAAAACTGTATCAGTCCTCACAAGCCGATGATGAAAACTGTAATACTAAAGCGAACATGGCAAGGCAAACTGACGCTGTAAATTACATGTCTGAGGAAGAATAAATAGTAGTGTATAATTTATTCTCTACTTTTTAGTGCATTATTACATAAAAGCTAAAAGTGTTCACTTGTACAGCAGTCAAATGTTTTGATTTGAAGCATGAAAACAATAACCTAGTTGTATTAGTTGTTTTTTTTTAAATACCTTTTTCGGACGCGATATCAAGAGAGTAGCCTCGCTATAATCATCTATGTTTTCTTTAGCGACAAAGAAAAGTCGATGACTCTGTTGTATCAGTTTTATCTTATATCGTGATGTACAGATAAGCTAAATCTGTAATATAAGCTACATACAGATAAGTTAAACATGTGATATAGGCTACATACAGATAAGCTAAACCTGTAATATAGGCTACATACAGATAAGTTAAGCATGTGATATACACATACAGATAAACAGAACCTTTGTTATACAATACATTAACCCATAAATTAAAATATCTTGTCCACTTTCAGATAAGTTAAATAGCGAAGTCGAAGAGTCTAACTATTTCAGCGTGAAGTTGGCGAAAATTTATTATCAATCATGCATGAAAGAAGGTGAGTGCTTTCAATGGACCACTCGACAGCTCAATGCTGTATTCAAAGCTTTTTTTCAGTACGGCATCGCGTAGTATCAAGACGGCAGGCGGTACAAAGAGACGGCAGCCGGTACAGACAGACGGCAGCCGTTAACAAGAGACGGCAGCCGGTACAGACAGACGGCAGCTGGTACCAAGAGACGGCAGCCGGTACAGACAGCCGGCACACACAGCCGGTAGCCGGTACACATAGCCGGCAGCCGTTACCGAACGACTAGAAATGTTCTTTTCTTCCAGTCAGTGACGTCAGTCTCTAGAGATCTATTCAGCGCTGTTGTTATTTCGGGGCGTAGGCGTGTGTTGGGGATTTTGTCCATTAGGGGCTGTCCATCTGAATATTATAGAGGGAGGGGTTGTCCTGGCGGCTTATATCGGGGCCTTTTTTTTTCTTCAACGTTCATAAATTTTATCATGGAAGGGATTTCCGTCACCATAATAAAGTATGACGTGTCAAAGCGTTATTCGCTATTTGTCACGTGACCTCCGGCCTCACCCTGATGGTAGTTGATCACCCCCTCCCCCCCCCCCCCCACCTCCATTACTCCAGCCAAAATGGAAGACAACCCCCAGCTAATGGAAGTGAAGAACCAGTTCAGCAAACTCTGGCCCAGCTTAAACGAGAACTACGTTGATGAGAAGCAGGACCTGAGCCAGCTTACAAACCTCCTCCCTGAGACACTGGGCGAGCCGTTCTACCACATCAGGCAGTTGCCAGATAGCAACAACAAGGATCGCTATTTGATTCATGTAGGTAGCACTCACACGACAGTAGGCCTACACAATAGGGATTTATACATATATAAAGGCTTTATATATATATATATAAAGGTTAAATATATATATATATATATATATATATATATATATATATATATATATATATATATATATCAACCATCCTAAAGTCCATTATACCTACTGTTAACCATCCTAAAGTCCATAAGACCTACTGTTAACCATCCTAAAGTCCATTAGACTTACTGTCAACCATCCTAACGTCTATTAGACCTTCTGTCAACCATCCTAAAGTCTATTAGACCTTCTGTCAACCATCCTAAAGTCTATTAGACCTTCTGACAACCATCCTAAAGTCCATAAGACCTTCTGTCAACCATCATAAAGACCTACTGTCAACCATCCTAAAGTCCATTAGACCTACTGCCAACCATTCTAAAGACCTACTGCCAACCATCCTAAAGACCTTCTGCCAACCATCCTAAAGACCTACTGTCAACCATCCTAAAGACCTGTCAACCATCCTAAAGTCCATTAGACCTACTGCCAACCATTCTAAAGACCTACTGCCAACCATCCTAAAGACCTACTGCCAACCATCCTAAAGACCTACTGTCAACCATCCTAAAGACCTGTCAACCATCCTAAAGTCCATTAGACCTTCTGCCAACCACCCTAAAGACCTTCTGTCAACCATCCTAAAGTCCATAAGACCTACTGCCAACCATCCTAAAGACCTATTGCCAACCATCCTAACATGACGATGTGTCGTGCATAGATTGACTACCCGGAGCCCAGCTTATTCAAGCGACAGTTCGGTATATCCAGCCACAGAAAGTTGTACGAGCTGTACGCCAAGAACTTTGGCAAACCTTCCCCGGCTGCTGCTCATGATGCTGATGAGTGGGCCATCTTTATAGATGCCAGAAATAAGGTTTGGATCCCTGGTTGTGTGCGTGTGATTGTGTGTGTGTGTGTGAGCGTGGATACAAGCCAGTGGGTGTGCGTGCGTGTGTGGGAGAGAGACCGGGGATAGATGCCAGTGTGTGTGTGTGTGTTTGTGTGAGTATGAGTGTGTATAAATTCATGTTTGCGAGTGTTTCTGTGTGGGTGCGGATACATGCTAGTGTGTGTGAGATTGTGTACGGATGTGGGTGTGAGCAGGGATGCATGCCCGTGTGCGTGATGGTGTATGTTTTTGTTCGTATATGTATGTGCGAACTTGTGTGTGCGTCTTTTTTTTTACTTATGTGCGTGTGTGTCTTTGTATGTGCTTATGTTAAACTTAATTAGGATGTACATACTCACGTAACCTTTTGACCCGTGTTGTTCTCTTGCTGCAGCTGATCCACGAGCCTGGGACCGCTGGCTACGTCACACATTACAGCCTCACCACCCTGGGGGAGATCTCTCAACGTTTCCCAAAGGTCAGTGCTTAGGTCATAGGTCACGGGTCGCTTGGGTCAGTGTGTGTTGTGGTCAGTGCATGACTGGATTACAGGCCAGTGGTAGGTGGTATGTCGTGGGTCATAGGTGAGGTTGAGCTTAAGTTATCCATTAGTGCATGCTTAGTTCTTAGGTCAATGTCTGAGTGAGTCATTAGCACATCCCTGATGGATGCCTGGCTTGAATGTGGGAAGGAAGAGTGAAGGGTATCGTGCTGACTTCAGGAACCTTAGACGTGATATCAGGTCTAGATTGGTTTCTTCTGTTTTACTTAAGAGCATTAAACTTCTAATAACAACAAGAGCCCGCATCTAACTGAACTCCTTACTCGATGTAGTTCAACTTCAAAACACTCATAGAGTTGGCTTATCGCGATGCTGGTATCACCATAACGGACAGCGAGCCCATTGCGGTCAGGGATACACAGTATTTCCAGAAACTTCTTCATCTTGTTGAGGACACGGAAAGCAGGTCAGCCCTCCATTTCTTAAAGCAGATATGTCTGTATGTAATAGCCAGTACATGCAATCTGGTTTTATTTGCGCTTGTATAGCCCCATAATGGGTTAATTAAGATGTATTTTAACTTTGCTTGATTTATTTAAGACAAACCTCTCTGGACTGGGATGCCTACACAAGTGTCTTCTTTACTTACATATCTGCCTTGTGTACCTATATATCTGCCTTGTTTACATACACAGCAACCTACACAACTGTCTTATGCAAAAATCTTTACCCCCCCCCCCCCCCCACCCCCGTTTTTAAACGTACCATTTGACCATAGTATAAAAAACAAAAGTGCTAACTAAATTCAGAATTAAGGAGAGACATAATACGTGTTTTGAATAACATCTAGTTTTAGCTTTTTTAAATACCTGGGGTATTGATGAGTTTAAAAAATTCATGTCAGTAGGCTTACTATCAACACGACATGGAAGCATCTTAGCAAAAAAATAAATTAAAAAGTTATCTTGCCCATATTACCATCCTAAGATATTGGATAAAAAATATTTGTCTAACAAGTCTAACTAGTATATTCTCTCCTAGAACCCTGGTTAATGCTATATTCCCACCCAGAACTTTTGCCAATGCTATATTCCCACCTAGAACTTTTGTCAATGCTATATTCCCACCCAGAACTTTTGTCAATGCTATATTCCCACCCAGAACTTAATGCTATATTCCCACCCAGAACTTAATGCTATATTCCCACCCAGAACTGAATGCTATATTCCCACCTAGAACCCTGGTCAATGCTGTAATGTTCGAGAAATTGATCTGGCGTACCCTCCACGCTACCACTCTACTACAACAAGCCTATCTGACTGTTTTTCCGGTAAGAATTTTTTTTTATTTGTTTTTTATTATGCTAGATTGTCATTGCCGCTAGATGCTACTTACTCAACCTCTTAGTTTTATATAAAATATTACAAGTGCGATCACAGGATAATGTTGTCATTGCCGCTAGATGTTACTTACTCAACCTCTTAGTTTTATATAAAATATTACAAGATGTAGGAAGACCATGACAACGCATAGACAGAACTAAATGTAGTCCCAAGAAGTAAATATAACACTATCTATCTGTGTTCTGGTATTCTAAGATGAAATTCTTTGTTTATATCTGAATAAAATCCTTTGTTTATTTCAAAATAAAATCCTTTGTTTATGTCTGAATAAAATCCTTTGTTTATGTCTGAATATAATCCTTTGTTTATGTCCAAATAAAATCCTTTGTTTATGTCCAAATAAAATCCTTTGTTTATGTCCAAATAAAATCCTTTGTTTATGTCCAAATAAAATCCTTTGTTTATGTCTAAATAAAATCCTTTGTTTATGTCTGAAAAAAATCCTTTGTTTATGTCCAAATACAATCCTTTGTTTATGTCTGAATAAAATCCTTTGTTTATGTCCAAATAAAATCCTTTGTTTATGTCTAAATAAAATCCTTTGTTTATGTCTGAAAAAAATCCTTTGTTTATGTCCAAATACAATTCTTTGTTTATGTCTGAATACAATCCTTTGTTTATGTCCAAATAAAATCCTTTGTTTATGTCCAAATAAAATCCTTTGTTTATGTCCAAATAAAATCCTTTGTTTATGTCCAAATAAAATCCTTTGTTTATGTCTAAATAAAATCCTTTGTTTATGTCTGAAAAAAATCCTTTGTTTATGTCCAAATACAATCCTTTGTTTATGTCTGAATAAAATCCTTTGTTTATGTCCAAATAAAATCCTTTGTTTATGTCTAAATAAAATCCTTTGTTTATGTCTGAAAAAAATCCTTTGTTTATGTCCAAATACAATCCTTTGTTTATGTCTGAATACAATCCTTTGTTTATGTCCAAATAAAATCCTTTGTTTATGTCCAAATAAAATCATTTGTTTATGTCCAAATAAAATCCTTTGTTTATGTCCAAATAAAATCCTTTGTTTATGTCCAAATAAAATCCTTTGTTTATGTCTAAATAAAATCCTTTGTTTATGTCTGAATAAAATCTTTTGTTTATGTCTGAATAAAATCCTTTGTTTATGTCCAAATAAAATCCTTTGTTTATGTCCAAATAAAATCCTTTGTGTATGTCTGAAGACGCTGCACCCCTGGTGGAGGTGCTATGAAGAACTAAACAGGTACTTCCGGGAGTCCATCATCCGACTCTACGAGATCAACAAGTTCCCAAAGACTGCGGACTCACGTAACACAGTGCGTTCACACCATCGGAATGTGTGCAGAGTTTTTTCCAGGCATCTCTGCGGGGGGGGGGGGGGGGCGAAGCCCCCTCGAAAAAAAATTACCGCCCCCCCCCTCCCCCGAACGAAATGAAATTTATATTATTTATATAGAAAATATATACTTTTAACAGTGTCCGCCCCCCCCCCCCCCGAAGAAAGTCTACCGCCCCCCCCCCCCCCCGAAAATTTCAAGTGCCCCCCCCCCCCCCGGAGAAAAATGTCTGGAAGAAACACTGAATGTGTGGTGGTGGTGGGGGGAGAGTGTGGGGAGATGGAGTGTGTGAGATGGAGTGTGTGTTAGCTTAATGTCTGCGTTGGTGTCTGTGTGGTGGTGGTGGGGTAGAGTGTACATGCGAATAGTTGCCTCTATGTGTTTTCTATTCTGGACTTAGAAATTTTGTATTTTAAACTTATAATGTAAATAAATAGTTGTGACAGTTATATTTTTGGTCAATGCTATTCTATCTATTCTAATCGGATGACCTAAACTGGTATCTGTTGTAGATTTGCTACACTAATCTGCCGATTTTGCTATACAGGTGAAGGAAATCGTGAAAATGCTGATCGATTACGCCAACACTACCGTTGCCGAACGACCTCTGACCCATAACACCAAAATGGGTTTTTTCAAAAAGGTTCCATTTTGTTTCTTTCGGTGTTTTGGTTACATTAAAATACATTAAGTATTTTAAAGGCATTATTTAAGTACAGATGTTGATGCTACATAAATATAATGGGAAGGACAATAATAAGAGAAATCGTTCAGACGAAGGACAATTAAAAAGGTGTAGGTTTGGTCAGGTTTTGTGTAATGTGTGAGCTGTAGGTTTGGAGGTGGGTCAATGTGCGGGAGGTGGTTATTGTGGGGAGGTCGGTTAATGTGGGGGGGGGGGGCAGTGGCGGAACTAGAAATCAAAGGCTCCCCCGCAAAGAAAAAACTAGGGCCCCCTATACATATATATATATATATATATATATATATATATATATATATATATATATATATATATATATATATATGTATGTGTATATATATATATATATATATATATATATATATATATATATATATATATATATATATATATATATATATATATATATATATATATATATATATGTATATATATATATATATATATATATATATATATATATATATATATATACAAAATCTATATCAGGGGTTCCCAACCCCGTGCCCGCGGGCGCCACGGCGCACGCCGAACGATTCGTATGTGCCCGCCTCTCACTATTCGACAGAGACAGAATTTTTTTCATAAACATTATTGAAAAGGTTGAAGGGGATGGAAATCGAAAGTTTGAGGGGGGGGGTGCAAATCGAAAATTTGAGGAGGGTTGCAAATTGAAAATTTGAGGGGGGGGGGGGGGTGAAAATCGAAAGTTTGAGGGGGGGTGCAAGTCGAAAGTTTTGTCCCCGGGTGACGGGAAGGGTCGCTACGCCTCTGGAAGGAGTTTGTCAATTTAAAATATGTGGTGCCCTCCACCCTACCGATATTTTAGAATGTGCTCTAGAGTATAAAAAGGTTGGGAACCCCTGATCTATATCCTATGTGAGTAATTTAGTCTACTTCATTGCAATATATCACCATTCTTTTTTAATATATATATATATAACCATTCTGTGTGAACAAAACAGAAAAATTTAGTCCACACTCAGTTCTAGTAAGAATAGTATCGCATTTATGCTGGTCAAAAATATATAAAGACGTTAGCTTGACTCGTGAATGGTTTCTCGCGTTATGTTTATTTTTTTCATTTTTGGCTTTTATAATATCAGTTTTGAAAACATTGATTTTTACAGCCATACTATTGTATAGTACGTCTTATTTAAATAACAATTCAGAGAATCAATTGCTTTTTAATATACATAGTACAAAACTATTTAAATGAGCTTCGTGGGCATCCCTATTTTTCTTCTTCTTCTTCTTCGTTCTTAATTTTTGAATATGGTGGAGGATTCAGACAACAAGTCCAACTTCATAGACAAACCGGACTGTGGTTTCCAGTTTGTCAGGTGACCCATATAATTTTTCCCTGAGTGGGGTGGGCTGGGGCCAGTGTCTGCCTCTTGCCTGGCTATACAGAGTACAATCCTCTAGTACGTGCTCCGTGTTTTCCGGGGCCTTGCCACAAGGGCACATTTCGCTACACCCAACCTTCAGTTTTTTGTGCATGTGTTGATTTAGTCTGTTTTAAAGAAGGGCAGTAAGTCATGGAAGTAGTGTGAATGTTTACCTACCTTTCAAACTATAGCTCTTGTAGATTTTAAAATATTTTTCTACGCAACAATCTCTGCTATAGTAGACCTGTTTTTTTTTTTTACAAAACCACTTTCAAGATGCATGAAAAACATAATTTAAAAAAAAAAAAAATCATTGTTTTTTGGTCGGAACTGGGCCCCTAAACGTCCTGGGCTCCCCCGCATTGCGGGGTCTGGCGGTATGGTAGTTCCGCCCCTGGGGGGGGGGGGGGGTAATGTGGAGGAGGTGGACTAATGTGCCTAGTTAAGAAAACTGCCGAGTTATTCAAAATGTAAATTCGGTATTAATTCAACCAACATAACTAAATGCCGTTAGATATTTAATTAAACACATCCTCATTGTCCATGACGAAAAGAATTATTTAAATTACATGACTTTCATTCTTGTAAGACTGGTATAATTGGAGGGTGACGAATCTCATTATCAGATTTCTAGATATTTGAAAATATTGTAACCGTTTTGTACTTGCCAGCTAAATAAATTAAAAACTGTGGTCGGCTCGGAGAAAAACAACTTGGCGTTTTCAAAAATTAACGAGATGTACACTGGGGTGAGTAGGATTTTCGTTGGCTCAAGATTAAATATAGTTGGGATCTTTGGGGAGGCTAATCGAAGGTGGATCTATGGGGTGGCTAGTCGAAGGTGGATCTATGGGGTGGCAAGTCGAAGGTGGATCTATGGGGTGGCTAGTCGAAGGTGAATCTATGGGGTGGCTAGTTAATGGTGGATCTATGGGGTGGCTAGTCGAAGGTGGATCTATGGGGTGGCAAGTCGAAGGTGGATCTATGGGGTGGCTAGTCGAAGGTGGATCTAAGGGGTGGCTAGTTAATAGTGGATCTATGGGGTGGCTAGTTAATGGTGGATCAATGGGGTGGCTAGTCGAAGGTGGATCTAAGGGGTGGCTAGTCGAAGGTGGATCTATGGGGTGGCTAGTTGAAAGTGGATCTATGGGGTGGCTAGTCAAAGGTGGATCTATGGGGTGGCTAGTTAATGGTGGATCTATGGGGTGGCTAGTTAATGGTGGATCAGTGGGGTGGCTAGTCGAAGGTGGATCTTAGAGGTGGCTAGTTAATGGTGGATCAATTGGGTGGCTAGTCGAAGGTGGATCTAAGGGTGGCTAGTCGAAGGTGGATCTATGGGGTGGCTAGTCGAAGGTGGATCTAAGGGTGGCTAGTCGAAGGTGGATCTAAGGGGTGGCTAGTCGAAGGTGGATCTATGGGGGTGGCTAGTCGAAGGTGGATCTATGGGGTGGCTAGTCGAAGGTGGATCTAAGGGTGGCTAGTTAATGGTGGATCTAATGGGTGGCTAGTCGAAGGTGGATCTAAGGGTGGCTAGTCGAAGGTGGATCTATGGGGTGGCTAGTCGAAGGTGGATCAATGAGGTAGCTAGTCGAAGGTGGATCTAAGGGTGGCTAGTCGAAGGTGGATCTAAGGGGTGGCTAGTCGAAAGTGGATTAATGGGGTGGCTAGTCGAAGGTGGATCTATGGGGTGGCTAGTCGAAGGTGGATCTAAGGGTGGCTAGTCGAAGGTGGATCAATGGGGTGGCTAGTCGAAAGTGGATCAATGGGGTGGCTAGTCGAAGATGGATCTATGGGGTGGCTAGTCGAAGGTGGATCTAAGGGTGGCTAGTCGAAGGTGGATCTATGGGGTGGCTAGTCGAAGGTGGATCTAAGGGTGGCTAGTCGAAGGTGGATCTATGGGGTGGCTAGTCGAAGGTGGATCTAAGGGGTGGCTAGTTAATGGTGGATCTATGGGGTGGCTAGTTAATGGTGGATCAGTGGGGTGGCTAGTCGAAGGTGGATCTAAGAGGTGGCTAGTTAATGGTGGATCAATTGGGTGGCTAGTCGAAGGTGGATCTAAGGGTGGCTAGTCGAAGGTGGATCTAAGGGTGGCTAGTCGAAGGTGGATCTATGGGGTGGCTAGTCGAAGGTGGATCTAAGGGTGGCTAGTCGAAGGTGGATCTAAGGGGTGGCTAGTCAAAGGTGGATCTATGGGGGTGGCTAGTCGAAGGTGGATCTATGGGGTGGCTAGTCGAAGGTGGATCTAAGGGTGGCTAGTCGAAGGTGGATCTAAGAGGTGGCTAGTCGAAGGTGGATCTAAGAGGTGGCTAGTTAATGGTGGATCTAAGGGTGGCTAGTCGAAGGTGGATCTAAGGGTGGCTAGTCGAAGGTGGATCTATGGGGTGGCTAGTCGAAGGTGGATCTAAGGGTGGCTAGTCGAAGGTGGATCTAAGGGGTGGCTAGTCGAAGGTGGATCTATGGGGGTGGCTAGTCGAAGGTGGATCTATGGGGTGGCTAGTCGAAGGTGGATCTATGGGGTGGCTAGTCGAAGGTGGATCTAAGGGGTGGCTAGTCGAAGGTGGATCTAAGGGGTGGCTAGTCGAAGGTGGATCAATGGGGTGGCTAGTCGAAGGTGGATCTAAGGGGTGGCTAGTCGAAGGTGGATCTAAGGGGTGGCTAGTCGAAGGTGGATCAATGGGGTGGCTAGTCAAAGGTGGATCTAAGGGGTGGCTAGTCAAAGGTGGATCTAAGGGGTGGCTAGTCGAAGGTGGATCTAAGGGGTGGCTAGTCGAAGGTGGATCAATGGGGTGGCTAGTCGAAGGTGGATCTAAAGGGTGGCTAGTCGAAGGTGGATCTAAGGGGTGGCTAGTCGAAGGTGGATCAATGGGGTGGCTTGTCGGAGGTGGATCTATGGGGTGGCTAGTCGAAGGTGGATCTATGGGGTGGCTAGTCGAAGGTATTCTAAATGATTCCCACGGGTTATCAAAGAACTCTACGCACTGTTAATATCATAGTTCATATATATATATATATATATATATATATATATATATATATATATATATATATATATATATATATATATATATGTTACAGACATAGCATAGTTTTAATCTTTCTGCTAATTAGGGCCTATGTTTAATAACAATCCTATAAATAATATAAATAATAATTTATGATCAAATAAAATAAGTATCACGGATACTCAGTGATCTTGCAATTTTGTTTTTAAAAATTGGGCTACCTACTAATAAAAAGCAATTTATATTTTATATCTATAAGAACAATTGTAATACTTATTGTAAAAGCATACTCAAAAAATCAGCAACAATAAATGGTAATTATTATGGGAATAATAATTATTATTCATAAATAATACCATAATCAATTACAAATAACAAACCTGTTATAGAATCTATTTATGTAAAAATAATTACCTGATATAACAACCCCTCCCCACCTCCACCTCCCATCCCACCGGCAGCTGACCTTGGATGTCAACGACTACAGTTCCAACCGTATGCACGTCAGAAAACGATTGCAAATACTGGAGAGAAAACAGTTGCGTGGAGTACCTAAAGCTTTTGACAAGTAAGTTAGAGTCAAATTTCTGGTAAGTTAGTGTCAACTGTCACGTAAGTTAGTGTTAAATTTCAAGTAAGTTAGTATCAACTTTCATCACATCAAAGCTGATTTGATCTGTATTCGATTTGTTGCAAATTAGTTAGTTTAATTTGTGCTTAAAATTTCAAGATACGCAAGCTTTTATATTGTCTTCATTTATTTATTTTCTTACAGCAACGTTATTTTTTTAAAAACTACCCGTATCGGCTAGGTTTTGCTCCAGCCATTTATTGCCATGCCCAAGAGGAAATGTTCACGCAGATATGTTTGCTCATACAATGTTTTAAGAAAAATGAAAGAGTATTACACAATGCTACGCTCAAAACAGCAACAACAGCAACTTGATTCTATAAAATTAACCTAACAGATTTTCACTATCACGGATTGTTGTACAAATATAATAAGTATCAAACTTTTAAACAGAAAACCGCTTGTTAATTCCCCTCTTCTCGTGAGCAACAGCCTCATATGATACTATTAAAAATATAAAGACATAAAATAGTGGAATAGTAGCATGTAAATGTATATAGCTTTTTACTTTCTCGTATATACGAAGTATATAGAAAGTCTTGTAATCCTGCAAAAAAAAAAATCGAGATTTTTACAAATCTCGACGTTTTACACCTCACTGATAGGAAAAACATAATTTTGCTATCTTGTCCGTATGTCTGTGTGTATGTGTGTGTGTGTGTCTGTGTGTCTGTAAACACGATAACTTGAGTACCGTTACAACTAGGTTGATGAACTTTCATATATAAGTATTTTATCAAAATCGTAGATGCGTATCACATTTTGAGCTATTTCCGGAAACCGGAAGTGGTACTTTTTTTTTTACCTATCACTTGAGTACTATTTCAGATAGAGATAGAGATAGATAGATAGAGAGAGAGAGAGAGAGAGAGAAAGAGATTCTCCACAGATACCAGATATTTTCATCGCATATAACTTTGGTCACCATTTTACTCTCCACAGATACCAGCTATTTCCCCTGCATATAACTTTGGTCACCATTTTACTCTCCACAGATACCAGCTATTTCCCCTGCAAGCCATCGCCGCCTATGACGCCGAGAAAAACAAACTTTGTAAGTTATTCAGAGACCTACGAGATCGCTGACTAAAACACAGAGTTTCTTTCATGCATCTCTTAGACGTCACCCCCCCCCCCCCTTATAAAAATTTAAAAAAAAAATATTTAATTTACATAGAAAATGCATACTTTAACCAGCGTTCGTTCGATAGTTTTTCTTTTTTAGTGTGTTAGACTTTTTAATTGAGTTTTTTGAAAGCCGTTTGCATGCTGTTTTCTATCTTTTTGATAAACCTGTTTTCATTTTTAAAAAAAAGATAAAATACATTATACTATTTATTATATTTAACACACCTGTTTAAATGAACAAATTAATTACTTTTTTCTTTGTTTTTATCGCCTTTATAGATATCTATATAAATTTTCTTATTTGATCTTGATTGTAACGCGGAGGGGATTTTCTCCAACAAAATTTGAATTGTGTCTACAATTATTGCGCTATATGGCCCATTGACTCCTATTTCAGCCTTCTATTCTTTTTGCATCTGCATCTATAACCATTACGCATCCAAGGACAAACTACAAGTTAGCAGTTATTTGACTTTGGAGTTTTGTCTCCTATCAAAGTTCTTCTGCCCGGAGGTTCGAACTCGGTACTTTTCGGATTAGCAAACAAGAGTTTACCCGCCTGACCCCGCCCACAATTTTCCAGTTAAATACTGTCTAATTTTTTTTTAATTTGCAGATATAGCAAATGGCCTTGTTCAACAACCATTTTTTGAAAGCAATGCACCGAAGTGAGTTATGTCCCCTATTCTATGAGTTATCTCCCTTCTCTAATTCCCCTGTTTGGGTGATTAGCCTTTATTCTCTCATCGATTCAGATCGTTAACATGTTTTGACATTGATATTTTTATAAGATTTTACTTAGTTCACACTGACCGTTTGTTCGTTTGTTTGAACCGACGTGTACCGCAGCGATTTCGTTCAAACTTTTTAGAAATTTTCGTCACTAATGTCAACGCAAGAATTTCTAGTTTTTTTAAATCTAATTAAAGATTAAATTAGTCATATAAAAGAATGCTTTCTTTAATATAGCGAACAACGTTTCTATTGAAGAAATTAAGTTTTATTTCTAGCTTATAAGTACATTAAATTATACAAGCTTGTAGAATCTTTTGTATTAAAAGATGTTTAAAATCCTTTTAAATTAAAATATGTTTATACTTTTTAAAAATATTTTAATGGGGTTTTTTAATTATATTTTTTTTAAAAATATACCTAATATTTAACCCTTTTTAATAATTAGAGAATTCTTTAAAAAAACTTTAACAGAATCTGGCTTATCGCTAAAATCGGTATCATCGCAAACACGGCTTTTGCAGAAATACTAGGCGAGAAAGGTGAGTGTTTTACCTGTAGGCTACTTAGTGAAGTCTGCTTTACACCTGATTTTATAATTGGTCGTGCTCATTCATTAGGCTGCTTATTCCTATGACGGTGTTTCAATACCAAATCTTGAATTGAACAAATAGCATTCACCATAATCCTTCAAACTGACATCCAAAATAAATCTAAAACATTAACATCTACAATAAACCTAAAAAAATTCACATTCACACAAAACCTCAAAAAAGAAAAACATCCATACAAAACCTTAAAAAGAAACAAAAATTCACACAAAACCTAAAATTAAACATTCACACAAAACCTAAAATTAAACATCCACACAAAACCTAAAAAAAAAACTAACATTCACACAAAACCTAAAATTAAATATCCACACAAAACCTAAAAAAACAACTAACATTCACACAAAACCTAAAATTAAACATCCACACAAAACCTAAAAAAACAACATCCACCATGTCGACAAACAGATGAAGGGGAAGGTGGGAGTGTGATTGTTCAGTTGTGATTAATGTATAGATTTGTTCACTGTTGACTATCTAAGTTAGATTTTTCACATCTCTCAATCAAATTCAAACTTCTGAATAAAAATTAACTCAAAACGACAAAACGCTGGAATCTGGTCCATTAAGATTTTAAATATGGCGGGGTGAGAAATGAAAGCAACACACTTGTTTTAAAAGTTACAGGGTAGTCAGTGAACCAGAAATCTGTTTTTGCTTCATCTTATACGCGTAGCGTTATCTTTATGTTACACGCATGTATACAACATGAATGCAAAAGTAAATCTAAAAAAAGACTCGTATATCCGTGGCCTTGGTTTAGTAAATCTTTGCGAGTAGGAAAATAGGGCACCACATTAATATCTGTAAAGAAAAATCTCTCATTCACACACACACACACACACACACACAACCACACACCACAGTAATATCTGCAAAGAAAAATCTCACAACCACAAAACCTCAGACAGTTAACGCCGCTTTGCCGCGGTATTTCTTTCCCCAGGCAGGAACTATGACGACATGGGCAACGAGAGAGGGTGGGTCAGTCCAGTGGATGTCAACAAGTTTGAGCTTCAGATCGTCTGCATGACTTACAAATACCTGCAACAGATTGACAATTTGACTAGCTTTGAATTAAACGTGAGCTTTGTTTACCTCCACACTGTCAAGGTGCAACAGTTTAACAATCGGGTTAACTTTGAATTAAACGTGAGCTTTGTTTACCTCCACACTGTCAAGGTGCAACAGTTTAACAATCGGGTTAACTTTGATTTAAACGTGAGCTTTGTTAACCTCCACACTGGTGCAACAGTTTAACAATCGGGTTAACTTTGATTTAAACGTGAGCTTTGTTTACCTCCACACTGTCAAGTTGCAACAGTTTAACAATCGGGTTAACTTTGATTTAAACGTGAGCTTTGTTTACCTCCACATTGGTGCAACAGCTTGACAGTCTGGTTAATTTTAATTTAAACGTGAGCTTTGTTTACCTCCACACTGTCAATGTGCAACAGTTTAACAATCGGGTTAACTTTACTTTCAACCTTAGTGTCGCCTACAGTAACCAAGCACACAGAGGTAGAGTGTTGTTGGCACTGTGCGCGGCCGCCTTGGTTTGACCAACGTGTGTCTGGTGCCCATCAGAACTTGGTGAAGTTTTATAAACTCGAGCCCCGGGATCCGAACTCACAATTTTTGCGTTAGCAGCCGTTAGCTCTGCCATCCGACCAGCTTCATACGCCTAAATTGTTTTACTGGAAGACTAAGATACATTAGGAGGATGGCAGTACTAAAGACTAAGTAGGATGGTAGTACTAATGATTTTAAGACAAATTGTTCCAAGACGAGTTACCCCAGACAAAAGAATTCTTGTACAAAATATCACAGGATAAAATACCTCAGGGAAAATAATGTTTTGTCCCTAGATATTTTATCCTTGAAATTTTTGTTCCGAGATATTATGTCATTGAGCTCTTGTGTCCTGAGGTATTTTATCATTGAAATCTTATTTCCTGAGATATTATGTTCTGGGATAGTTAGCTCTTGATGAAGGTGAGACCATTTGTCCTAAAACAACTGTGTCCTTGAGCTATTTTGTCTGGGATATTTTACCTTCGAGTATTCGTGCTGGGGTCATTAGTTGTGTAGCATTTACTTATTTTAGGGCATAATTATTCTCTAAAATGTGTGTTTAATAATTCGTGTGTGTTAACAAATGAAACATTTCAGTCCAACCATGCAGCAGAAGTCAAAAAGGTTATTAAAGAAAGCTTGGCAGTTAATCTAGCGTTTGGGTAATAAACATTTTTAATTTTTTCATGTTTTGTCAGAGAGAGAGAGAGAGAGAGAGAGAGAGAGAGAGAGAGAGAGAGAGAGAGAGAGAGAGAAAAGATCAGATCGACATTTTAGAACCTCAATATAAGGAAAATAATATATATATATATATATATATATTATATATATATATATATATATATATATATATATATATATATATGTATAAATGTATATATATATATATATATATATATATATATATATATATATATATATATATATATATATATATATATATGTATAGGTATAATTTATTTATTTTTATATATATTTTTGGATATAAATTTGTGATGGTTGTGTTTGTGTATGTCCTTTTGAGTTTTATTGTGTCTTTCTTTGTGTGCTTTTGAGTGTATGTGTGTATGTATGTGCATGTATGTATGTGTGTGTGTAACACCCCACAATGTGCTCAAACTTAAAGACTTGACTCTAACAACAGCGCATACCATGGCATCAAATACACAGACCAAAAACTTCCTCTAGGTGATTTAACAACTGAGCAAATTTTCTTCATTCTCTACGCTCAGGTACGAGAATTAAAACAAAGAAAAATTATGAAACCTTTAGAAAAAAAAATTCTAATTTGTGTTTATTTTTTAAATAGATTTTTATAGCTTGTAATTATAACAATGTGTTTTTTTTTTCATACATTTATTTTTACTTTTAGTTTCTATGTATTTTTAAAAATATTCTAATACGTTTTCACTAACATGTGGTACCAGTTTTTTCGTTCCTTCCAATCTTCACTCAGTGTGACATCACACACCAGTAAATTATTTATTTTTAAATGCGTTCAGTAGCTTGAGGTTCACTAACTGTAGCAAACAATAAACTCAGTGCTAGACCAGCAGACGTGTGGCAGACACACGTGAACACCAACTAACTTGACTCGTCGATTTATCGCCACTAATCCAATTTTGTTGTATAATGCATTTGCTTCCATTTTCACTAAATAATGTATCATTAGAGATTCTTGAAATGTCGTTGAAAATTTTGTGACAACAGTTCACCAAAAATTCACGTACCAATCCATTCTCGTACAGAGGCCAATATTTGCGTGTCAATATCGCATACAATATTATATGTTATCAATCGATGAGGTAAACAAAATTATCAAGTCAGCGAATAATGAGATAACAAAACGAATCTATTTTCTTTCACAGAACTCTTGTCAGTTGCGCAAGGCTAATAATTTCTACACTAAAATGAGGTATTTTTAGCGTGTGGTACACACACACACACATATATATATATATATATATATATATATATATATATATATATATATATATATATATATATATATATATATATATATATATATATATATATATATATATATGTGTGTGTGTGTGTGTGTGTGTGTGTGTGTACCACACGCTAAATATATATATATATATATATATATATATATATATATATATATATATATATATATATATATATATATATATATTTCTAAATGGATTTTAATAATTATACAAATATATAAAATGTAATATGTTGATCAACTGTTACAGTAACTATATAACTTTGTGATAAACACTTGTAAACAAATATCTAAAACTGTCACTACCATCTCCCTCCTCACAGGGTGAACACAGCCTTGAGAAACAGCATCTTCTTTAGTGCAACCTTCAACTGTACCGATACCTCCCCCATGGGCTCACCCGTCAAGTGCTGAAACAGAGGAGGGGGGATTAAACTTCAACTGTGTTTCGGTTATTCGACTTCGTTTGTTTTTGGAATGCCAGGTGTATAGGATATTAACCATGCATGAAGGCTAACCAGTTTTGAAAGATGCAGAGTGATTGTATGGATACTAGAGAAGATGGATTAAACTGAGTGGTTGTATGGATAATTCAGTATAATTACTATTGATGAATGGAAAAAAATGAGATGTGTAGTGGATATCCACCCGCCCCCATCCGCCTCCAACCCCATCCAACCATCACAAAAAGCAAAAATGTCGCCACACCTCAGCCTATTGAATGTTCGGCCAAAAGATTTATTATCTGCCGAAATTAGGTGCATTGATTAACATTTTATTTTTAAAATATATTAGAAATGTTAAAAAACTGCAAGAATTAAGTTATTAGAATCGAACAAGTATAACGTAGCATACATGTATATAAATAATATAACTATATATATATATATATATATATATATATATATATATATATATATATATATATGTATGTATGTGTGTGTGTGTGTATGTAGGGCCTATATGTAAGCCCCAACAGACGGCACCTAATCTAATCGTTAGGACTACAATTAAACTATGGTGCATCAGTCCAGATCTGGCTAAGTCCAGACTAGTTAATCTTTAACCGTAGTCTACATAAAACACAAGGTATAATTAACTACTAATTATTAACTTTATTGCAACAAAATTGGAACAAGATCTTTAAAACAAAGCAGCAACACCACACAAAAATACAATTAACGTATAATCTATTTATACAAAACCTATCACCGAAACAAAACACACTATGAGACATAGCAATGACTTAATAAGAATGACCCAACAACTTTTCACTGTCCTCGCGACATACTCTGCCCGACACACAGCCATTCAGAGCGACCCATCTAGATCTGCAACAGCTGACTGCGCTGTTGTGTTACCGCACAACACCCATTTACACCACACACAACACTCAAACAAATAATAAAAAAAAAACAATTCCTAATTAAATTAAAAATAATATCCATAATAATACACACACACACACAAAAACCCTAATACTAAGCTTGATAAAAATATAAACAAACATACATAAACATCATTTAGTAAGGTTAAAACTTTAAACAAAAGCTGGCCCAATAAGACATCGCTACTTCCACAAAAGCCATCATTTGACAGAAATAAACGCAGTAGGAACATAAAACATTTAAATAATATATATAATACTATGCACATATTTGCTGGTAAAAATATTGAGATCAAATAGATTATCCAATCCAAGGTACCAGTCAACCCTTACCAGGTGTGTCGGGAAGAAGACAATCAATGAAAAATTTTCCCATAAACAGGGTCTATGGTACCGTCAGGCAACCCATAGTTTACTGTGTGAAAACCTTGAGAGTACGTTGCTCCAGTGGCGTAGCCAGAATCTTCTCAAGGGGGGGGGGGGTCCAATTTTTACCCGGGAACAAACTTTTGATTTGCCCCCCCCCCCCTCAGACTTTTGATTTGCACCCCCCTCAAACTTTCGATTTGCACCCCCCTCATACTTTATATATATATACCGAGGGGTCTATGGGGGGGGGGGGGTTATGACCCCCTCTAATCCCCCCTGCCTACGCCACTGCGTTGCTCACCTCAGTAAAGGGAAGGTTAAAACTGAAATAAACGTCCGCATGTATTGGTCTAGGGTGGACTGTCCGGCGCTCCTACGGTAATGTAAATTGTGATACTATTTATAACGATATCTAACCCCCCCCCCCCGGCATACATTCTAGATATCAATATCAATACAAAGACTTTATTTTATTTATTTTTCAAATGAAGAAAGACTCCGAGACTGCAAATTTCGCCAATATATAAACACGGTGCTCCCCCTCACAATCTTTTCCCACCTTTGGCTGCATGAAGGAATGCAAATTGTCGTCTTGATTTTGCCAATCTTTTACCCAATAGTTTAGGTAGTATTTTTAGAAAACAAATTACTTCATGCAGCTATTTGGGTTATGTGACTTTAATTACAGCCACTGCGATTTTTTTTTATTTTAAAAACCCAATATAACATGTACACAAACAGTATTGTTAAATTACTACTGTAGTCCGTTCTTGGATGGACAAAGGCTATGAAAGCAAATCCAGAAAGAAAAGCAGGCTGAAATCAGAGTCAATCGGCGAATAACCGGTTTACACGTAATAATTAATTATGTTAGAAGAAATCATGTCCAACATTACAATTAAGAACAAAGACGAAGTTATTTTAACATTGAACATTTGGTCGGATGTCAACACAATTTCAAACACAAACTAGACCATGTCGCTACGAAACGCATAATATAACATTTTGGCTTCTGGCTTCATGCAGCTGTTGCTGTTTTTTTCCACTTTCTGAGCGTAGGGTAAGAAGTGCAAATATTTATGTTGTTTGGATCCTAGCAGGGCGTAAGACTTGTCGTCCAGCTGGCCTCTCTGAAAGAAAACATGTCGAAAACATCAGGTAACCGCCTCACTGCCCTTGTAACCTTACAGCTATGGGACTTAACATTCGTACCACGGTTTCACTAGCGTCTAATACCCGGTTTTTCAATAGACAAAGTAAGTAATACCGATTTTAAAAATCGTTACATTATTTTTACTTTCTCGTATATATGTAGTATAGAGAAAGTATTGTAATCGTGCAAAAAAATCGAGATTTTTACAAATCTCGACGTTTTACACCTCACTGATACGGAAAAACATAATTTTGCAATCTTGTCCGTATGTCTGTGTGTGTGTGTGTGTCTGTGTGTCTGTGTGTGTGTGTGTAAACACGATAACTTGAGTACCGTTACAGCTAGGTTGAATAAATTTCATCTATATATATAATTCTCTTCTGGGATCAGTTAGAAAACAAGCTGCAAGCGCGCCTTTGCAGTCCCCTCTCTTCCTCTCTATCACTACCACCCCCACCCCACCCCCACATGATCTGGTATGCGGTGTTCACTCTGTTTACATTTTACAATCACAGAGACGGGTTTGGTGACGGCTATTAGGGGCAGATAATTTAGTTTGAAACGATTTTAAACTTAGAGGAGGTAACTAAGAGAAGGCTGCTTTCACGTGGGGGGGGGGGGGGGTAGTATTTTTAAGCAAATATTTTCAATGGCAGCATTGGTACTGTCGAATTCACAAATTATAAATTACTGAAAAGTAGAAAAAAAAAACAACTAAATAGCGGCGTATGATACGCAGCGGGTCGGCTCGTATATAAGTATTTTATCAAAATCGTAGATCCGTATCAACTTTTGAGCGATTTCCGATAACCGGAAGTGGTACTTTTTCTACTTTGAATTTTTCAAAAGCCTATAACTTGAGTACAATTTCAGATAGATAAATGAAATTTCACATGTAAGTAAAAAATCTAATTATCTTCGTTCTGTCAAATTTTGAGTAATTTCCGTTGACGGGAAGTACTAATTTACGCTATTTCCGATTTCTCAAAATCGCATCTAAATTTATAAAGTACTAATAATATTGCGCACCATTATGAACATCTTTATTCGGCGTTTGCTTGGTGTGCAATACTTTTTTCTATGAGATTCTATTTTGTTTTAAAAAGTTTAAGTATTTAAAATGGATTAAAAATCATAACTATATCCCGAGTTCCCATCCCCTGTTGTTTTATATAAGAATATTCGAGAAAGTTTAGGGGAGATCACTCCCGGTTTATTTTAAATTCAAGTACATTTTAATGTTACGTTACAATAAAAGTCTAAATCACGTCCCAGCCTCTAGCACTCGCCTATCCAATGAATATCTTAGAAAGTTCAGAAGTTTAAAAAAGCCGAACCAAAGATCTTAAAAAGTTTCCGTCAGAAATAGCTTCAATTTCAAAATTTAAACATTGAACAAGATGTATCAGCTTATTAAAGAATATAGGCCTAAGCCTACCTCAAAGGTTTTAACTTCATTTGTGAGCACATTGTCCAAATCTCTCGTCTCATTTATGTAAGCCAGTCTTGCCTCTTTCTGCTCATCTGATTTGGCTGCTCTCATCACCAAACGTTTCACATTTTTGCTACAAGTTATTAAAGGAATAGTTGTTTTATTTGCAGTCTTATTTTACACGAATTCTTAAACATATCCCCATAACCCCCCTCCCCCAAAAGATATATAAGATTCTATTTATACTTAAGGTTTCCGCTTTGCTATGTCACCAGCTCCTCTCAACTATCTACAGTACATCTAATTACCATCTTCTTCTTCTTCGTTCTTAATTGTTATGTTGTACGGAATTTTCTCTACCACAATTTCGTAATCAGTGGCAACGCGTTATGCGCCATTTAGCCATTGACTCTGATTTCAGCCAGATTATCTATTTTAATTAACTTCCATAGCCTTTGTTCAACCAGAAATAACCTACAAGGTAGCAGTTGTTTAATTTTGGCGTTGTCTCTCTTACATCTATCCAGCCTCACTTGCCCAGGGTTCGAATTAGGGACTCGTTTTGCATTCTGATTTACAGTTGATACTGCCTGAAGATCTAACTTTTAGTTGATGTTGACTAAAGATTTAACTTACAGTTGATGTTGAGCTTCTTTCCCTTTCCCTGATTTGGCCAGGCTAGTTGTAGTGTTGACAGTTGAAACACTTAGCACAGGTATGTTGATATTCTACAATGGAAAAATGTATATGCATGAATGCAAATATATTTTGTTTGTAAATGTAAGCCCTGATAGGGGGCATAACTATTCTACTACCCTTTTAGGCTTATCAAACTAATCGGTCCGGGTCAGTGCAACCGTGGTGAAATCCACGGTGGTTAATTCTTATCATTGACCTTAGTCTAGATAAAAAAAACTACTTAAAATAAAACAAAAACTTTAACAATATAATTAATATAAAACTTATATAAAAAAACTAGATCTAGACAAAACAAAACACTCAAGATATACAAAATAAAAACAGAACTCAACGGAACAAAACACCCAATTTCGGACCACCGTCCATACACCACATAAATGTGTCACAGAAACTCTTCAACACACAGGCCTCAACATTCCCGCAGAATGTCCCTACATGTCCACACACCACATTGACGAACCAAAACACCAATACTACGCACAAGAAAATAGTCCCTAATACAACAATAACTAACATTCATGACATAAAGCAAAGTAGAGCCACACTCCAAAACAAAGTTTGCATAAATAATAACATCAAAATATAAACAAGACAAAGTAACTAGGCTATAAACCATTTTAAAATTAAAATAATATCAGCGCCATAATAGCGGACTACTTAACTAAAAACCACAACAATCCTCAAAGGAACACAAAAAGCGACATTCACCTTTTTGTAATAAAATAATAGTTAAATAACTCCCCAGCCCGTTATATAAATTATTATAGGCCTATGACCAATTAAAATATTCTTTCACTTAAAAAAATATTGTAAAGCCCCACGGCTGATTACAGTACCTCTTCCATTCTTTGTCTGTCAGTGGTGGTCTCTAAGGATTTGCTCAGGACTCTTAAGCAGCGCATGCCATCTTTCCTTGTGTAGTCTATCTGGACCTAATATTTACAGCATTAACACAAGATCTCTGATGAATTTTCATGAAAGGTATCTCTGAATTTATGGGGCCTATAATTAGGCTAGTAATCTTAAACATTAATGTCTGTGCTCAATTTCTAATGGCCATTTGGCCTTATGGTACAGAGTATATAAAAGATTAGGTGAAACGTTATTTTTAGAATTATTTGACGATGCCTAATTTGTGATGATAATTAGTGAAGTATCTTAAGGATAAACGTCTTATCATTCAAACTAAAGTTCTAATAGACAGAAAACTTTAAAGGAAGTAAAATAATGCGAATTAAAACTTTTCAAAAAGCCAGGGCAGGACAATAGTTGTTGCTGAATATGTGTAAGCAATGTTTTAGTACCTGGAATGGGACAGATTTGATTTCCTTTGCTGCTGTAGTGTCTTTAAGCTTAAATCTGAATGTGAGATTACTTTCTTTTCGAGCAGTGCCCACTTCTTTCTCCAGCTGACTCAAGTTCTGTTTAAGAACACACGTTCATTCTTTTTGCATTTTTTGAAAGGGTAATAGCAAACACAAAATCATTGATTTCTACTTGAAAAATAAAGATGAGCAAAAACGAGTATAGCTCTCTATGTTGGGGACAATATGGAGTTGGGTCTACTCAAGGATAAATGGTAACATAATAACTGTCCTAAAAATGGCTGGAGACTTACTGGGCTGTAGTCCGGCTCATCAAAAACAAACTCTGGGTGCAAGAAAAACCTGACCGTCACAGCTGTAGCCACAGCCTCGTTCTGGGCAATCAGCCTCAGCTGGCGGATGATTTCTGCAGGGTTGAGTTTACTGGTGGTGCCACCTGTCAACTCTGCTGCCTGACTCACTGTGTTGAGCTGTACCGAGTCACCCTCCAGAGCTAAAATGTTGATGGTGACGTTTTTGGACCTGGCATAGTTGCCAACCTGTGGAAGATTTTAGCCATGGAAGTGTTAAAGTCCACCGTCAATTCATAGACTACATCAGCAAAATATATCTGGCATGTTAACTAAAATGCAACAGAAATGTATATCATGTGATCTCAGGATGTAAACAATGTAAAAGCTATTGATAAATTTCCAATCTAATGGTCAGTGGGGTGGTTGGAAAATTATTTTTATTGACTTTGCAAAGAAAGTTTAGCCTTAAGACGCCATTGTAAAAATGTGGTTAAGTAACAATTCTTGGTCTGATGCCTACATAAGTAAGACTTGTCTCCACAACTAAAGAGAGCTTGTTATTGCTCAATGTAAAATCTGGCATGTATTGACTGTATACAAAAGTTCTAAAACCCATTTAATCATGTACCAACAGTCTATAGTGGTTCCCATGTAACCATGTAACAAATGTATAAAATAGTTCTAAAACCCACTTAACCCAGCTATTGTTTATTTAAAGTATCACCTGTTTGTAAAACTCTTCACCAGCCGAGGAAGGCAGGGAACCAATGCCAACATTAGGTTTACCATCAGTACACAAAACAATCTCAGAGCCTGGAGTTCTGCTGGCAAGGCCTACACATATAGCAAGGGCTGGACCTAAAGCTGTACCACCAATGGCTCGTATCTGCTTGACAATTTCATCTATATCTCTATTGAACAAATTTAAAACACACAGGTTCTCTGATTGTAAAGAGAAATATTGCATCGTAAATATTGTCAAAAGTTAGATGTCTAAAAAAATTTCTCGTATTTTTACTTTCTCGTATATACGAAGTATAGAGAAAGTCTTGTAATCGTGCAAAAAAAAAAAATCGAGATTTTTGCAAATCTCGACGTTTTACATCTCACTGATACGGAAAAACATAATTTTGCAATCTTGTCCGTATGTCTGTGTGTCTGTGTGTGTGTCTGTGTGTGTGTGTGTCCGTGTGTAAACACGATAACTTGAGTACCGTTACAGCTAGGTTGATGAAATTTCATATATAAGTATTTAATCAAAATCGTAGATCCGTATCAACTTTTGAGCGATTTCCGATAACCGGAAGTGGTACTTTTCCTACTTTGAATTTTTCAAAAGCCTATAACTTGAGTACTATTTCAGATAGATAAAAGAAATTTCATACGTAAGTAAAAGATCTAATTCTCTACCTTCTATTAAATTTTGAGTCATTTCCGTTGACTGGAAGTAGTACTTTACGCTACTTCCGATTTCTCAAAAAACTAATGTAAATTTTAAAAGTAATAATAATATTGCGCACTATTATGCGCTTTTTTATTTCGCGTTCACTTGGTGAGCAATTAATTTGTCTACGAGATTTTATTCTATTTTTAAAACTTTAAGTATTTAAAATGGATTAAAAATCATGTCTATAGCCCGAGTTCCCATCCCCTGTTATTTTATATAAGAATATTCGAGAAAGTTTTGGGGAGATCACTCCCTGTTTATTTATTCTTCAGAAAAATGAGCAATTGTTTTTTTATTTAATTGAAAAATCATTTGCTGTATTACAATTAACTAAAGACTGCAGTTAGCTGGTAGTTGCTTCTGACTCCAGATATTGTAGGATATAATTTATTTTTTATTAAGTTACCGAGAGTATTATTATCTGGCTAGAGGCTTAATAATAGTGTAAATTGTATTAAAATACAAACTTACTGTCGTGTGTCCTTAATGGTTTTCGATGGATATCCACCCGATAAACTTAAACCATAATTAATCAATGCATTGAATGTTTTGCATATTAAACTGCTCTGAATTAGAGTGACCTCCCCCCATCCACCAGCTTTCACTACCACATCGTTGTTGAACACAACCAGCAGCACTTTCTTCCTTGGTTTTTCAACCGTTAACTGCTCCACCAGTCTATTGACATTTTATAATTGGGAAATAAATTTAATGGTAAATTTCTAAAATTTAAAGTAAGTTTCTAAAATGTAATGGTAAATTACTAAAATATAATGTTAAATTTTTAAAATGTAATGGTAAATTGCTAAAATGTAATGTTAATTTTTTAAAATGTTATGTTACATTTTTAAAATGTAATGGTAATTGCTAAAATTTAATGTTAATTTTTTAAAATGTAATGTTAAATTTTTAAAATGCAATGGTAAATTGCTAAAATGTAATGGTAAATTTCGAAAAAAAATGGTAAATTTCTAAAATGTAATGACAATTTCTAAAATTTAATGATAAGTTTCGAAAAATGTAATAGTATGTTTCTAAAGTCTAATGGTAAATTTCGATAATAAAATGGTAAATTTCGAAAATCTAATGGTAAATTTCGAAAATGTTTTAATAAGTGTTTAAAATGTAATGGTAAAATTCTAAAATTTACTGGTAAATACCTATTATAAATATTTTTTTCAAAAAGAAACCCAAGGCCTTAATATTTCAGGAAAACTTATCAAAATTAAAGTTTATAAAGCATCTCTTTACATATAAATAACAGTTTAAGTAAAATATGTTAAACTTAAACAAAAAGATATAGAAAATTTGTATAATATGAAATCACCTTTGTATTGCTTTTTTTATACAATCAAGTCGGCTGACATTATTTACCAGTGCATCTGTGCCCAATCTTGATTGTCCCCATAAAGCTAAAATACAATAATTTTTAAAATATCTTTAAGTGAATGTACATTAAATTTCTACTTTTAATAGTATTTCTTTTTTAACTTACGGTTGCCCTTAGTTTAATACTTTTAAAAACACAAAGGATTAAAAGATTATCACAATTTTTACAATAATATTTAAATTAATTAAAATTCAAACGGAATAATTTAGACTATGGGAATCGGCTCTTTTACTCAAATAATTACTGATTTAATTATAGCATTGAGGTTTTTAAAAAAATTAAACAACACAAGTGTTAAGAAACATTTATCGAATATTTCTTTTTTCAAAAAAGTAACAAAAGATAAGTATACTATTTTTGGTCATTTTGTTGTTACAGAAAATATTTCAGGCAAAGTTGAGGGAATGTTTATTGTTGGAGCTTGAGATTGGAGATCAATATGAAGCACAAAAAAGATATTGGAAGATTTTACATTTAAAAGATTACTTGTACAACATTAAATGAATGGTATTATTCACATACTTTACATGCAATGAAAGATTAGTTAAGAATTTAGAAATATCTTTTTGTATTACAAAACAAAGAATATTAATTGTTGTGTCTGAAAATATTTACAAAAAAAAACAACAACAAAAGATGGTACATTTACAAGAAAAGAAAACCTACAAAGAAAAAGACACCGCCACCTAATCAAAGAACTTACAGTGAGACTCGGGTACGTGACACTTTTCATTCATGGAGCCACTGATATCCATGCAGTAAACTGTAACACCCTCAGACACCTTCTTCTTCTCTGGCTTGCTGGTCTCGCCTGCTGAGTTGTTGGTTTTTTGTGCAGGTTTTGTTGGAGGCGAGAGCATGAAATCAAACTCTTCTCCTTTAGGTATCTCATCCTCGGCTATATCCAAGTCTTGGTTGGTAAACCCACAAAACTCACTGAGATAGAAAATAGAAAATATCCAAACATTCTTTAATGTTTACACACCCCACATACATACATATATGCACACTTACCTACATTTATTAATATTATATATATATATATATATATATATATATATATATATATATATATATATATATATATATATATATATCAGTGTCCGAGAAAAAGAAATATTCCGGACTTTGGCCGGTCAATGGGAGGAGATATTGGCCAAGTAAGTTTCCAACGACAGTGTTTCTTACCATTTCCATGACTTAAGTTCCCCTTCACTCTCAAGCCTGGCTGTGCTAGTTAGGACAGCTAAACACTGACCACACTTGATAGGGTCCCCAGTGACCAGCTTTGGCTCATTAGCCAGGTTCCTTAATGGAACTAACACAACATTTCCATCTGTTTTCTTCTCTAAGACTATCACTACATTTTCGTCACTCTCTCCATCTTTCACGTCGTACCCTTTTGGAGGTTGCACTGAATCTTGAAAAATATCAAATTTGGTTATCTCATGCAAGTTATCAAACCTTGTTTCATACCTGGTTTATTATTTACCATATGTTTTTGACTGCTATACAATATCCTTACATTTGTTTAATTGAATAAAAAATGTTTTTCATTTGCTGCTACACATTTATGAATATAGGCCTGATAAAGAGCTAAATGTTGTTAAAATATCAAACTAGTGATGATAGCTCTTTTTAAGTCCTTTAACATTGCTATAATCTTTAATAAATTCACAACAAATTATATCTGCACAGCAATGAACTAAACAATTATATTTTAAGTGTTGACGTGTAAAACGTATGTTACTACATTTACACTTACATGCACATTTAGCTGAAGGTGGAGCCTTAGATTTTCTTTTAAATGAATGTTTTAGTTTTGAAAATAAACTTTTCTTTTTTCTTGGATCTGCATAACTGTATACTTCTTGACTGGACGTGTGCGTGTTTTTCTCCGATTTGCTGACCGCCTGCAGTCCACTGACCCGTATCATCTTCCTGTAGGAGTCTTCTATCGTCGGATCGTAGTCCTCCACAAACGAGTCATTCACAAAGCGGATAGTTAGACAGGATTTACCCACTGCTCCATCGCCAAGCATTACAAGCTGTGGAACATGCGATAGGAAGTTCTATTTACAACCGCTTTATGTTTTAAAAATGTCATCCCATTCACCTTTTGCAAGTCTCACGTTCCATCCTAAAGCCTAACCCACCACCCACATTTTTGTTTATAAATGTGAAATCGTCGTCTTAGTTTACCCATCCCATATACAACTTTTTTCCCAAAAACATAGTTTCGGCTACTCTGGTTCTAATTTGTGGAACAATCTTCCTAATAAAATAAAACTATCTAGATCTGAAAATATATTCAAAACTAAACTAAAACAACAATTATTTAATGACCACCTGAACTGACTCATTGCAACTTTTCTCATTCATCTATTATATTCTCATTCTATCTCATTTTGTATAATAAGTATGTAATATTAATTCTTTATTTCAAATTTTGAATTGCTATGTTACTGCTGTCTTTTTTTAATGCTGTAATTACGTTGTTGTTTTCTTTAAACGGCCAATGTGAAAAACGGCCTCCGTGCCTAGGCTACTGTTGTTACCGTTATTGAATAATTGAATAGATATAAAAACATATTATATCCACAGGAGTCGTCACAACGTTAAGGGAGGTGGGCCGTACATTATATAACACTATGTGACGTGGATGGGGAGGTACTTTTGTAACGATAGATGACGAGGAGATGGTGGGGGAGGGGAGAGTTAGCAAGGTCTGAGGACACTATTTCAAAAAGTAACTAAGTAAGTAAACGTTAGCCGTTATTGCTCGTTTTTTTTTAAACGAAACCTTTTTTAAACTGTAATAAAATGTGACCAATATACTCAGTTGACCGAGTTTATTAAATATTTATTCCACCAACCTTATAGTCACTGCTAAGTCTGGGGATTGTTCGCACAAGACCTTTGATAGCTTCTGCTACATTTGAGCCAGTTTTAGCTGATGTTTCAAAGAAAGGTACACCCAGTTTCTTTGCAAGGTCAGCTCCTTGTTCGCTAGTGACAGCTGCTTCACTTGTGAGGTCTTGTTTATTTGCCACTAGAATCTGAAATGATTGACTAATTACACGAATAATAAACATAATGCGATTTTGTCGGGTCGGTAAAGCCCAATGTTGCTAAACCGAATAGTCGGCGAGTTTGAAAAAGCTGGCAGATGAGGCTCGATAGCAATCCCATCTAGGAGAGAAAAAGCAAAATGAAACAAAAGAGAGAAAAGCCGGTGAATTTCGGAAAATGACCCATAACAGGTTGATAGGTAACGCTCAATTGTGGAGAAAATCCCGTCCAACATTACAATTTAGAAAGAAGAAGTAGAAATTTCAAACCAAACTTTAAACTAAAATCATGTGAACTAAACAGCGTTTTCAAATCAGTCTACATCTCTCTTTGGTCGTTCCCAGTGAAGAAGAATAAAACCTTTGCTCTTCCGGCTTATATATCCGATGACCGGAAGTGTCCACATGACCATATTGAAATAATCGAAAAATACCAGAAAATTAAAAACACCAACATACACCAAATAAATAACCCAGCCAATGTCAATGATATCAAACATTTTCCTTTAAAAGCTGCTCCTACAACTTACTGCACACGGCGTGGCTTGCTTGACTTTCTGCAGCCAATGGAAAATGGTTTCAGCCTCGATGAAGCTGGCCTTGTCCGTGATGCTGTAGATGATGACGAAGCCGTCCCCGGACTTGACATAGCTGTCCCGTACAGAGGAGTACTCCTCCTGACCTGCTGTGTCCAGTATGTCAAGCAAGCACGTCTGGGTGGGGAGGGAGGGGTGGGGTTAAACTTCAGGCATTCCGACAAGTATCAACGCATATAGACAGACACATATTATTTCACCATCTCACCCACCACCTCACCAGATCCTTAAACTACATATCACATCCATATTTTTTTATGACACAACACTATTTTTCCTTTACCATGCCTATATTGCATGTTTTTGCCCCATTCCTACCTTATAAATCGGTATCCCACCCTTCCCCACATAACCCACAAAACATAGATCACACTTACACCATACCGACTCAGGTAAGCCTCCGCCTTTATTCATTATGTTTCACGTTTATACACCCAGCACATTATGTGCCCTATATTCATTCAGTGTCGAACTTATACAAAGCCGTACTATATGCACACATAATGGCCATTCAACAGAGACCTGAAAAGAAACGCTACACCTTCCCACCCAACTTATATACAGTTGAAGGTTGTTTTTTAAATACACCCAGTATTTAAAGCCGCTGTGACCTCTATTGATTAGCCCAAATAGGTAAGTAAAATTGTGGGGAAACAGTACGAATCACTAAGAAATACTGTGTCCACACTACAGGACTTACATCTCCTTCAGTCCAACTATCGGAATAGCTGACACAACATCATTAGACAGCACAGGACACAGCATCATTAAACATCCCAGGACACAACAGCATTAAATATCTCAGGACACAACAGCATTAAACATCTCAGGACACAACAAAATTAGACATAACTGTACACAACATCATTAGACGTCCCAGTACAAAACATCATTAGAAATCCCAGGACACAACATCATTAGACATATCGGGATACAACATTAGACATACCTGTACACACATCATTAAACATCCCGGGACACAACATCTTTCAACATCTCTGGACACAACATCATTAGACATCCCAGGATAAAACAACACTAGACATTCCAGGACACAACATCTTTCAATATCTCTGGACACAACATCATTAGACATTTCAGGACACAACATCCTTCAACATCCCTGGACACAACATCATTAATCATCCCTGTACACTACATCAATGGACATCCCAGGACACATCATCTTTCAACATCCCAGGACTTACCTCCCCGTCATCCAAGCTATCAGAGTCGCTGTCAGAGACGACGACACCACAAAACTCGAGCTCCTTCACCTGTTCTTCGTCGTCAGATCCATCGCCAATGTACACAAACTTGCTGCCCAATTCCATAGTTAGCTTTTGACGACAGAAGCTTCTAGAATGACGTTTTTATTTCAGGCAAAATTTGATTTGCAGCTATTATTTTGAGCGCAATCTAAATTTTTGTTTTCAAAAGTATCGTTTTCAAACTTGCATTTTTCTCTTCGCAATATTATTCGTCTTCATATTTTGCGCCCTATCGCTATATTTAGAAACTGTAACAAGAAAGGACGGGGGAGCAGATCTCATTAGCCAGCCTGAAACGCATTTAAAACTCTCTGCACAATCTTTATAATTTAATGAATCAAAGCATTATATTACATTTTATTATTAGCTATTAGGATGAATTACAAAATCAGTCAAATGAATATTTTTATGTAAATAATTTATCAACGATTACTTATTACCACATGATTGTCGTTTATGGCATTTTCAATTTCACCGTAGTTTATTATTTTTACCAAATACAAAGTTACAAATAAAGAATTACCAAGTAAGCATCCAGTCAATATATGGTCCACAGATTTATTCCTGTTCCAATACTATGCGGATATTATTTACACCGCTGGAACCGTAGAAAGTAGCTAAAAATATATTGATTTCCATTGGAGCAGAGTAAATAAATTTCTATTTATAGTAACTTAGCATGTACTTGCGTTCAATGCAACAGCTCACTGAGGGAATACCCATTAATTTAATAACATAAACTTAATGACATTAACAAGCCAATATTTACCACGCTTTTCTTAAGCTACGATCATCGCACAGATCTCAAAATGGCAAATCACCATGGCTAGACTAAAACTGAAATCCACCCCGTTTTACTCAATAAATATTATTTTTATCTCTAACAACAACCCATTAATTAATACAATATTGTGTCAGCTGAGGGTATACGCCAACAGCACCTTCTCATTTTAGTATATTTTTACTTTCTCGTATATACGAAGTATAGAGAAAGTATTGTAATCGTGCACAAACATCACTTGAAATTCTAACAATTTTCACCGTATTACACCTCAGTCCTTCATCACATCCGAAGTATAGAGGACTTATTTTAATCGGGCAAAAATTATCAATCCAGATTTATCAAAATTAAGAGGTTTTATGCGTAATCCAGTCTGAAAAACTGGGCTTTGCAATTCTGTCCGTATGTCTGTGTGTCTGTCTGTGTGTCTGTCTGTCTGTAAACACGATAACTTGAGTACCGTTACAGCTAGATTGATGAAATTTCATACATAAGTATTTTATCAAAATCGTAGATCCGTATCAACTTTTGAGCGATTTCCGTTAACCGGAAGTGGTACTTTTTCTACTTTGAATTTTTCAAAAGCCTATAAATTAAGTACTATTTCAGATAGATAAATGAAATTTCACATGTAAGTAAAAGATCTAATTCTCTACCTTCTGTTAAATTTTGAGTAATTTCCGTTGACCGGAAGTAGTAATTTACGCTACTTCCGATTTCTCAAAAAAATAAAGTAAATTTTTAAAGTACTAATAATATTGCGCACTATTATGCACTTTTTTATTTGGCGTTCACTTGGTGTGCAATTCTTTTGTCTACGAGATTTTATTCTATTTTTAAAACTTTAAGTATTTAAAATGGATTAAAAATCATGTCTGTGATAGATTGTAATCACTGACGAGAAGCCGCGTTGGTTGTTAACAAGCCTTTATTTACAGCCATGATGGAAAGAGGAAGAGGAAGTACAAAGCCCAAGGGACATCACTCAAGATAACAATATAAATATAATACTAATACAGAAGAGTGAGTTCCCTTGACCTCACAATTATCTCAATCTATTACATCCCTTTACCCTTAGAACACAATAACACATCTCTCAATAGAACAATTGATAGTATCCTAAAATCACCAATTATATTGTAACATGAACACTATGGTAGATTACATCCTTACAAACAATGCACAATCTGTTACAACATAATTAAAATACAAACAATGATGTCAAAGTCCTTTTGACCTTTAAAATCATAGGTCTAACTTATTTGGGACTTTGATTGTCCTGCTTGACCTTCTCAGTGGCTTTTGATTTGGTGACTCAAGATTCTGACCATCTGGATTCTCTATCTCAGGAGGTCTAGGATTTAAATCATTAACTCCAGAATTTACATTTTCTGACTCCAGACAACTTGGTTCACTCATATCAACAGAACTTGGTTGTGGAACAAACTGAGCTGGTGTGAACTGATCAGATTTGGTGGGATTGACAGATTCACACTTATTATCTGCACAAGTTATTTTTAACTTTATAAGACACAGGTCCTGTACATTGAACAATTTGACCTGGTATCCATTTTTCCTTTCTCCCATAATTTCTTAGATACACATTCTCATTAACACCAAATTCTCTTTCAATGAATGTTTTGTCATGATTTAATGGAACTATTTTTGAATTGGCATCTGAAAGTATTATGCTGTTATTCAGATCCTTAATTGACATAGATTTCTTTGATTGATCAATTTTCTCAGGTAATCTGATAGTGCTTTCCTGGTAACCAAAAATACTGTTTAAAAGTACTATTCTGGACCATATCACTTTGCAACTGTGATCCAGTATTTGAAATGGGTGTATTAAATGGCAAAAATCTTTTTCTTCTTTTGATGTTACCCTTTTAGTTTCTGTAAGTGCTAATGATGTTAGCAAAGTTGTTTGATGATCACATTCCTTCTTACTAATGTATTCTCTTTAAAACATTTGAAATTGCCATATCACCATAATCATTTATTAAGTTACAAGTACTTTGTTTAGGCAACTCTGACTGATAATGGACTGCATCTTCTCCATCTTTTATATTATCTTCACAAAGGTTTTTATTTCTTATTTTATATGGCCTTAAGTCATCATTCATAGACTCTTCAGGCCAACCATTTTTACAGTACTCATATACTTTTATTAAGCACTCATCTTTTTGTGTTTCTCTTTTAATATAATTCACATCTATATTGGAGTTATCCATGATAGTGAAGAGAACAAATACATCTTCTGGTACATAGCTCAGGCTCTGGTTTTTTAAAGGTAATCTACTAAGGCTATCTGCACTATTCTCAGATCCAGGTTTGTATTTCAATTCATAATTGTATGCAGTTAGTGTGATAGCCCATCTTTGAATTCTTGGTGAGGCATGCTCAGGTAGGGTTTTGTTTTCTCCAAATAAACCTAGCAATGGTTTATGATCTGTAAAGATGGTGAACTTCCTACCAAACAGAAACTTATGAAATTTCTTAACACCAACAATGATGCCTAAGCCTTCTCTATCTAACTGAGAATAATTTTTCTCAGCCTGGTTCAAAGATCTACTGGCAAAAGCAATGGGTCTGTCACCCTTCTCATCCATGTGGGACAAGACTGCTCCTACACCATCTGGTGAAGCATCACATGTCAATACAAGTCTTTTCCCTGGGTCATAGTGAGTTAGTAAGGTGTCAGAAGACAAAGCCTCTTTTGCTGTATTAAAAGCAGTATCTTGTTGTTTACCCCAGTGCCAAGTTGCATTTTTCTGTAGCAGCTTGTACAGTGGTGATAGTTTACCAGACAGATTTCCTATGAACTTTGCATAGTAATTTATCAAGCCCAAAAAAGCTCTTAGTTGTTGGGTATTTTCAGGTTTGGGTGCTTCTTTAATGGCTTTTGTTTTCTCAGGTTGAGGTCTGATGCCTTGTTTGCTCAATATATAACCAAGAAAACTAATTTCTGTCAGCATGAATTGACATTTATCTTTGTTTATCTTTAAACCTTTTTCACCAACAATTTTCAATACTTTATCAAGTGTTTTAAGATGTTCAGTGTCATTCTTACCAGTTATGTACACATTGTCAAAGTACACACAAACATTTGGAATATCCTTAAAAATACTGTCCATGACAGCTTGGAAAATTCCAGGGCTAGATGATATGCCAAAACACAGTCTTTCATATTGGTAGAGTCCTTTATGTGTGTTTATTGTCGTATAGACTTTTGAATCTGGATGCAGTTCTAGTTGAGTGTAAGCATGACTAAAGTCTAATTCAGTGAATTTGTCTCCTCCTGCCAAATTCAAAGAAATTTCCTCAATGTTAGGAATAGGGTACCTATTTAGCTCTATTTGCTTATTCAGTGTAGTTTTGTAGTCTCCACAAATTATATATAGATATAACTTTATCTAGTGAAGTAAGACTAGATTCTTTTGCATTGTTCAATGAACAAATACTCTCCCAATTTAACTTAAGATCACTTAACCAGTTCCTACCTAGTAATGGTGGTCCATTTCCTTCAACCACAAGAAGAGGAAGTTTAACACTTTGACCATTATAACTTACATGAACCATACACTCTCCTATTACCGGAACATTGTCACCAGTGTATGTTGTTAAACACTTGTGACATGGCTGTAGAGGCACTGATCCTCCTGTGACAGCGTCAAAATCTTTCTTTGTTATGACTGTTAGAGATGCTCCAGTGTCAAGTTGGAAGCTGATGCTCTTACCGTTGATATAAACTGGTACATTGATAGAAGCATGACTTATTGATTTCACAGAGAATAGGTTGAAATCCGGCTGCGAGTCAGTTTGAGAATTTTCACAGGTAGAGTGGTTCATTGGTTGGGTTAGGTAGTCTTGGTGAGAGTTAACATAGTGCTGCCTTTGGTTGCGGTACTGTCTTGACTGGCTAGATTTAGCAACAGACGAAGACTTTGCAAAGCAGGCCTTGGCAATGTGACCTTGCTTACCGCACTTATAACAAGTTGCAGACTTGAACTTGCACCGATGAGATGCATGGGGACCTTTGCATCGATGACATTTTTGATAATTATTACTAGATTTAGATCTAGGATTTGAACGAGCAGGCTGTTTAGCATAAGTTGGAATGCTCTGTTGGGGTTGATGTTTATTGACTAACCTGCTGTTTACTGCATGGATCTCTGAAGGTGCTAAAGATCTCGCCGCATCAGATGACTGCTGGATTGAAGTTGCGAGTTGTATTGCTTTTTCTAATGTTAGATCTGACTCGAGAAGCAACTTTCTTTGAATATCAGGGCTGTTTACACCTGTCACAAACTTTTCACATAGTCTGTCAGACAGCGTTTCTCCAAATTCACAGAATCTACTTAAATGACGTAAAGCAGCAACATATTCTGATATTGACTCGTTTGGTTGACGAGTCCTACCGTCAAATCTAGCTCTACATAGAAACTTTGATGGGGTAGGCGCATGGTGGTCTGTTAGCAATTTGCTCAGCTCGTTAAAGCTCTTGGTAGTTAGACTAGCTGGTGCGCATAAGTCTTTTAGTAGCCTAAATTGTTGAGGCCCTATGACTGTTAACAAAACAGCTCTCTTTTTGGCTTCTATCGTCACGTCGTTTGCTTCAAGGTAAAAGCTTAACCTATCTAGGTAATCCTGAATGATTTCATCATTCGAATCAAATTGCTTTATTTGGCCATACAGCGCCATTATTCTAGAAATAATTAGCCAATAAGCTCTAGCAAACCTCTTTTTTGCGTAAGTAGGTGCTCTTTCTAGTAGATCTTTATCCTCGTCGCCAAAATGTGATAGATTGTAATCACTGACGAGAAGCCGCGTTGGTTGTTAACAAGCCTTTATTTACAGCCATGATGGAAAGAGGAAGAGGAAGTACAAAGCCCAAGGGACATCACTCAAGATAACAATATAAATATAATACTAATACAGAAGAGTGAGTTCCCTTGACCTCACAATTATCTCAATCTATTACAATGTCTATAGCCCGAGTTCCCATCCCCTGTTGTTTTATATAAGTATATTCGAGAAAGTTTAGGGGAGATCACTCCCGGTTTATTTCATAAGCATTGTAGGTCTACGAAAAATGTCCGAACGACACTTGTCCGAATGGACACTTGCCCGAACGGGACAAATACCCAAATGGACACTTGCCCGAACGGGACAAATACCCAAATGGACACTTGCCCGAACGGGACAAATACCCAAATGGACACTTGTCCGAACGGAACAAATACCCAAATGGACACTTGCCCGAATGGGACAAATACCCGAATGGACACTTGCCCGAACGGGACAAATACCCAAATGGACACTTGCCCGAACGGGACAAATACCCAAATGGACACTTGCCCGAACGGGACAAATACCCAAATGGACACTTGCCCGAACGGGACAAATACCCGAATGGACACTTGCCCGAACGGGACAAATACCCAAATGGACACTTGCCCGAATGGGACAAATACCCGAATTGACACTTGCCCGAATGGGGCAAATACCCGAATGGACACTTGCCCGAATGGGGCAAATACCCGAATGGACACTTGCCCAAATGGGGCAAATACCCGAATGGACACTTGCCCGAATGGGGCAAATACCCGAATGGACACTTGCCCAAATGGGGCAAATACCCGAATGGACACTTGCCCGAATGGGGCAAATACCCGAATGGACACTTGCCCAAATGGGGCAAATACCCGAATGGACACTTGCCAGAATGGGACAAATGCCCGAATGTACACACAAGCACACACCCACATATAGGGCCAAACCAGAATATCAAACGTCTTTTAAATAGTCCAACAGAGGGCCCGTAACACTAATTTGAATAGTCAAATAGAAGGCCCATAGTCGAATAGGGGAGATCCCATTACGCATTGCCTTGTTTTTTACTTTCTCCTATACGAAGTATAGAGGAAGTATTGTAATTGTGCAAAACAAAAAAAAGTCGGAAAAACATAGTTTTCCAATTTTGTCCGTATGTATGTGTGTATGTGTGTATGTATGTGTGTCTGTGAAAACGATAACTTGAGTACCGTTATAACTAGGTTGATGAAATTTCATTTATAAAAATAATATCAAATTTGCAGTTCTGTATCGCCTTTTCAGCTATTTCCAGTAACCGGAAGTGGAACTTATTATATTTTCAATTTTTCAAAAGCCTGTAGCTTGAGTACTGTCTCTGATAGACAAATGAAATTTCAGATATAAGTAAAAGATCTAATTCTCTGCCTTCTTTCAAATTTTGAGTACTTTCCGTTGATAGGAAGTAGTAATTTACTTGATTTCCGATTTTTTTCGAAAAACGAATTTGTATTTACAAAGTACTATTATTACTATAAATTATATTAATTGCAGTCGGAAAAAACATAATTTTGCAATTCGTCTGTGAGTGTCTATCTGTGAACACGATAACATGAGTACCGTTACAGCTAGTTTGACGGTATCAAATGTGTAGTTCCGTATCAACTTTTCAGCAATTTCCGGTAACTCGAAGTAGAACTTATTCACGTAAGCACTATTTAAGTTAGAAGAATTTTTACAGATATGTAGAAGATCTTATTCTCTGTTTTCTAACAAATGTTTGTTTCATTTCCGAAACTCTCCTCATAAAGCGAGACAACTACATTGATAATTTGACATGATCCACCTTGCTTGGTTAAATCCCCTTGCAAATTGGAAAGCGCTCAAAACTGATGTAAGTCAATATAAGTTTTTAAAAGCTTAATCTATCTGAAATGACATTGATCATAAATATTTTAAAACCTTGTTTTTGACAACAAAGACAAAAAGATGAACAAAGCTTTTAAAAAATGTTTTATTTTTTCCAGTAATAATGTTATATTCAGGTTTTAAAAATGCCTTTCATTATGTGATAATATACTAATGGAATGGAATAAAAAAAAAACAACCTTACACTACTGATCAAAACATCGTGTAAGGAATCATCATCAGAATTTCCCTTTGTGCTCATGACACATAGGGCAGATGAAGTAGAGTTCATCTGTTTCAATGCTACATGGGGATGGTGTGATCAGCACTGTACCCAGCCACTTAGTTTCCCTAACATATGTCGGGTATCCATAAGAGCTGAGCAGACTCAGCCGGGGATCCAAACTAAAGACTCTGGTGAGCAGTGGCACACTAAACCATATAATGAATATGATACAATATAACAAAATATGCAACCAATTAATTCATGCAATCAACATGAACAACTAAATGACACTGCAAAAATCCCCCTAAGGTGTTGCATACACAACATCAGACGCAGAAATTGAGTGTGGGGTTTCACATTTTTGAGATGTGTTTTGTTTAAGAATGGAGTTAATTAAAAGATAATAATAAATGTTCATAAAGGCTAGATTTTCTTCGATTAAGTGATAAAAAAGATTTGTGAGGGAAAAGTGTCATCAACACTAGGACTATAATATCATTTATGGAAGATATGTTAGATCTACAATAGTGTCACTAGGCTTTTAGTAATAGGCCTACTTATTGAATATTCTATAGTCTAGGACACATAAAATGGTAGAGCCATCCTGCATTTTTATGGTACCCTTTTTTTTTACATTTACAACTTTACAAAGCATCATGTATTTGCCAACATAAAAATTAACATACATTTAGTCATACAAAGGTATATTTTTTTTTATAAATACACCTATTATTTCCACACACCTACCCCCCTCCCATGTCACACACGCACATCCTACATTATCTAAATTCTCATGGCAGTTTCCTCCAGTGAACATTTGCAGAAGCACAGTCTACAGCATATCATTTCGGTAACTATAGTACCTATCTTTAGCTTCAGGCTTCATATTACTGTTAATATTTGCTTTCAATTTAAGTTGTGTGGGTAAAAAATTTCTTTGTGCCTGTATCGTGGCCCCTAGCAGAGCTGTTGTCCTGTCATCCATATGGCCTGCTCTCTAGAACAAAAAATTGTTGAAAACATGACGGTAGAATTCAATGAACCTCTACACTATTAATGTTGAAAACATGAAGGTTTAGTCAATGAATCTCTGCCATTGTTACATTATAGGCCTAAACATGTATATCTGCTTGTAGCTTGTGAAATGCACCAAAAAAACCCATTATTTTGTATTTTCAGAAAATTTCTAATTGAGCCATTATTCCATACTATTTAATAAACATTGACATTTATTCTATTTACCTGTTGCGGATAAAATTTAAATTTGCAAAGTAAAATAAAAAGTACCGAAAAGTTTTCAACTTCATTTGTGAGCGCATTGTCCAACTCTCTCGTCTCATTTATGTAAGCCAGTCTTGCCTCTCTCTGGTCATCTGATTTGGCCGCTCTCATCACCAAACGTTTCACATTTTTGCTACAAATTTAAAAAAAAAAAAAAATTTAAACTGCTTAGCTAAACATATCCATCTACAGCATTTACCTCCCTTAAACAATCTTATAAACATGAAATAACATTTGATTTATTTAATCTATAGAAGACCTATAATTAGAAGATTATTCAATTCCAAAGTACTTTAGATATAGCTTTCTAGCTCCCATAAAATATTACAGAGGAGTTTAAGTTTGCAATTATGTAAATATTAATTGCAAAATAATCATTACATATAGCCTATTTAGATGAAACATATGTATGTTTTTCATAACAGAAGAAGTAAAGCTACAAGGAAAGATATTTTAACAGATGTGGAAACGTCACATGTCACCAAGTAACAAGGGCAATAAAAAAAGATGTTAGTCGAAAATGTTGTTATGTTGTATATTCAGTAATTAGAGTCCATAGTTAAAATCATTAGATAAATCAAGAGATTAACAGAGTAAAGGTAACTAAATAGACTTATACAATCAATATTAAGATATGATAGGATTCAAATAAAATAATGCTTACCTATGAAGTATTCTATATTTAACATGATCTGACTTACAGTTGATGCTGACTAAAGATCTAACTTACAGTTGATGCTGACTAAATATCTAACTTACAGTTGATGCTGACTAAATATCTAACTCACAGTTTATGCTGAATAAAGATCTAACTTACAGTTGATGCTAACTAAAGATCTAATTTACAGTTGATGTTGACTAAAGATCTAACTCACAGTTTATGCTGAATAAAGATCTAACTTACAGTTGATGCTGACTAAAGATCTAAGTTACAGTTGATGCTGACTAAAGATCTAACTTACAGTTGGTGCTGACTAAAAGATCTAACTTACACTTGATGCTGACTAAAGATCTAACTTACATTTGATGCTGACTAAAGATCTAACTTACAGTTGATGCTGACTAAAGATCTAACTTACAGTTGATGTTGACTAAAGATCTAACTTACAGTTGATGTTGACTAAAGATCTAACTTACAGTTGATGTTGAGCTTCTTTGCCTTTCCCTGATTTGGCCATGCTAGTTGTAGAGTTGACAGTTGAAACACTTAACACAGGTATGTTGATATTCTACCATAGAAAATTTACATAAAAGTAATGCAAATATATATTGTTTGTAAATTGTTATAAGCCTATGTGAATACCCATTAAAATATTCTTCCACTTAAAAAAATACTGTAAAGCCACATGGCTGTTTACAGTACCTCTTCCATTCTTTGTCTGTCAGTGGTGGTCTCTGAAGATTTGCTCAGGACTCTTAAGCAGCGCATGCCATCCTTCCTTGTGTAGTTGATCTGAACCTAATGTGCACAAGATTATGACAGAGTTTTTATTTTTATTATTATTGTAGGCATATAGTCATAAAATTATCCTAAAATTGTCTGCAATGGTAATGTGATTTCTTTTTGAAAGGCTTACAATATACAAGTGTTCCGTAGGTTTTTTAAAAAAAATTATGGACTGATGATTCTAATAGGTTAAAAAAGACCTAATATAGGCTTACTATGGTTTTGGAGGGCTTAGCAGCTAAACGACTCCAATCATGTAATTTGTTTAGTATATCTAAGCGCATTATTAAAAACCCTGGTTAATGAGATTACTATATCACAACACAAAATAACACTATTACTTTTTTCCCTTATTCTTAATTGTTATTCTGAAAGGGATTTCCTCCAACACAATTAAGTACTACAAGTCAACTTGCTATGTGCCAGACGGGCCATTGACTCTGATTTTAGCCTGCTTTTGTTTTTGGATATCCTTCTATAGCCTTTGTCAACCAAGAACAAACTACAAGACTGCAGTTGTTTGATTTTGGAATTTTAATCTTTATTGGGCCTTTATCTGCCTGGGGTTTGAAGTCAAAATTTGTAGATTTAGCAGCTATGAGCTTAACTGACTTGACCACACCATTCCCAGCTCTATTAAAACTTGCTATGTTTAAGAAACCAAATGTATCCTTTGTTTTGTTATTCAATTCAAATATTTAAGTATAAATGTATATGTGTACAGTATTAAGTACATATGTAAGTAATCAATATAATAGGCTGTGTGATGGGTACCTGGAATGGGACAGATTTGATTTCCTTTGCTGCTGTAGTGTCTTTAAGCTTAAATCTGAATGTGAGATTACTTTCTTTACGAGCAATACCCACTTCTTTCTCCAGCTGGCTCAAGTTCTGTGAAAGTGCATACAACAATTCTTATAGTTTAACAGTTGTTTAAAAAGCTAATCATTTAAATCAACACTTTTACAATTAATAGTAGGCTGAACTTACAACTTGGTTATTCATTGAAAATTAATGAATAGGAGAAAAAGAGTTATCTTGTTTTATTTTGTGAATAGAAGGTAGCAAATTAGTCTGTAAGGTACTATTTAGAGCTGGGTAGACTTAGGGATGGCTAGTGCCAAAAATTGTGTGTTATGGTAAAAGGAATCCAACTCTTTATCATAAGACAACTTTGCAATCACTTGAACATTTTTCCCCAGAGTAATAATAATATAGAATCTAGATCTAGATCTATTAAATTTTCTTTAATATTTTCTTAGATATATTTAACTGCTTAATAAAACTAACTACTTTATAATATAAAGCAGTAATCGACCTTGATGAAAACTAATTAAACATGATAATAATGAAATGAGCATAGTTAAAAAGATTGAATGACTTACTGGGCTGTAGTCCGGCTCATCAAAAACAAACTCTGGGTGCAAGAAAAACCTGACCGTCACAGCGGTGGCCACAGCCTCGTTCTGGGCAATCAGCCTCAGCTGACGGATGATTTCTGCAGGGTTGAGTTTACTGGTGGTGCCACCTGTCAACTCTGCTGCCTGACTCACTGTGTTGAGCTGTACCGAGTCACCCTCCAGAGCTAAAATGTTGATGGTGACGTTTTTGGACCTGGCATAGTTGCCAACCTGTGGAAGATTTTAGCAATGGAAGTGTCAAAATCTGCCATAAATTCATAGACCTCATCAGCAGAACACGTCTGGCATCACTGATGTGGTAACAAACATAGAGACCCTATACTTTAAGATTTATAGGGCTCATGAAGAAGATGGGTTAAGGCTGTAGGGTAGCAGAACCTATTAACTCACTAGAATTTGATTAAGAGTCAATATAAGGGCAATAAATATATCCAATATAGACATTTAGTTAATCAGGATTTACCATTGGACCATGCCATCATTTTACCTACAGAAGTTCTTAATAAAATTTAAAAGACGTCAGGTTGCAGAAGAAGTAGACTTTATGTATTTCTATATTCATTCTATTTAAAATTAATTGCTTAAGCTTCAGTTAGACATTTTACAACAATGTTCCCAAGCATCAGTTGAGTTAATCACTAGAAAAAATTATATTTTTACTAAAACTTAAATAGTAGTAGCCTATAGAATGTACCAAAACCTAATTATTAGGCCTAATTAATGAGTTAAAATAAGTTGGCATCACCTGTCTGTAAAACTCAGCACCAGCCGGGGAAGGCAGGGAACCAATGCCAACGTTTGGCTCTCCATCAGTACATAAAACAATCTCAGATCCTGGAGTTTTGCTAACAAAGCCAGCACATATGGCAAGGGCTGGACCTAACGCTGTGCTGCCACTTGTTCGCAGTTGCTTGACAATTTGATCTATTTCTCTATTATGATTATAGGTTAAACATAAATGTAATACATGTCTGATGTCATAAATTTTATAGATCCATTTTTTTATGGTTTTAATAATCAATTAGCTAGTACAGTAATTAGATATTCGATCAAAATCAATAAACAATATTTTGTTCCATTGATGAAATGTAATTAGACATTGTTTTTATGTTGTTTTAATATGCTGGCTATTGATACTTGATTCTCTATTGGCCTAATATATGAGTATTCTGGTCCTGATCATAGTTAAACAGAAATTTTACAACTTAAGCTTGATGCTATTCCCAAATATAGATCATGTGTTGTTTTTGTTTTTGTTTTTTAAATGGATCTCAAGAGTTTGTTTAAAATAATTGTATATAATAATTAATAATACTAAAAAAAATTAAGTTAATGAAAACATGGATAAGTTAAAATAAAACTTACTCTTGTGTTTCCTCAATGCTTTTTAATGTGCTTTAATGTGTTGTTTTTGTTTTTTTTCAAAATGGATCTCAGGAATTTGTTTAAAACAATTGTATATAATAATTAATAATACTAAAAAAAAATTAAATTAATGAAAACATGGATAAGTTAAAATAAAACTTACTCTTGTGTTTCCTCAATGGTTTTTAATGGATAGCTCTCAGCAAAGCTTGAGCCAGAACTAACTAACTGGTCAAATGTTTGGTTTTCTAGTCTACAAAAAGAGTGCATGCCCTGCCCTCCAGCTCTGACTTGCACATCAGTGCTGAACACCACCAGCAAGACCTGCTTCTCTGGTTCCTCAACTTTCAGCTGCTCCGCCAGTCTGAAATGGTTTTAATGTCTCATGTTAAGAAATAATAATGTCCCAGATAAAATATTTTACGACAAAATATAAGAGGGCTAAATATCTCAGGTAAACTGTACACCTTAGGCTATATATAAAGTATTTTTAGCTTGTTACATAAGCTGATATGTTAAAGCCAGTAAATGCTTGTCTAATGGAAATGAAAATGGTAACAAAACTTTTTCAATCAATACCACCAGACTAGATGTAGTGATAAACCTTTTTTTTACATTTACAATGAAACTCTATACTAATTTTCCACTCCATAGCTATTCAATGTACTTGTAAGCAGTTGATCTAGATCTATATAATAGACTTGTAAAAGAAAAATATTTTACAGTACAAAGATAAATGATGTAGCCTAGTGATACTATAAAAATTTAAGGAACAAAAAAAAAGTTGTGTATAATATGAAATTAAGCCTACCTTTGTATTGCTTTCTTGATGCAATCAAGTCGGCTGACTCTATTAACTTGTGAATTTGAATCCATTCTTGATTGTCCCCATAAAGCTAAAAGATTTTTTATGGGCTATATTATTTGGTACATTAATGGATTATTTTTAACAAATTTACATTATAAATAATAATAAATAAATTGACAAAAGATGAAAATGTTTGCAGAAACTAAAAAAAACAGGCAACTGAAATCCTAATTTTAAATTTACAAACAGGCAGAGGCGTAGCGACCCCTCCCGGCGCCGGGGGACAAACATTCAATTTGGCGCCATCCCCCCCCCTATATTTCTTTTACTTATAATTAAAAATAGCATCTAAAATTAGCTTATTTTGGCGCTTTTGGGTCGGCACCCGGGACATATGTACCCCCCCCCCATTGCTACGCCTCTGCAAACAGGTTCTTCACAACCAACCAGCCAGTGGAAGCACTTGCAGTGTGACTCTGGCACTTTGTAACCAGCCAGTAGAACTTACAGTGTGACTCTGGAACTTGACACAAGACATCCATGGAGCCACTGATATCCATGCAGTAAACTGTAACACCCTCAGACATCTTCTTCTTTTCCGGCTTGCTGGTCTCATCTGCTGAGTTGTTGGTTTCTTCTGCAGGTTTTGTTGGAGGTGAGAGCATGAAATCAATTTCCTCTCCTTTAGGTATCTCATCCTCAGATATATCCAGATTTTTGTTGGCAAACCCACAAAACTCACTGAAATATGTATGCATACAAGCATGTATCTATACCTCGTACCTTTAACTATGGCCTATGGGCCTACCTATACTTATAGCTAGACTTACACCTACATTTATATCATTATAAATATTGTATAAAAAAATTATGTTGCTTGTTATATATGTGTAAATCTAGCACATTTCCCAGATCTGAAAGACATTGTTGTTCTTACCATTTCCATGTCTTAAGTTCCCCTTCACTCTCAAGCCTGGCTGTGCTAGTTAGGACAGCTAAACACTGACCACACTTGATAGGGTCCCCAGTGACCAGCTTTGGCTCATTAGCCAGGTTCCTTAATGGAATCAACACCACATTTCCATCTGTTTTCTTCTCTATTACATTAACCACATTTTCCTCATTCTCACCAAATAGGGGAACTAAAGGATCAAAACACATTTTTTTTTTTAAATTTCCTTTTTCAATGTTTAACAGTAGTAAATAGCTCATCAGAAAATAAAACAGATACCTGTGATAAAACTAATAACAATATTTTGTGACTTTTTATGGTTTAATTGAGTTTGTTTTTAAAAAATTTAGACTTCTTAATTTAAAATAACAATAGACACTTTAGAGACAAAAAATAATATGAATTTTTTTGTTTTAAATTTGAATTGACAATTAATAAGTCAGGTGTAATGATTACTTTTTCTATACATACTTGAAGGTTCAGGATTAGGAGGAGGTGGTATAACACTCGACTGTCTTGTAGCAGCTTGGAATAAATATTACAAATTCTAAAAATAGTTCACTGAACACTTTTACTCAATTTAATAACTGATCACAAATATATAGGCCTACATAGCAATCGTGTAAAAATTATTGTTTTAAAGTTGAGTTAACAAGTAATGATTACTTTTTTAATACTTACACATGCGTTGAGGTTCTGCAGACTGTCTCTTAAAGGGATTTGTTAGTTTTGAAAATAAACTTTTCTTTTTTCTGGCATAAACAGGTGCTGCTTTTGTGATTGATTCATCACGTGCCCATTTCTCAGATTTACTGACCGCCTGCAGTCCACTGACCCGTATCATCTTCCTGTAGGAGTCTTCTATCGTCGGATCATAGTCCTCCACAAATGAGTCATTCACAAAGCGGATAGTTAGACAGGATTTACCCACTGCTCCACCGCCAAGCATTACAAGCTGTGGAACATGAGATAGTAAGTTCTATTTCAACCGCTAAATGTTTTTAACAAATGAAAATTGTTATTGATGAAAGTAAAAAACATTATGCACTTAAGTATCACATAAAATGTAAATATGTAGGTCTACAGACAATTTGATGTATAATTTTATTAGTAACACTACAGAGTTGAAAAAAAATTTAAATTGAATTTTTTATAATAATAAAATTACACTGAAGGGCAAAAGGAAAACACTATCATTAAAATCCATTGTATTAAAATTACAATGAGTTAGGAGCAATTGAAAGTTTGTAGAGTTGATGGGACCAATTTTCTTTACTCCACCAACCTTATAGTCACTGCTAAGTCTGGGGATTGTTCGCACAAGACCTTTGATAGCTTCTGCTACATTTGAGCCTGTTTTAGCTGATGTTTCAAAGAAAGGTACACCCAGTTTTTTTGCAAGGTCAGCTCCTTGTTCGCTAGTGACAGCTGCTTCACTTGTGAGGTCTTGTTTATTTGCCACTAGAATCTGAAATGATTGAGAGATGTCTTGGCTATTTGCCACAATCTGTATGGTAAATAAATGTACTCAAAATATGTTTGAAATGTTAATGAAGGTCTGATAAAGGCATATAAATAAATAAATACTTATATTATATACAGCCTATGTATGTATATATATATATATATATTTATATATATAAGGATATATATATATATATATATATATATATATATATATATATATATATATATATATAGATATATATATATATATATATATATATATATATATAAGGATATATATATATATATATATATATAAAAGGATATATATATATATAAGTATATATATATATATATATATATATATATATATATATATATATATATATATATATATATATATATATATATATATGTGTGTGTGTGTGTGTGTGTGTGTGTATTCATATGACTATGGAATATAACCATATATATATATTTTTTTTACTTTAAATCGATTATGTAGCCTTTAATTATCTTAATCCCATTGGTGGAATAAAGAGGCGGGCTGTAAGGACAGCCACAAAGGGCTTAAGGTTTTAATTAATCCATCCCTGATTAGGCTTACGTGTCACCTCACCATCATTCCCACTTCCTATACTAACATTTTACTGTTTTTAGCTTTAACAATATGGGCTCATATTATATTGAGTCGTTTATTGGAGTCGTTTATTCTTTTTAAATCGAATTAATTATATCAAACGTTTTCCTTTAAAAGCTGCTCCTACAACTTACTGCACACGGCGTGGCTTGCTTGACTTTCTGCAGCCAATGGAAAATGGTTTCAGCCTCGATGAAGCTGGCCTTGTCCGTGATGCTGTAGATGATGACGAAGCCGTCCCCGGACTTGACATAGCTGTCCCGTACAGAGGAGTACTCCTCCTGTCCTGCTGTGTCCAGTATGTCCAGCAAGCACGTCTGTGTGGGGAGGGAGGTTATTGGCACATACAATCATGCACATCGATTTGCAGTGACGACTTATTGTTTTCATCATTAGGCTCACCCCTGCACACAACGTTGCTCATCCTCTACGCTATACATTCCCAAGATCTACAAACCCTGTACACACATTCTGAAATCCGTACTATGTGCGCGCAAACACATATATTCCCCGCGTTTACAGATACTTCTTCAGACTGATCAGCCTACCCCATCGATCTATCCCAAAATACGTTTTCGTATAGCCTTATACAACAGAAAGGACATCAAGGAAACAACAGAAATAAAGAAGTCGAGAAAAAACAGAGGCGAAATTACATAACTAGGCTTTTCCGACTCCGGAAAGTGTAACACAAGATTTTGCAAATCTCGATTTTGATGGGTTTTTTTTTCGCACGATTACCAAACTTCCTCTGTACGCCGTGAACGAGAAAGTAACAAAGGAAACATAATAACAAGAATAGGACCAATCAACTGTTTATTTCGATCACACCAAGTGACTTACCTCCCCGTCGTCTGCGCTATCAGAATCGCTGTCTGACAAAACGACCCCTTTGGATTCTAACTGCTTTACTTCCTCTTCGTCATCTGCACTGTTACCCAGGTAAACAAACTTGCTGCCGAACTCCATGCTGTGATTGTTGTTATCCTTCTAGAGTTTTCTATCCATAACGTAACATAATATTTATAGAATAATATTTTAATTTCAAACTTACATTTACTGGCATCTATTATTACATCTATTATTACATCTCCTCAGAGGCGTAGCGACCCTTCCCGGCGCCCGGGGACATACTTTCAATTTGGCGCCCCCCTCGGGAGCAAATTTTCGATTTGCACCCCTCCCTCGAACTTTCGATTTGCACCTCCCCCCCCTCGAACTTTTCATTTGCACCCCCCCCCCCTCAAACTTTGAATTTGGCGCCCCCCCTAAGGTCGGCGCCCGGGGACATATTTCCCCTACGCCTCTGCATCTCCTACTACACTGACATGTGCTATTGAAAGTGTTTTTTAAACATTTAAATCAATAGAAAAACATCGATTTGGAAACAGCACCATTTAACTATGAGACGAGCATGCCAATAACATGCTGCAAAAACTTAAGTTTTTGCAGCATCAGTCATAAAGGCAGGAAATAAAATACAGTAGCATAACCTATAAATATATTATGCCATCATATTTTGTCATATTTTATCATAAGATATTGTATCATGATATGTGTTATCTGAGATATGTTATCATGAGATATTTATCATGATATATTTCATAATGATATGTTTTATCATGAGATATTTTATCCTATGTTTTATTATGAGATATTTTATAATGAGATATTTTATGTTTTATTATGAGCTATTTTATCAAATTATCATGAGATATTTAGCATGAGATATTTTATCATGAGATATTTTATCATGAGATATTATATCATGATACGTTTTATCATGAGATATTGCCATGACTATCTGGTCATGAAACTGACCCACGGAACATAATTGAACAGCCGAAGCTACAGTATAAAACAATCCTACAATGTTTGTTTGCAACTACTTTAAAACACAATGATGCCTTCTATGAGTGTTCAATATAGTAATATAGCCTATACCTACTAATACAAATAACTTTATTACATATTTATAGGTTATATAAAATATCTAAGCTACTAATTAAGAAAAAATACCAAGTGTAGCGAATAGCCAGTGAAATATTTTTTTCTTGCTGTCTGTATGCTCCTCCTTTAAATCAATGCAGTAAAGATTGTGTTTTTGTTAGATATGCGGATATTGTTTATATACACACAACACCGACGGTGAAAAGGTTGCTAAAAATAAACAATCTTTCATTGGCTGAGAATAAATACACAACTAAATTTAGTAACTGAGCGAGTGTTTGTGTACACCGTAAGAGGTAAGAGCGGGGAATCCCCGATAAAGTCCTCACAAGCCTGTTTTAAAATGTAGACTGTAGTTCATTTTACAAATCTACTGACTAATCTATATTTCGTGTTGGGAATGCGTCTATTTAATAGTAGGACTACATGCTTTAAATGTAATAATTATTTTAAAAAAAAAAACATGTAGGCCTAGTTATCAAGCAAACAAAATAATTATAAACTGTTAAAGTCGAACCAACTCATATGATTAGGACATGTTCATTATGGTCGCGTAGGCAGAATTTTTCATGGAAGGGGTTAAAATTGTGTCGATTATATATATATATATATATATATATATATATATATATATATATATATATATATGCGAGTTGATAAAATTAGACGAATGGGAACACCCATTAATTTAATAACATAAACTTAATGACATTGACAAGCCAATATTTACCAAACTGTTTTTAAGCTACGATCATCTCAAAATGGAAAATCACCATTGCTAGACTAAAACTGAAATCCACCCCGTTTTACTCAATAAAATATTATTTTTGTCCGAATGGGACAAATACCCGAATGGACACTTGCCTGAATGGGCAGTGCTTCTTCCAATTTTTTCTCCGGAGGGGGGGGGGGGGCACTTTAATTTTCTGTGGGACGGGGGATGGACTAAAATTTTCGGGGGGGGGGGGGGGGTGGGGAAACTGTTGAAAGTATATATTTTCTATATAAATTCCATTTCGTTCGGGAGGGGGAGGTAGACTTTCTTCTAGGGTTGGAGGGGGGGGGGGAGGGCAGAGTTTCTTCCAGGCATCTCTTTGGGGGGGGGGAGCTTAGCCTCCCCCCCCCCCCGAAAATTTTTTACCGCCCCGCCCCCGCCACCCCCCCCCCCCCCCCCCCCCGAACGAAGTGAAATTTATATAATTTATATAGAAAATATATACTTTAACAGTGTCCGCCCCCCCGAAGAAAGTCTACCGCCCCCCCCCCCAAAATTTCGAGTGCCCCCCACCCCGGAGAAAAAAGTCTGGAAGAAACACTGGGGGGGGGTTGAAATTCGGCAATGTTGGGGAAAAAAATCGAGATTTACACTTCCCTCAGTCGAAAAACATAGTTTTTTCAATTTTGTCCGTATGTATGTGTGTCTGTGAACACGATAACTTGAGTACCGTTACAGCTAGGTTAATAAAATTTCATATACAAGCAGTGCCGGCGCCAGGTTATTTATCGCACAAGGCAAAACTTATTAAAATCACCCCCCCCCCGGAATTTTGTTTGTGTCCCCGGGGACAAACTTTCGATTTGCACAGCCCCCCTCCCTCAAACTTTCGATTTGTTTTTCCAACCCATTTTGGCGCCCCCTAAGGCCAGCGCCCTAGGCGACCGCCTAGTTCGCTTTATATGTAGCGCCGGCCCTGTATATAAGTATTATCTAAAATTTGTAGTTGTGTATCATCTTTTTCGCGATTTCCGGTAACCCGAAGTAGAACTTTTCCACGTTAGCACTGTTTAAGTTAGATAGAAGAATTTTTACAGATATGTAGAAGATCTAATTCTCTGTTTTCTGAGAAATTCTGAGCAATTTCCGGTGACCGGAATGAGTACTTTACCTTATTTCAGATTTCTCAAAAAAAGTCATATGAATTTATTTTTAACTTAATCCCTCTGTCTTTCTTTATAAAGTACTAATGTTCCGCAATATTATACAAATTATTTGTTATACATATTATTTGCAGTTCATTTGGTGCGCAATTTAATTCTATGTTAACTTTTTAAGTATTTGAAGTTGCCATCCCCATTAGTGCTATCTAAGAATATTCGAGAAAGTTCAGTGGAGATCTCTCCCGCTTTATTAGTAACTTTCATATCCGAAACTTTCCTCATAAAGCGAGACAACTACATTAATATTTTGACACGATCCACCCTGCTTGGTTAAATCCCCTTGCAAATCGGAAAGCGCTCAAAATTGATATACACCATTGTAAGTTTTTAAAATCTTAAACTTCTGAAAAGACATTGATCATACATATTATAAAACCTTGTTTTTGACAACAACATTGAAACGAGAAGAGGATCAAAGCTTTTTAAAAAATGTTTTATTTTTTCCAGTAATAATGTTATATTCAGGTTTAAAAATACCTTTCATTATGTTGTAATATACAAGTGGAATGGAATAAAAAAAAACAACCTTAGACTACTGTAAAAAATACCCTATAAGGAATCATCATCACAATTTCCCTTTGTGCTCATGACACATGGGGCTGATGAAGTAGAGTTCATCTGTTTCAATGCTACATGGGGATGGTGTGATCAGCACTGTACCCAGCCACTTAGTTTCCCTAATGTATCTCGGGTATCCATAAGAGCTGAGCAGACTCAGCCGGATTCCAAACTTAAGACTCGTGTTAGCAGTGGCACACTTAACAGTATGATGAATATGATACAATATAACAAAATATGCAACCAATTAATTGATGCAATCAACATGAACAACTAAATGACACTGCAAAAATCCCCCTAAGGTGTTGCATACACAACATCAGACGCAGAAGTTGAGATTTTTGAGATGTGTTTTGTTTAAGAATGGGTTTAATTAAAAGATAATAATAAATGTTCATAAAGGCTAGATTTTCTTTGATTAAGTGATAAAAGAGATTTGTGAGGGAAAAGTGTCATCAACACTAGGACTATAATATCATTTATGGAAGATATGTTAGATCTACAATAGTGTCACTAGGCTTTTAGTAATAGGCCTACTGATTAAATATTTCAAAGTATAGGGCACTTAAAATGGTAGCGCCATCATGCATTTTTATGGTACTCTTTATTTACATTTACAACTTTACAAAGCATCATGTATTTAGTCAACATAAAAATTAACCTACATTTATACATACAAAACCATATATATATATATATATATATATATATATATATATATATATATATATATATATATATATATATATATATATATATAGATATATAGATATATATATATATATATATATATATATATATATATATATATACCTATGTATGTTGGAACATATGTAGTCTATATTTTATATAATTCTTTATGCATAAAAGGCGCAAATGGAATGTCTTCATAGACAACAAATGTGTACTCTAGCTGTGTTAATGTGCCTGTAAACCTGTACCTGTTTTTTTTTTAGCATGGCTAGAGCTAATTCAAAAAACTTTTACAACCCTTGAATCAATTTCAAAAAAAAATTATTTGATACAAAGGCTTTTGTTTCAGCCTCTTGAAAGAAGTGAGATGTTGAATGGCAAAAATTTAATATCAGTTTTAAAATAACATTTAAATCTTTCACTTAACTAGCAACAAAACAAACTTAAAAAAATTAAAATCAGTTTTAATATAGCAATAAAATCTTTCACTTCACTGGCAGCTAAACAAAATGACAACTTAAAATCCGTTTTTTACACTGCAGAGGTATATCTATTTTTTTTTATAAATACACCAAATATTTCCACACACCTACCACCCCCCCCCTCCCATGTCACACACGCACATTCTACATAATCTAAATTCTCATGGCAGTTTCATCCAGTGTACATTTGCAGAAGCACAATCTACATCCACATATTTTGGTATCTATAGTAATTAGCTTTGGCTTCAGGCTTCATTCTGCTGTCCATATTTGCATACAATTTAAGTTCGTTGGGTAAAAAATTTCTTTGTGCCTGCATTCTGGCCCCAAGCAGAGCTGTTGTCCTGTCATTCATACCGGCTGCGTACTAGAAAAAAATGTGGAAAACATGAAGGTAGAAGTCAATGAAACCCTCTACACTGCCATTGTTGAAAACATGAAGATAGAAGTCAATAAAACCCTCTACACTGCCATTGTTGAAAACATGAAGGTAGAAGTCAATGAAACCCTCTACACTGCCATTGTTGAAAACATAAAGGTGTAAGTCAATGAAACCCTCTACACTGCCATTGTTGAAAACATAAAGGTGTAAGTCAATGAAACCCCCTACACTGCCATTGTTGAAAACATAAAGGTGTAAGTCAATGAAACCCTCTACACTGCCATTGTTGAAAACATAAAGGTGTAAGTCAATGAAACCCTCTACACTGCCATTGTTGAAAACATAAAGGTGTAAGTCAATGAAACCCTCTACACTGCCATTGTTGAAAACATAAAGGTGTAAGTCAATGAAACCCCCTACACTGCCATTGTTGAAAACATAAAGGTGTAAGTCAATGAAACCCCCTACACTGCCATTGTTGAAAACATAAAGGTGTAAGTCAATGAAACCCCCTACACTGCCATTGTTGAAAACATAAAGGTGTAAGTCAATGAAACCCTCTACACTGCCATTGTTGAAAACATGAAGATAGAAGTCAATGAATCCAATATTTCCTACTATTTAATAAATCGTAATTAATATTTAATATTTATTCTATTGATCTGCTATGGATAAAATTTAAATTTGCAAAGTAAAAAAAAAAAGTACCGAAAGGGCTCCAACTTCATTTGTGAGCACATTGTCCAACTCTCTCGTCTCATTTATGTAAGCCAGTCTTGCTTCTTTCTGCTCATCAGATTTGGCCGCTCTCATCACGAGACGTTTCACATTTTTGCTACAAGTTTTTAAAGGAATAATTTGTTTCAGTTTCAGTCTCATTTTACCCGAACTATCAAAATAACCCCATACACCCCCTTATCAAAAAATATTTATCATTCTATTTATACTTAATGTTCCTGTTTTGTGATGTCGCCAGCTCCTTTCAACTCTCCACAATACATCTACTTACTATCTTCTCCTATTCGTTCTTAATTGTTATATTGTACGGAATTTCCTCTACCACAATTTCAATTTGTTATGCGTCATAATGCCCCTTGACTCCGACTTCAGGCTGCTTTTCTTTTTTTAATTTAACTTCCATAGCCTTTCTCCAACCAAGAACGACCCACACTGCAAAAGTTGTTTGAGTTTGGAGTTTTCTCTCTTAGATGGGTTGCTGTACCCATCTATCCAGGCTCACCTGCCCATGGTTCGAATTTGGGAGCCTTTTTGCATTCTGTCCCCAGCTAACGAGCCTCATCTGCTCGGGGGTTCAAACTCGAGACTTTTCGGTTTAGCAACCATGAGCTTTACCGACTCGACCACGCCGACCCCTAACTAAAGATCTAACTTACAGTTGATTTTGAGCTTCTTTGCCTTTCCCTGATTTGGCCATGCTAATTGTAGAGTTGACAGTTGAAACACTTAACACAGGTATGTTGATATTCTACCATAAAAAAGATTTTCATACAAATAATGCAAATATATTTTGTTTGTAAATTATTAAAGGTCTATGTGAATACCCATTAAAATATTCTTTCACTTGAAAAAATATTGTAAAGCCCCACGGCTGATTACAGTACCTCTTCCATTCTTTGTCTGTCAGTGGTGGTCTCTGAAGATTTGCTCAGGACTCTTAAGCAGCGCATGCCATCCTTCCTTGTGTAGTTGATCTGAACCTAATGTGCACAAGATTACGACAGAGTTTTCATTAAATTTTTATTGTAGACATATAGTCATAAAATTATCAAAAAATTATCTGCATTGGTAATGTCAATTCTTATTTAAAGTCTTACAACAGCCAAGTGTTCTGTAGGTTTTAAAAAAAATCATCAACTGGTGGTTCCAGTTTTAAAGGGCATAATAGCTAAACGACTCCAATCATGTAATTCGTTTGCTATATCTAAGAGCATTATTACAAACCCCAGTTAATGAGGTTACTACATCACAAAAGAATACATAACACTATTACTTCTTTTTCCGTGATCGTAATTGTTATTCTGATAGGGATTTCCTCCAACAAAATTAAGTACTACATGTCAATTTGCTATGTGCCATACTGGCCATTGACTCTGATTTCAGCCTGCATTTTTTGGGGATTTTTTTTTCCATAGCCTTTGTCAACCAAGAACAAACTACAAGGCAGCAGTTGTTTGATTTTGGAATTTTCTCTCCCAGGTGGATTGCTTTATTGGGACTTATCTGCTTAGGGTTTAAACTAAAAATTTGTAGATTTAAAGCTGTGAGCTTAACTGACTTGACCATACCAACCCCAGCTCTATTAAAACTTGCTATGTTTAAGAAACCAAATGTATTCTTTGTTTTTTTTATTCAATTCAAATATATAAGTATAAATGTATATGTGTACAGTATTAAGTACATATGTAAGTAATCAATATAATAAGCTGTATGATGAGTACCTGGAATGGGACAGATTTGATTTCCTTTGCTGCTGTAGTGTCTTTAAGCTTAAATCTGAATGTGAGATTACTTTCTTTTCGGGCAGTGCCCACTTCTTTTTCCAGCTGGCTTAAGTTCTGTGAAAGTGCATAAAACAATTTTTACAGTTTAACAGTTTCTTTAAAAGCTAACCATTACAATCAACACTTTAACAATTAAAAGTAAGCTAAATTTACAACTTGGTTATTCATTGAAAATCAATTAATAGGAGAAATAGAGTTATCTTGTTTTAATTTTGAGAATAAAAGGTAGCAAATTTGTCTGTAAGGTACTATTTAGAGCTGCATAGACTCAGGGATGGCTAGTGCCAAAAATGGTGTGTTATGGAAAAGGTTATTCAACTCTTGATCATTAGACAACTTAGCAATCACTTGAACATTTTTCTCTAGAGTAATATATTTTCTTTAACAAACTTTGACAGATATGTTTAACTGCTTAATAAAACTAATTACTTGAAAAAATTATATATTGACTTAGATAAGAATCAATCAAACATGATAATAATGAAATGAGCATAATTAAAAAGATTGAATGACTTACTGGGCTGTAGTCCGGCTCATCAAAAACAAACTCTGGGTGCAAGAAAAACCTGACCGTCACAGCGGTGGCCACAGCCTCGTTCTGGGCAATCAGCCTCAGCTGACGGATGATTTCTGCAGGGTTGAGTTTGCTGGTGGTGCCACCTGTCAACTCTGCTGCCTGACTCACTATGTTGAGCTGTACCGAGTCACCCTCCAGAGCTAAAATGTTGATGGTGACGTTTTTGGACCTGGCATAGTTGCCAACCTGTGGAAGATTTTAGAAATCGGGGTGTCAAAGTCTACCGTCAATTCATAGACCTCATCAGCAGAACACTTCTGGCATCAGTGATGTAGTAACAAACATATAAACCCTATACTTTTAGATTTATAGGGCTCATGAAGAAGATGGGTTGTGGCTATAGGGTAGCAGAACCTTTTAACTCACTAAAATTTGATTAAGAGTCAATATCAGGGCAATATAACCAGTTTATCAGGATTTACCATTGGACCATGCCATCATTTTACCTACAGAAGTTCTTAATAAAATTGAAACGACGTCAGGTTGCAGAAGAAGTAGACTTTATGTATTTCTATATTCATTCTATTTAAAATTAATTGCTTAAGCTTCAGTTAGACATTTTACAACAATGTTCCCAAGCATCAGTGGAGTTAATCACTAGAAAAAAATAATATTTTACTAAAACTTAAATAGTAGTAGCCTATAGAATGTACCAAAACCTAATTATTAGGCCTAATTAATGAGTTAAAATGAGTTGGCATCACCTGTCTGTAAAACTCAGCACCAGCCGGGGAAGGCAGGGAACCAATGCCAACGTTTGGCTCTCCATCAGTACATAAAACAATCTCAGATCCTGGAGTTTTGCTAACAAAGCCAGCACATATGGCAAGGGCTGGACCTAAGGCTGTGCTGCCACTCGTTCTCAGTTGCTTAACAATTTGATCTATTTCTCTATTATGTTTATAGGTTAAACATAAATGTAATATGTAAGATGTATGATGTCATAAATTTTATAGATCGATTTTTTATGGTTTTAGTAATCTATAAGCTAGTCCAGTGATTAGTTATTCAATCAAAATCAATAAACAATATATTGTTCCATCTATTAAATGTAAGTAGGCATTATTTTTGTGTTGTTTTAATATGCTGGCTATTGATACTTGATTCTCTATTGGCCTAATATATGAGTATTCTGGTCCTGATCATAGTTAAACAGAAATGTTACAATTTAAGCTTGATGCTATTCCCAAATATAGATCATGTGTTATTTTTGTTTTTTTTCAAAATGGATCTCAAGAGTTTGTTTAAAACATTTGTATATAATAATTAATAATACTAAAAAAATGAAATTAAATGAATGAAAACATGGTTAAGTTAAAGTAAAACTTACTCTTGTGTTTCCTCGATGGTTTTTAATGGATAGCTCTCAGCAAGACTTGAGCCAGAACTAACTAACTGGTCAAATGTTTGGTTTTCTAGTCTACAAAAAGAGTGCATGCCCTGCCCTCCAGCTCTGACTTGCACATCAGTGCTGAACACCACAAGCAAGACCTGCTTCTCTGGTTCCTCAACTTTCAGCTGCTCCACCAGTCTGAAACGGTTTTAATGTCTCATGTTAAGAATACAGTGATAAAATAGAAATAATAATGTCTCAGATCAAATATTTTACGACAAAATATAAGAGGGCTAAATATATCAGGCAATCTGTAGACCATAGGCTATATAGTAAGTATTTTTAGCTTGTTACATTAGCTGATCATGTTAAAGCCAGTAAATGCTTGTCTCTAATGGAAATGAAAATGGTAACAAAACTTTTTTTATTAATACCAGACTAGTGATGAACCTTTTTTACATTTACACTGAAACTCTATACTAATTTTCCACTCCTTTGTTATTCATTGTACTTGTAAACACCTGATCTAGATCTATATAATAGACTTGTAAAAGAAAAATATTTTACAGCGAAAAGATAAATGATGGGGTCTAGTGATACTATTAAAATTTAAGGAGCAAGCAAAGAAATGAAAAGTTGTGTATAATTAAGCCTGCCTTTGTATTGCTGTCTTGATGCAATCAAGTCGGCTGACTCTATTTACTTGTGAATTTGTATCCATTCTTGATTGTCCCCATAAAGCTATAAGATTTTTTATAGGCTATATTATTTTGGTACATTAATGGATTATTTTTAATAAATTTACATTATGTATTATTCCTTCGTAAAGCAATAAAGTAAATAAATTGACAAGAAATATTTGCAGAAACTAAGATAAACATCTGAAATCCTAATTTTAATTTTACAAACAGGTTCTTCACAACCAGCCAGAGAAAAAACTTGCAGTGTGACTCTGACACTTTGTAACCAGCCAGTAGAACTTACAGTGTGACTCTGGAACTTTGTAACCAGCCAGTAGAACTTACAGTGTGACTCTGGCACTTTGTAACCAGCCAGTAGAACTTACAGTGTGACTCTGGCACTTTGTAACCAGCCAGTAGAACTTACAGTGTGACTCTGGAACTATGTAACCAGCCAGTAGAACTTACAATGTGACTCTGGCACTTTGTAACCAGCCAGTAGAACTTACATTGTGACTCTGGAACTTTGTAACCAGCCAGTAGAACTTACAGTGTGACTCTGGCACTTTGTAACCAGCCAGTAGAACTTACAGTGTGACTCTGGAACTTGACACAAGACATCCATGGAGCCACTGATGTCCATGCAGTAAACTCGAACACCCTCAGACACCTTCTTCTTCTCTGGCTTGCTGGTCTCATCTGCTGAGTTGTTGGTTTCTTCTGTTGGTTTTGTTGGAGGTGAGAGCATGAAATCAATCTCCTCTCCTTTAGGTATCTCATCCTCGGATATATCCAGATTTTTATTGGCAAACCCACAAAACTCACTGAAATATGTATGCATACATGATTGTATCTATACCTCGTACCATTACCTAAGGGCCTACCTATACCTATACTTATAGCTTGACTTACACCTATATTTATATCATTATAAATATTGTATAAAAAATAATGTTGCTTGTTATATATGTGTAAATCTAGCACATTTTCCAGATCTGAAAGACATTGTTGTTCTTACCATTTCCATGTCTTAAGTTCCCCTTCACTCTCAAGCCTGGCCGTGCTAGTTAGGACAGCTAAACACTGAACACACTTGATAGGGTCTCCAGTGACCAGCTTTGGCTCATTAGCCAGATTCCTTAATGGAACCAACACCACATTTCCATCTGTTTTCTTCTCTATTACATTCACCACATTTTCCTCATCCTCACCAAATAGGGGAACTAAAGGATCAAAACACACTTTTTTTTTAAATTTCCTTTTTCAATGTTTAACAGTAGTAAATAGCCCATCAGAAAATAAAACAGATACCTGTGATAAAAGTAATAACAATATTTTGTGACTTTTTATGGTTTAATAGAGTTTGTTTTTAAAAAATTTAGACTTCCTAATTTAAAATAACAATAGACACTTTAGAGACAAAAAGTAATATGAAATTTTTTGTTTTAAATTTGAATTGACAATTAAAAAGTCAGGTATAATGATTACTTTTTCTATACATACTTGAAGGTTCAGGATTAGGAGGAGGTGGTATAACACTCGACTGTCTTGTAGCAGCTTGGAATAAATATTACAAATTCTAAAAATAGTTCATTGAACACTTTTACTCAATTTAATAACTGATCACAAATATATAGGCCTACATAGCAATCGTGTATAACTTATTGTTTTAAAGTTGAGTTAACTATTAATGATTACTTTTTTAATACTTACACAGGAGTTGAGGTGGTATAGCACTCGACTGTCTTGTAGCAGCTTGGAATAAATATTACAAAGTCTAAACATACTCCACTGAACACTTTTACTCAATTTAATAACTGATCACAAATATATAGGCCTACATAAAAATCGTGTAAAAATTATTGTTTTAAAGTTGAGTTAACAATTAATGATTACTTTTTTAAATACTTACACAGGAGTTGAGGTTCTGAAGACTGTCTCTTAAAGGGATTTGTTAGTTTTGAAAATAAACTGAAACTTTTCTTTTTTCTGGCATAAACAGGTGCGGCGTTTGTGATTGATTCATCACGTGCCCTTTTCTCAGATTTACTGACCGCCTGTAGTCCACTGACCCGTATCATCTTCCTGTAGGAGTCTTCTATCGTCGGATCATAGTCCTCCACAAATGAGTCATTCACAAAGCGGATTGTTACACTGGATTTACCCACTGCTCCACCGCCAAGCATTACAAGCTGTGGAACATGAGTAAGTAAGTTCTATTTCAACCGCTAAATATTTTTAACAAATGAAAATTGTTATTGATGAAAGTAAAAAACATTATGCACTTAAGTATCACATAAAATGTAAATATGTACAGGCAATTTGATGTATAATTTTATTAGTAACACTACTGAGTTGAAAAAAAAATTTAATTGCATTTTTTATAATAATAAAATTACACTGAAGGGCAAAAGGAAAACACTACCATAAAAATCCATTGTATTAAAATTACAATGAGTTAGGATCAATTGAAAATGTGTGGAGTTGATGGGAATAAAATTTTCTTTATTCCACCAACCTTATAGTCACTGCTAAGTCTGGGGATTGTTCGCACAAGACCTTTGATAGCTTCTGCTACATTTGAGCCTGTTTTAGCTGATGTTTCAAAGAAAGGAACAACCAGTTTCTTTGCAAGGTCAGCTCCTTGTTCGCTAGTGACAACTGCTTCACTTGTGAGGTCTTGTTTATTTGCTACTAGAATCTGAAATGATTCAGAGATGTCTTGGCTATTTGCCACAATCTGTATTGTAGATAAATGTACTCAAATATGTTTGCAATGTTAATGAAGGTGATAAGGGCATATATATTGGAATTAGGAGGCGTACTGTAAGGACAGCCACAAAGAGCTTAAGGTCTTAATTATTCCGTTCCTGATTAGGCTTACGTGTCACCTCACCATCATTCCCACTTCCTATACTATTATTTTACTGTTTTTAGCTTTAACAATATTGGCTCATATTATATTGAGTCGTTTATTGGAGTCGTTTATTCTTTTTAAATCGAATTAATTCTGTCAAACGTTTTCCTTTAAAAGCTGCTCCTAAAACTTACTGCACACGGCGTGGCTTGCTTGACTTTCTGCAGCCAATGGAAAATGGTTTCAGCCTCGATGAAGCTGGCCTTGTCCGTGATGCTGTAGATGATGACGAAGCCGTCCCCGGACTTGACATAGCTGTCCCGTACAGAGGAGTACTCCTCCTGTCCTGCTGTGTCCAGTATGTCCAGCAAGCACGTCTGTGTGGGGAGGGAGGGAGGTTATTGGCACAAACAATCATGCACATTGATTTGGCGTGACGACTTATTGTTTTCATCATTAGGCTCACCCCTGAACACTACGTTGCTCATCCCCTACGCTATACATTCCCAAGATCTACAAACCCTGTACACACATTCTGAAATCCGTACTCTGTGCGCGCGCACACACACATTACCCGCGTTTACAGATACTTCTTCAGACTGATCAGCCTACCCCATCGATCTATCCCAAAATACGTTTTCGTATAGCCTTATAAAACAGAAAGGACATCAAGGAAACAACAGAAATAAAGAAGTCGAGAAAAAACAGAGGCGGTATTACATAACTAGGCTTTTCCGTCTCCGGAAAGTGTAACACAAGATTTTGCAAATCTCGATTTTGATTTTTTTTTCGCACGATTACCAAACTTCCTCTGTACGCCGTGAACGAGAAAATAACAAAGGAAACATAACAACAAGAATAGGACCAATCAACTGTTTATTTCTGTCACACCACGTGACTTACCTCCCCGTCGTCTGCGCTATCCGAGTCGCTGTCTGACAAAACGACCCCTTTGGATTCTAACTGCTTTACTTCCTCTTCGTCATCTGCACTGTTACCCAGATAAACAAACTTGCTGCCAAACTCCATGCTGTGATTGTTGTTATCCTTCTAGAGTTTTCTATCCACAACGTAACAAAACATTTATAGAATAATATTTTAATTTCAAACTTACATTTACTGGCATCTATTACTACATCTCCTACCACACTGACATATGCTATTGAAAGTGTTTTTTAAACATTTAAATCAATAGAAAAACAATTTGGAAACATCACCATTTAACTATGAGACGTTATTGTCATTAACTGGCTAGAAAACTTAAGTTTTACAGCATCGGTCATAAAGGCAGGACATTAAATACAGTTGCATAGCCTATAAATGTATTATGTCATCAAATATATATTAAGATATTTTGTCATATTTCGTCATATTTTATCATAAGATATTGTATCATAATATGTGTCATCTGAGATATTTTATCATGAGATATTTATCATGATATATTTTATAATGATATTATTATGTTTTATCATAATATTTTTATCATAAGATATTTATCATGAGATATTTTATCATGATATATTTTATCATGAGATACTGTATCGTGATATATTTTATCATGAGATATTTATCATGAAATATTTTATCATGAGATATTGTATCATGATGTTTTATCATGAAATATTGCCATGACTGGCTGGTCAAGAAACTGATCCACGGAACATAATTGAACAGCCAAAGCTACAGTATAAAACAACCCTACAATGTTTGTCTGCAACTACTTTAAAACACAATGATTCCTCTATGAGTGTTCAATATAGTAATATAGCCTACCTACTAATACAAATAACTTTATTACATATTTATAGGTTATATAAAATATCCAAGCTACTAATTAAGAAAAAATACCAAGTGTAGCGAATAGCCAGTGAAATATTTTTTCTTGCTGTCTTTATGCTCGTTTATTGAATCAGTGCAGTAAAGATTGTGTTTTTGTTAGATATGCGGATATTGTTTATATACACACAACACCGACGGCGAAAAGGTTGCTAAAAATAAACAGCCTTTCATTGGCTGAGAATAAATACACAACTATATTTAGTAACTGAGCGAGTGTTTGTGTAGAAACAGGTAAGAGCGGGGAATCCCCTCTAAAGTCCTCACAAGCCTCTTTTAAAATGTAGACTGTAGTTGATTTTACAAATCTACAGACTAATCTATAGTTCGTGTTGGGATTGCGTCTATATAATTGTAGGACTACATACTTTAAATATAATAAACGAGCCGACCCGCAGCGTATAATACGCCGCTATTTAGTTGTTTTATTTTCTACTTTTCAGTAATTCATAATTTCTGAATTCGACAGTACCAATGCTGCCACTGAAAATATTTGCTTTAAAACACTACCCCCCCCCCCCCCTTTCCCCTTACCCCGACCCTACGCTAAATTATCAGCCGTCTCTAAACCCGGCTCTACGATTTAAAAACATTTAGCGTGACTACAGCTCACCAGACCATGTGGGGGTGGGGTGGGGTTGGTAGTGATAGCTATAGTGATAGAGAGAAAGAGAGGGGACTGCAAGGATGCGCTTGCAGCTTGTTTTCTAGCGTCTCCCGGAAGAGAATTATATATATATAGATATTTTAAAAAAACATGTAGGCCTATTTATCAAACAAACTAAAAATAAGTATAACCTGCTTAAGTCGAACCGACACGTATGATAGAGACATGTTCATTATGGTCGCGTAGGCAGGAATTTTTCATGAAAGGGGTAAAATTGTGTCGATATTATATATATATATATATATATATATATATATATATATATATATATATATATATATATATATATATATATATATATATATGCGACTTGATAAAATTAGACCGATTAAACATAACATCGACAACATATGGCGTAGAAATTAATGCCGAGAAGAAGGTCATGACCAATAATCCAAATTGTGTAATGCCAGACATAAGTGGAAATGGCCAAAGATTAGAGGAAGTTCACTCATTCATGTACCTTAGGGAACAAAGAAAGAAGTACTAGCAAGATGTTCCCTCAGCACTCAGCAAATTCACAAGACTTAGGCGTTACACAAAGATCGTCATTTGGCACAAAAGTTAAAAACGTGCGGTCCTTGGCCGTGTCTGCGAGGCATGGACCCTCAAATCAGACCTCAAGTGACGGATCCAGGCCGGTAAATGAGATGTTTACCCAGTCCGGTTTGTCGACGAAGTTGGACTTGTCTGAATCCTCCACCATATTCTCAATTAAGAACGAAGGAGAAGAAGAAAAAAAGGCGTTACCAAAAGATCGTCATTTGGCACAAAAGTTAAAAACATGCGGTCCTTGGCCGTGTATGCGAGGCATGGACCCTCAAATCAGACCTCAAGAGACGGATCCAGGCCGGTAAATGAGATGTTTACCCAGACTACTTAGGATCTTACGCGCTGTTAACATCAAGAGGTCCATGAAAGGACCCAGGGCTGGTCCCTTTGAGAACCTGCTAGTCAAAACAAAGCAACTGTGTTGGGGGGGGGGGGGGGCTGGGGTTAACGCCATGTTTAATGGATGAATGGCTGTTTCCCCAGAGAGACGAGGACTACATGAAAGATTTATTCAAGCAAGTTGTCCTGGAAACTGTTTACCCTTTGTCCCACCTAGCCTTGATACCAGAGTACATCATGGGGGATACAGACAACAACTTGGTATGTGCTCGTCACTTCTCACTCTGTGTGTACATCATGGCTTTTCTGTGAGTGTACATGATGGCTTTTCTGTGTGTGTGTACGTGATGACTTTTCTGTGTGTGTACATGATGGCTTTTCTGTGTGTGTACATGATAGCTTTTATGTGTGTGTACATGATGGCTTTTCTGTGTGTGTACATGATGGCTTTTCTGTGTGTTCTTGTAAGTTTCATGTGTTAAAACAAGAATAAACATACATACACACACACACACACACATATATATATATATATATATATATATATATATATATATATATATATATATATATATATATATATATATATATATATAATGTGTGTGTGTGCGTGCGTGCGTGCGAGTGTGTGTGTGTGTGTGTGTCGGAAAAACATAGTTTTGCACCTTAGCCCCTATGTTCGTGTGTGTATGTATGTGTGTGTGTATCTGTAAATACGATAACTTGAGTGCTGTGACAGCTAGGTTGAAGAAATTTCATAAATAAGTATTATATCAAATTTGTAGTTCTGTATCAACTTTTCAGCGATTTCCGGCAACCTGAAGTGGAACTTATTCTTCTTTAAAGTTTTCAAAAGGTTATAACTTGAGTACTGTTTCTGATAGATAAATGATATTTCACTTGTAAGTAAAAGAGCTAATTCTCTGCCCTTCGTCAAATTATGAGTAATTTTCGTTGACTGGAAGTAATAATTCACTCGATTTGCGTTTTCTCTACTACAAAAAAAACTTGGTGCGCAAATCTTTTTTTCTAATTAAAAAATAAATAAAAACGGATTAAAAACCATGTCTATATCCCGCAGTGTTATATAAGAATCTCGATAATGTTCAGGGGAGATCACTCCCACTTTATTTTTAAAAGTTTACGTATTTAAACGTTGATTTAAAATCATGTCTATATCTCGAGTTGCCATCCCTTGTAGTGTTATATAAATGTTATACAATACGCATGTAACAAAATACCATTTGATTGTGGATGTCAGACCAGGAAGTAATGTCTACACAGCCAGTGTTGTGACAATGGTCTGTGTGTCTACACAGCCAGTGTTGTGACAATGGTCTGGCACGTCTGTGACGACGTAACGATCAGAGGCGTAGCGACCCTTCCCGGCGCCCGGGGACAAACTTTTCGATTTGCAACCCCCCTCAAGATTTCGATTTGCATCCCCCCCCCTCAAACTTTCGATTTGCACCCCCCCCTCAAACTTTCGATTTGCACCCCTCCCCCCTCAAACTTTCGATTTGCACCCCCCACTCGAGATTTCCATTGGCACCCCCCCCCCCCCCTCAAACTTTCGATTTACACCCCCTCAAGCTTTCAATTTATTATTCCAACCCATTTTGGCGTCCCCTAAGGTCGGCGCCCGGGGACATATGTCCCCCCCCCCCTCCGCCTCCCCCCCCCCCCCCCCTCGCTACGCTACTGGTAACGATTGTTCGCATGGACGATCTGATAAAATCTTAGTGGAATCTATTCAAGCTGTGTGTTATAGTCTGTCAGGTGTGTCTGTGTTCTGGCATGAGACACGCGTGTAAACTTATGTGAGATGTGTCTGTGTTTTGGCATGAGACACGCATGTAAACATAGTTATGTCAGATGTGTTTTTGGCATGAGACACGCATGTAAACATAGTAATGTCAGATGTGTCTGTGTTTTTGCATTAGAAACAAATGAAAAAGTAGTTCACTTACAATTACAAAGTCGAATCATGAACTGTGTATCACATTACAGGCACTGAACTGAATTGAATATAGTTGGGAGTTTACAACATTTTCTCAAGAAGTAATGGTAATAATAACTAGCATGTATTGAAATTTCAATTAACTGAAATAAAACACCCCCCCCCTACATGCACCACCACCATCCACGCTACTACATCAGTCTACTGTGGAGCGAGGAAGGGCTTTGTTTTGTTTCGGAGTGAATCCTTTTTATATTGTCTGAGAATACATCGAAAATGAGTGAATACTTTTTATATTGCGTGAGAATACATGGGAAATGAGTGAATACTTTTTGTATTGTGTGAGAATACATGGGAAATGGCCTTGACCGGGTCTTTTATAACAACGGTCCTGTCAATGTCGATGGTCAGTCCCTGTGGGACAATGATTTGTCATTTAAAATCTAAGGAATTCGATCTGGTAATCACATTGAAAGCTAGTAAACTCTGCTAATAATGTAATAAGTGTAAAACGCGCAGCGATACTCTCTCTCTCTCTCTCTCTCTCTCTCTCTCTCTCTCTCTCTCTCTCTCTCTCTCTCTCTCAAAGATTTTTCACTTTAAGAATCCACATGAGCTATTATTTGGACAAACCTCAGGTTTGTAAACCAAATATTAGCCTAACCTCATTCTAAAGGTCCTAGGACCTTTGACCACAGGTGCTTTGACCATAGGGGTTTGAACATAGGGGGTTTGACCACAGCGGATCTTTGATCATAGGGGCTTTGACCATAAGGGGTTTGACCACAGCGGGACTTTGACCATAGCGGTGCTTTGACCATCGGGGGTTTTATCATAGGGGGTTTGACCATACGGGGTTTGACGACAGGTGTTTTCTCAGCAGAGGGTCTTTGATCACAGGTGGTCTATCAACTGGTGTTTGATCACAAGCGCTGTGTCCGGCTTTGATCATAGGTGTTTTGTCAACATAGGGTCTTTGATCTCAGGTGTTTTGTCCATATAGAGTATAGAGTCTTTGATCTCAGGTGGTTTGTCCAATGCTGTCCATATATGGTAAGGATTTGTTTTAAAAGTTGCTAAATTATATTTTAAATTTCGACATGATGTAATAATATGGTCAAACAGATGTACTAACATATTTAAGTGCTATAGCACATCTGTCATTTAGTTAACCATTTTATGTATTACATCTTTGACTATATTGTTGGCAAGTTTTGTATGCTATGTATTTTCAAGTACTTCTACATTATTTATTTGTGAAACTTGTTATATGTAGCATTATTTGTGTTTCATTTATATTTAAAATAAATATATGAGGTCTAGCACCAGCCTTTATGTGGAGACTAAAATATAGTTCTTGGCTTTTTTAAAATACATGTTAATTTCTATTAACGTACTCTCAGGAAACATGTATAAAATCGTGTTAATTGTATCACACCTATTATCAAAGCCGGACACAGCGCTTGTGATCAAACACCAGTAGATAGACCACCTGTGATCAAAGACCCTCTGATGAGAAAACACATATGGTCAAACCCCCTATGATCAAACCCCCTATGGTCAAAGCACCGCTATGGTCAAAGCCCCGCTGTGGTCAAACCCCCTATGGTCAAAGCCCCTATGGTCAAAGCTCCGCTGTGGTCAAACCCCCTATGGTCAAACCCCCTATGGTCAAACCCCCTATGGTCAAAGCACCTGTGGTCAAAGGTCCGCGCACCATTCTAAATGTGGTCCTGTTCATGCGTTAAAATCTTTCAAATTACAATTCGTTTGCATTTTTATAGCTTCACATAAAATGTTTAGGGTTATACTTGAAGAATTAATAAACCCATTTTGGCATTTCATCGCTTTTATTTCTTCCCCTTCAAATGTAGTAACAATCATTGCACGTGCAACCCCTGGTGTGAGAGCTTTAGCCGCTGCACATGATGTACGGACTCATGAACGAATCCTCGGGGCATGAAAAGGCTTGTCTAAACGGCTGGACATTGCGTAACACACCATTGACCCTGTTGAAAAATAGAATAAAAAATATATTTAGCGAGAAAATCTATTAGTTTCTTTCGGCTGTGAGTACTAGAGTTTATCCTGCTCAAATGGGTACCTAACTCACGTTAGGAAAGTAAAGGCGGCTGGTCATAGTAATGACCACGCCATCCCTTCATCCAGAGATCAATAAACATATGCACTCTTCTTCGTGTGTATATATATATATATATATATATATATATATATATATATATATATATATATATATATATATATATATATATATATATATATATATATATGTGTGTGTGTGTGTGTGTATGTGTGTGTGAATGGTTATAAAAGGAAACATAATAAAGAAATCTCACGTGCCGTGTAATAAATGTCTTTATTGGTGAACATCAATTAGCATGTTTAAAAGGTGACACCATAAACTGGAGACAAACTTTCTAAAGCTGTCTGACGTTTGTGATGTTAGTAATATGACTATCAGCGTAAAAGTCAAGTTTTAAGTTGCATTCTCTAGTTAGGCTTTTATTGTAGTAAAGAAGAACAAGACGTTTACCTAAAATGGGTATGCGTAGAATTTTCAATGACTTCTCCCCCAATTTGGCATCGAGACTGTGGAAAGAGGATTCTGTTAGTACTGCTGGGAGTTTTTGTTTACAAGATTTAAAACGTGATGTAGTTGTCTACCTGTCTGGTTTTTGTCTATCTCATCAAATTTGCCACAATTTAAAAAAAAAAGAAAGTTAAATTAACGAAGCAAAGATTATTGCTTGTAAGAACTAGCTAACTTTCAGGGATTGCAGCATAATGTAAGAACTAGCTTACATAATGGATTACTGAATGTAGGAACTAGTTCACTTCATCAAGTTAATGGATAAACTGCACGAAATAAGAACTAGCTTACATGATGGATTACTGCATGTAAGAACTTTCTAACGTAAAGGATTGCTGCATGTGTGAAGTTGTTCAATTGATCTATTACTGCATGTAATAACTAACTTACCTGACGGATTACTAAATGTAATAAGTAGCTTACCATTGGGGATTACTACATGATGTAAGAGCTACATTCCGTGAGGGATTGCTGCACTAATAAACTAGCTTACATGAGGGACTGCCTGATGTAAGAACTGCAGTACTCACCTAACGGATTACTGTTACGGGTCAGTTGTAGGTTAGATTAGAATAGGCTAGAATAATCCAGAACGTAGGGGAGGGGTGTGTGTGAGTTGAGTCAACCCCGGGGTGTTTAGTTATTGTTATCCCCAGGTAAAGTGCGGGAATAAAAGCAGGAGTGATCGATGGTAAGGGGGCTTTAGTTAGTAGCGGCTAGGTACTAGGGCTGCTGTGTGATGTGTAACTAGCTTACCTGTGAGATTACTGCACCAATAACCAGCTCACCTGTGAGATTACTGCACCAATAACCAGCTCACCTGTGACATTACTGCACCAATAACCAGCTTACCTGTGACATTACTGCACCAATAACCAGCTTACCTGTGAGATTACTGCACCAATAACCTGCTCACCTGTGAGATTACTGTACCAATAACCAGCTCACCTGTGAGATTACTGCACCAATAACCTGCTCACCTGTGAGTGAGATTACTGCACCGATAACCAGCTTCCTGTGAGATTACTGCACCGATAACCAGCTTACCTGTGAGATTACTGTACCAATAACCAGCTCACCTGTGAGATTACTGCACCGATAACCAGCTTACCTGTGAGTGAGATTACTGCACCGATAACCAGCTTACCTGTGAGATTACTGCACCGATAACCAGCTTACCTGTGAGATTACTGCACCGATAACCAGCCTACCTGTGCGTACTGCAGAAAGAACATTTGTGGTGCAGTGAGATCTTTAAACATTGGCAGTGCAGACCGGTCTCCAAAGTACATGTTAGTTTCATATGCCCTAGGGTTAGAATATTTCTCTATAGAATATAGCAGTGTCATACGCTCCAGAGTTTAAAAAAAACACAACCTCTATAGCCATATGCCCTAAGGTTAAAACATTCTATATAAAATATAGCAGTGCTATATGCCCGAGAGTTTAAAAAATCTGCGCACGAGTTTTACAGTTGTATATATTTGTCTTATTCTTCACCACAAGCAAAGCACTAAAACATCATTATCTGTTTCCTTCTTTACATCGTAACCTACCTCTTCCTTTCGATAACACAAAAGAAAAGTTACCCTTTTTGACCCGACTATTGAAATGAAAGAGTCCACCTGTTTCTGTGACCACGGCACATCTCGGATATTGTGTTCTATCTACGAGTTACTTGGGCTCAAGTTGATCCAGTGGTAGCGACACTTGCCCTTGTGGCAGACGACTCTACGAGATACTTGGGCTCAATTTGATCCAGTGGTAGCGAAACTTGCCCTTGTGGCAGACGGCATCTACGAGTTACTGGGGCTCAAGTTGATCCAGTGGTAGCGACACTTGCCCTTGTGGCAGACGGCATCTACGAGTTACTGGGGCTCAAGTTGATCCAGTGGTAGCGAAACTTGCCCTTGTGGCAGACGACTCTATGAGTTACTGGGGCTCAAGTTGATCCAGTGGTAGCGAAACTTGCCCTTGTGGCAGACGGCATCTACGAGTTACTTGGGCTCAAGTTGATCCAGTGGTAGCGAAACTTGCCCTTGTGACAGACGACTCTATGAGTTACTGGGGCTCAAGTTGATCCAGTGGTAGCGAAACTTGCCCTTGTGGCAGACGGCATCTACGAGTTACTGGGGCTCAAGTTGATCCAGTGGTAGCGAAACTTGCCCTTGTGGCAGACGACTCTATGAATTACTTGGGCTCAAGTTGATCCAGTGGTAGCGAAACTTGCCCTTGTGGCAGACGGCATCTACGAGTTACTTGGGCTCAAGTTGATCCAGTGGTAGCGAAACTTGCCCTTGTGGCAGACGACTCTATGAATTACTTGGGCTCAAGTTGATCCAGTGGTAGCGAAACTTGCCCTTGTGGCAGACGGCATCTACGAGTTACTTGGGCTCAAGTTGATCCAGTGGTAGCGAAACTTGCCCTTGTGGCAGACGGCATCTACGAGTTACTTGGGCTCAAGTTGATCCAGTGGTAGCGAAACTTGCCCTTGTGGCAGACGACTCTATGAGTTACTGGGGCTCAAGTTGATCCAGTGGTAGCGAAACTTGCCCTTGTGGCAGACGGCATCTACGAGTTACTTGGGCTCAAGTTGATCCAGTGGTAGCGAAACTTGCCCTTGTGGTATGGCCGTGGAGAATTCAGAGCACGTCACTCAGGACTGCTCCTTGTACAATCAGGGCGACCCAAACACTGGCCTCTATATTCCCCACGCAAGGAAAAACTAAATGGGGCATCCGCAGATCTGGTGATCACATTCCAATCAGAGTTTCTTCCCCCCCCCCCCCCCCCCCGAAGAAAGTCTACCCCCCCCCCCCCCCCAAAAAAAAAAAACCCCACTGATTCCAATTCATCCACGAAGTTGGACTTGTTGCTTAAATCCTCTAACATAAACTCAGTTAAGAACGCAGCAGAACACAAAACGGTGTCCCGTAAATACGTTGTCCGCTGTATCAAATCATAAACCTTAGATTATTCTCTAACCTTACCAGTATGCGTGCTCAACGCCTAGTGACTCTGCTATTATCTTGTCTACTTCGAAGATGTGAGAGCTCTGAAAATAAAGCAAGGATTTTATCGTTTTAACCTCTGCAATAGGACATGAAGTCGAATTAGATCATAGCAGTTTAAAAAACCGCTCTTCCAAACTACAATTTGTGTACATATTTTCACGTTTTTAAATAACTGTAATGTTTACACTCTAGGACTTACGGTCAGTTGGATGGCGGTGAAATTACGGAACATTGAGAGATACTTATACGTCATGCATATCTTCTGCCATTCGAATTTCCGTTGGTCATTGGGATGAATCCATTGTATGGGCTCTCCACGTTCATTGTAGGCGCGACCTACATAGTACACAGAGATGGGTACTCAGAGTGTAGGTACACATAGCAGTGTTTTGACAGAGGTTGGTAGTAGAGGTAGGGCAACATAGTATGGTAAGTAAAGGTTGATAATAGAGGTTGGAGCGCGTAGTAGGTAGAGGTTTATTGTACAGGTAGTACAGCATAGTATTGTAGGTAGAGGTTGATAGGTAGGACAGCATAGTATTGTAGGGAGAGGTTGATAGTAGAGGTAGGACAGCATAGTATTGTAGTTAGAGGTTAATGTGTAGGATAGCATAGTATTGTAGGTAGAGGTTGATATGTAGGACAGCATAGTATTGTAGGTAGAGGTTGATAGTAGAGGTAGGACAGCATAGTATTGTAGGTAGAGGTTGATAGGTAGGACAGCATTGTATTGTAGGTAGAGGTTGATATGTAGGACAGCATAGTATTGTAGGTAGAGGTTGATAGTAGAGGTAGGACAGCATAGTATTGTAGGTAGAGGTTGATAGGTAGGACAGCATTGTATTGTAGGTAGAGGTTGATAGGTAGGACAGCATAGTATTGTAGTTAGAGGTTTAGTAGAGGTAGGACAGCATAGTATTGTAGGTAGAGGTTGATAGGTAGTACAGCATAGTAGTGTAGGTAGAGGTTTAGTAGAGGTAGGACAGCATTGTATTGTAGGTAGGGTTATAACCTCACCCCGCACTGTTTAACAGGGTGCTAATTACCTCACCCCTGCATTGTTTGAAAGACTGCTAAAATCCTCACCAGCATCCCTGTTCAACAGAGTGCAAATAAAGCCCTAATATAACTATTAGCGTGAAACAAGTAAGTGGCAAACAAATATTACCTTCAGCGTCCAACATTTGGGCCAGGGCAGTGCCTATGTGGGTTCCTAAAGCGGCGAAATTTATAACTCTGAGAAAAAAACAAAAGTTTAGTCGTCCCTGAACTGGTATGTTGGTCTAGTACATCTCAACTTCACATTACCAAGAACCTCAACCCTAACCTAGCACATCCCAGCACTAATGCTTGAACACCCTAACATTAAAATACATTTTCTAAACACATAATTTGGACTTATGTAATATCACTCAGCTAGGTAGCAATTTAAAATGGGATCCGTTTTATATGTATCCTATATGACATGGCACATGTCTTAAAAATTATTCATTATGTATATATATACATATATATATATATATATATATATATATATATATATATATATATATATATATAGTTTCAAGTGAAAGCTCAACAGCTTTGTGCCCAGCACATGCAGTAGTTATACAATGTATTGAAACTGAGTTGAACAGGTTCTAAGAACAGATAAGTATCGGACGTGAACTTACGGCGGTACTCTGACTTCGTACATGGGGTAATTCAGCATGCCTGGTGAGATATCTACAACAAAATTCACATCAACGATGTTATAAAAAATAAATACAAAACTTCATTCACACGTACACACACACACACACACACACACACATATATATATATATATATATATATATATATATATATATATATATATATATATATATATATATCATCGACTAAATAGTAATTACCTAAGTGTGAATATTTGTCGAATAAACATTAAAAATTTTATTTTAAAATTATTTAGTTCTAATCTTTACAGTATGATTCAAACTATGCGTCTTAATTCTTACAAAAGTCGTGTCTCATTATTTTTTTAACGGTGTGTCTCAATTTAAAAACATGTGCCCGATATTTACAAAAGTTGTGGCTCAATATTTACAAAAGTTGTGGCTCAATATTTACAAAAGTTGTGGCTCAATATTTACAAAAGTTGTGGCTCAATATTTACAAAAGTTGTGGCTCAATATTTACAAAAGTTGTGGCTCAATATTTACAAAAGTTGTGGCTTAATATTTACAAAAGTTGTGGCTCAATATTTACAAAAGTTGTGGCTCAATATTTACAAACGTTGTGGCTCAATATTTACAAAAGTTGTGGCTCAATGTTTACAAAAGTTGTGGCTCAATATTGTAAAAGGTGTGTCTAAATACTCACAGAAGATGTGTCTTAATACTTTTTAAGTGTCTCAAAATTGTCAAAAGTGTATCTTAATTCTTGCTCGGGTGGTCTTCGGTACTTTTAAAAAGTGTCTCAAATGTTTTAAAAGGTGGGTAGTAATAGCTATAAAAGTTGTTTCAAACAGAATGGGTGTTTTACTTAACACTGCCAATCTTCGTATTCTCTTTAGCTCTACTTACACAGGTAGTTGTGGAGCGGAGAGTATAGAACTTCTGCTTGCAACGGAATTCTGCCTGGGCTGAACGGAACGAAACAAAACGAAATTAAGTTCTATTCTTAAAGCAAACTATCAAAACAAAATTAAAGTAAGCTCTATTCTAAAAGCAAAAAGCAAACTATCAAAACAAAATGAAAGTAAGCTCTATTATAATAGCAAAAAGTAAACTATCAAAACAAAATGAAAGTAAGCTCTATTCTAAAAGCAAACTATCAAAACAAAATGAAAGTAAGCTCTATTCTAAAAGCAAACTATCAACACAAAACGAAAGTAGTTCTATTCTAAAAGCAAACTATCAAAACAAACGAAAGTAAGTTCTAGTCTAAAAGCAGACGACCAAAACAAAACGAAAGTAAGTTCTATTTTAAAAGCAAACGATCAAAACAAAACGAAAGTAAGTTCTAGTCTAAAAGCAGACGATCAAAACTGCAAAGTTTGAAAATATGCTCACAACTCAGGCCTCAGTGGTACCTTGCGAAGTCTTTTGAGTTCTCGTGTCATCAACTTCCACCTAGCTTCCCACCTGTTGTGAAAATAGTCATCGTCTTTCATTTGGATCTGAAATTTTGTTTTGGAAAGTTGTTTGAAAATTTCTATAAACGTTAATTTAAAAAAAAAACCACACAATTGTATTTCTTCATAAGATCAATATTTTAGAGATTTTAGATAAACTATTGCACTTTAGTTAAGGAAACTGCATTTTCCCAAGTAAAAATTAACTTAAAACTTAAATTTCTAGGAATATTGTTGATTTCCTTCATAATAAAACTGAAAAAAACATGAGGTTTTATTTTATTACCTTTAGAATGTTTTTTAAGTAATTGTAAAAATGTATAATTAATTATAAGTTATTGCAGTTGGTGTAATTGTTAGCACACGAAAAATGAAAAACTGCAGAACACATTATTTAGTATAAAAAACATAATTTCCTTCAAAGTGAGAATTGTACTGTAGCTGACAATTTTACTCTACGTCCTTTAGCTTATAACACATCTTCACGACATAGCATTACTCATTTTCAAGATAATACTACTATGCAAAAGACAAGTTACAGCTCACACATGCATGATCTTAAGTATACAACATCAGCCCACTAAAACAATTAACAACACAAAAAAACACCTCAAAGCTGACGACGGAAACAAGGACATTAGATTAAAAGTTACAGTATCTGGCTAACCTAGCTTCGTGAAAAGACATCTAGTGACAGGGTGAGACATCTAGAGACAGGACGAGACAGTGAGACATCTAGAGACAGGGTGAGACAGTGAGACATCTAGAGACAGGACGAGACAGTGAGACATCTAGAGACAGGATGAGACATCTAGAGACAGGACGAGACAGTGAGACATCTAGAGACAGGACGAGACAGTGAGACATCTAGAGACAGGGTGAGACATCTAGAGACAGGGTGAGACATCTAGAGACAGGGTGAGACATCTAGAGACAGGACGAGACAGTGAGACATCTAGAGACAGGACGAGACAGTGAGACATCTAGAGACAGGACGAGACAGTGAGACATCTAGAGACAGGGTGAGACATCTAGAGACAGGGTGAGACATCTAGAGACAGGGTGAGACATCTAGAGACAGGACGAGACAGTGAGACATCTAGAGACAGGACGAGACAGTGAGACATCTAGAGACAGGACGAGACAGTGAGACATCTAGAGACAGGATGAGACAGTGAGACATCTAGAGACAGGGTGAGACATCTAGAGACAGGGTGAGACAGTGAGACATCTAGAGACAGGGTGAGACATCTAGAGACAGGGTGAGACATCTAGAGACAGGGTGAGACATCTAGAGACAGGGTGAGACATCTAGAGACAGGACGAGACAGTGAGACATCTAGAGACAGGACGAGACAGTGAGACATCTAGAGACAGGGTGAGACATCTAGAGACAGGGTGAGACATCTAGAGACAGGGTGAGACATCTAGAGACAGGACGAGACAGTGAGACATCTAGAGACAGGACGAGACAGTGAGACATCTAGAGACAGGACGAGACAGTGAGACATCTAGAGACAGGATGAGACAGTGAGACATCTAGAGACAGGGTGAGACATCTAGAGACAGGGTGAGACAGTGAGACATCTAGAGACAGGGTGAGACATCTAGAGACAGGGTGAGACATCTAGAGACAGGGTGAGACATCTAGAGACAGGGTGAGACATCTAGAGACAGGACGAGACAGTGAGACATCTAGAGACAGGACGAGACAGTGAGACATCTAGAGACAGGACGAGACAGTGAGACATCTAGAGACAGGATGAGACAGTGAGACATCTAGAGACAGGGTGAGACATCTAGAGACAGGGTGAGACAGTGAGACATCTAGAGACAGGGTGAGACATCTAGAGACAGGGTGAGACATCTAGAGACAGGACGAGACAGTGAGACATCTAGAGACAGGACGAGACAGTGAGACATCTAGAGACAGAACGAGACAGTGAGACATCTAGAGACAGGGTGAGACATCTAGAGACAGGGTGAGACATCTAGAGACAGGGTGAGACATCTAGAGACAGGATGAGACATCTAGAGACAGGACGAGACAGTGAGACATCTAGAGACAGGGTGAGACATCTAGAGACAGGGTGAGACATCTAGAGACAGGATGAGACATCTAGAGACAGGGTGAGACATCTAGAGATAGGACGAGACAGTGAGACATCTAGAGACAGGATGAGACATCTAGAGACAGTGAGAAATCTAGAGACAGGACGAGACAGTGAGACATCTAGAGACAGGACGAGACAGTGAGACATCTAGAGACAGGATGAGACATCTAGAGACAGGGTGAGACAGTGAGACATCTAGAGACAGGACGAGACAGTGAGACATCTAGAGACAGGACGAGACAGTGAGACATCTAGAGACAGGATGAGACATCTAGAGACAGGACGAGACAGTGAGACATCTAGAGACAGGACGAGAAAGTGAGACATCTAGAGACAGGACGAGACAGTGAGACATCTAGAGACAGGACGAGACAGTGAGACATCTAGAGACAGGACGAGACAGTGAGACATCTAGAGACAGGGTGAGACAGTGAGACATCTAGAGACAGGATGAGACAGTGAGACATCTAGAGACAGTGTGAGACATCTAGAGACAGGGTGAGACATCTAGAGACAGGGTGAGACATCTAGAGACAGGGTGAGACAGTGAGACATCTAGAGACAGGATGAGACAGTGAGACATCTAGAGACAGGGTGAGACATCTAGAGACAGGGTGAGACATCTAGAGACAGGGTGAGACATCTAGAGACAGGGTGAAACATCTAGAGACAGGACGAGACAGTGAGACATCTAGAGACAGGACGAGACAGTGAGACATCTAGAGACAGGACGAGACAGTGAGAAATCTAGAGACAGGGTGAGACATCTAGAGACAGGGTGAGACATCTAGAGACAGGGTGAGACATCTAGAGACAGGACGAGACAGTGAGACATCTAGAGACAGGACGAGACAGTGAGACATCTAGAGACAGGACGAGACAGTGAGACATCTAGAGACAGGATGAGACAGTGAGACATCTAGAGACAGGGTGAGACATCTAGAGACAGGGTGAGACAGTGAGACATCTAGAGACAGGGTGAGACATCTAGAGACAGGGTGAGACATCTAGAGACAGGGTGAGACATCTAGAGACAGGGTGAGACATCTAGAGACAGGACGAGACAGTGAGACATCTAGAGACAGGACGAGACAGTGAGACATCTAGAGACAGGACGAGACAGTGAGACATCTAGAGACAGGATGAGACAGTGAGACATCTAGAGACAGGGTGAGACATCTAGAGACAGGGTGAGACAGTGAGACATCTAGAGACAGGGTGAGACATCTAGAGACAGGGTGAGACATCTAGAGACAGGACGAGACAGTGAGACATCTAGAGACAGGACGAGACAGTGAGACATCTAGAGACAGAACGAGACAGTGAGACATCTAGAGACAGGGTGAGACATCTAGAGACAGGGTGAGACATCTAGAGACAGGGTGAGACATCTAGAGACAGGATGAGACATCTAGAGACAGGACGAGACAGTGAGACATCTAGAGACAGGGTGAGACATCTAGAGACAGGGTGAGACAGTGAGACATCTAGAGACAGGGTGAGACATCTAGAGACAGGACGAGACAGTGAGACATCTAGAGACAGGACGAGACAGTGAGACATCTAGAGACAGGACGAGACAGTGAGACATCTAGAGACAGGGTGAGACATCTAGAGACAGGGTGAGACATCTAGAGACAGGGTGAGACATCTAGAGACAGGACGAGACAGTGAGACATCTAGAGACAGGACGAGACAGTGAGACATCTAGAGACAGGACGAGACAGTGAGACATCTAGAGACAGGATGAGACAGTGAGACATCTAGAGACAGGGTGAGACATCTAGAGACAGGGTGAGACAGTGAGACATCTAGAGACAGGGTGAGACATCTAGAGACAGGGTGAGACATCTAGAGACAGGGTGAGACATCTAGAGACAGGGTGAGACATCTAGAGACAGGACGAGACAGTGAGACATCTAGAGACAGGACGAGACAGTGAGACATCTAGAGACAGGACGAGACAGTGAGACATCTAGAGACAGGATGAGACAGTGAGACATCTAGAGACAGGGTGAGACATCTAGAGACAGGGTGAGACAGTGAGACATCTAGAGACAGGGTGAGACATCTAGAGACAGGGTGAGACATCTAGAGACAGGACGAGACAGTGAGACATCTAGAGACAGGACGAGACAGTGAGACATCTAGAGACAGAACGAGACAGTGAGACATCTAGAGACAGGGTGAGACATCTAGAGACAGGGTGAGACATCTAGAGACAGGGTGAGACATCTAGAGACAGGATGAGACATCTAGAGACAGGACGAGACAGTGAGACATCTAGAGACAGGGTGAGACATCTAGAGACAGGGTGAGACATCTAGAGACAGGATGAGACATCTAGAGACAGGGTGAGACATCTAGAGATAGGACGAGACAGTGAGACATCTAGAGACAGGATGAGACATCTAGAGACAGTGAGAAATCTAGAGACAGGACGAGACAGTGAGACATCTAGAGACAGGACGAGACAGTGAGACATCTAGAGACAGGATGAGACATCTAGAGACAGGGTGAGACAGTGAGACATCTAGAGACAGGACGAGACAGTGAGACATCTAGAGACAGGACGAGACAGTGAGACATCTAGAGACAGGATGAGACATCTAGAGACAGGACGAGACAGTGAGACATCTAGAGACAGGACGAGAAAGTGAGACATCTAGAGACAGGACGAGACAGTGAGACATCTAGAGACAGGACGAGACAGTGAGACATCTAGAGACAGGACGAGACAGTGAGACATCTAGAGACAGGGTGAGACAGTGAGACATCTAGAGACAGGATGAGACAGTGAGACATCTAGAGACAGTGTGAGACATCTAGAGACAGGGTGAGACATCTAGAGACAGGGTGAGACATCTAGAGACAGGGTGAGACAGTGAGACATCTAGAGACAGGATGAGACAGTGAGACATCTAGAGACAGGGTGAGACATCTAGAGACAGGGTGAGACATCTAGAGACAGGGTGAGACATCTAGAGACAGGGTGAAACATCTAGAGACAGGACGAGACAGTGAGACATCTAGAGACAGGACGAGACAGTGAGACATCTAGAGACAGGACGAGACAGTGAGACATCTAGAGACAGGGTGAGACATCTAGAGACAGGGTGAGACATCTAGAGACAGGGTGAGACATCTAGAGACAGGACGAGACAGTGAGACATCTAGAGACAGGACGAGACAGTGAGACATCTAGAGACAGGACGAGACAGTGAGACATCTAGAGACAGGATGAGACAGTGAGACATCTAGAGACAGGGTGAGACATCTAGAGACAGGGTGAGACAGTGAGACATCTAGAGACAGGGTGAGACATCTAGAGACAGGGTGAGACATCTAGAGACAGGGTGAGACATCTAGAGACAGGGTGAGACATCTAGAGACAGGACGAGACAGTGAGACATCTAGAGACAGGACGAGACAGTGAGACATCTAGAGACAGGACGAGACAGTGAGACATCTAGAGACAGGATGAGACAGTGAGACATCTAGAGACAGGGTGAGACATCTAGAGACAGGGTGAGACAGTGAGACATCTAGAGACAGGGTGAGACATCTAGAGACAGGGTGAGACATCTAGAGACAGGACGAGACAGTGAGACATCTAGAGACAGGACGAGACAGTGAGACATCTAGAGACAGAACGAGACAGTGAGACATCTAGAGACAGGGTGAGACATCTAGAGACAGGGTGAGACATCTAGAGACAGGGTGAGACATCTAGAGACAGGATGAGACATCTAGAGACAGGACGAGACAGTGAGACATCTAGAGACAGGGTGAGACATCTAGAGACAGGGTGAGACATCTAGAGACAGGATGAGACATCTAGAGACAGGGTGAGACATCTAGAGATAGGACGAGACAGTGAGACATCTAGAGACAGGATGAGACATCTAGAGACAGTGAGACATCTAGAGACAGGACGAGACAGTGAGACATCTAGAGACAGGACGAGACAGTGAGACATCTAGAGACAGGATGAGACATCTAGAGACAGGGTGAGACAGTGAGACATCTAGAGACAGAACGAGACAGTGAGACATCTAGAGACAGGACGAGACAGTGAGACATCTAGAGACAGGATGAGACATCTAGAGACAGGACGAGACAGTGAGACATCTAGAGACAGGACGAGAAAGTGAGACATCTAGAGACAGGACGAGACAGTGAGACATCTAGAGACAGGACGAGACAGTGAGACATCTAGAGACAGGACGAGACAGTGAGACATCTAGAGACAGGGTGAGACAGTGAGACATCTAGAGACAGGATGAGACAGTGAGACATCTAGAGACAGTGTGAGACATCTAGAGACAGGGTGAGACATCTAGAGACAGGGTGAGACATCTAGAGACAGGGTGAGACAGTGAGACATCTAGAGACAGGATGAGACAGTGAGACATCTAGAGACAGGGTGAGATATCTAGAGACAGGGTGAGACAGTAAGACATCTAGAGACGGGACGAGACAGTGAGACACAGCAGGTAGAATGAACTAAAAGGCTAGATTAGTTAAAAAGGAGTAGTTTTATTTAGGTTAGTGGAAAGAATGTTTTTTATAAAGGTTTGGAGTGTTAATAGAATACCGAAGCGTATTCAGCATTGATGCGTTGTCTCTCAGTATTGACATTGTTTCTGCCAGTCAAAGGTAAACCGTAGTAGACGAATAAGTTGTTCACCTGTGGAGAAAAACAGGTGTATAAGTTGATATATATATATATATATATATATATATATATATATATATATATATATATATATATATATATATATATATATAGTCAAAAGAACTTCTAACCTTCTTTTCGAATCCCTCCTTTGTTTTGGCGTAAAGCTTTTTATCAGCTATACTTCGATTGAATTCGAAAACTATCTTTTTGGTGAACTCTGCTAGCTTGAAGTCGATAAAAAAAATGTTGTAAGTTATTAGATTTGATGATGTTGTTGTCACGATTTATGTATTAAACTGAACTTTGATGTTGTTGAATTTCAGCACGGCTGGTCTACTGCATATTAAAATATTATTGAAAAACTATAATACAAGCTTTTAAATGCATTAAAATAAGAAAAAGCAAAACACATTTTCTTTCTTTCGCAAAAAATATTTCCGATTTCTCTGAAATATTAGAGAAAGCGTGTTTCTTTTATTTTCTTAGTTTCGGTGCATTATTATTTGACTAAATGAAGGGTCTACGACAAATCCCCGTAAAACACAAGCCCGAATGCTACAAATGCTCGAATGGACAATGGCCTAATGCGACAAATGCTCGAATGGACACTTGCCCGAGGGCCATCGTAGTTGTTTATCCTTACCTCTGGCCGGGCAGTACTTAGATAGTAGGTGGTATCGTATGTGTTTATCCTTACCTCTGGCCGGGCAGTACTTAGATAGTAGGTGGTATCGTAGGTGTTTATCCTTACCTCTGGCCGGGCAGTACTTAGATAGTAGGTGGTATCGTAGGTGTTTATCCTTACCTCTGGCCGGGCAGTACTTAGATAGTAGGTGGTATCGTAGGTGTTTATCCTTACCTCTGGCCGGGCAGTACTTAGATAGTAGGTGGTATCGTAGGTGTTTATCCTTACCTCTGGCCGGGCAGTACTTAGATAGTAGCTGGTATCGTAGGTGCTTATCCTTACCTCTGGCCGGGCAGTACTTAGATAGTAGGTGGTATCGTAGGTGTTTATCCTTACCTCTGGCCGGGCAGTACTTAGATAGTAGGTGGTATCGTAGGTGTTTATCCTTACCTCTGGCCGGGCAGTACTTAGATAGTAGGTGGTATCGTAGGTGTTTATCAAGGATTCTCCGAAGTACCTGCTCACTTCCTCGTGACACCGGAACCTAAGATTTGGCGTGGGACTCTGAGAAAATACTGACATATATATATATATATATATATATATATATATATATATATATATATATATATATATATATATATAAAATATTGACATATATATAAAATACTGACATATATATATATATATATATATATATATATATATATATATATATATATATATATATATATATATATATATATATATATCTAAATATATATAGCGGTACCCAGAAAGTCTCGAGTTCCAATCCGGCTATAAACTTCCCTGAGTCCACCCAGCTCTGATGGCTACATAACTCACGTTAGGGAGACAAAGGCGGCTGGACATAGTGCTGACCACAGACCACATTGTATGCTGCGATCAGTGAAACAGTTGAACTCTACTTCATCTGCCCCATGTGTATTGGGCACAAACGGGACAGGAGTATATATATATATATATATATGTGTGTGTGTATGTGTGTGTATGGGTGTGCGCGTGTGTGTGTGTGTTCGCGAGCTAATGCACAAATACTTTCATGTTACAGGCGTAGCGTGGGGGGAGGGGCGGGGGGGGGGGACATATGTCCCCGGGCACCGACCTTAGGGGGCGCCAAAATGGGTTGGAAAATTAAATTGCTGCCTTTGCTTTCCGCAACGTGAGTTAGGTACCCAGCCAGCCCCCCCCCCCCTCCCCCCCCCCCCCCCCCACTACCAAAAGTCTGAAACGAAATCCGATTGAGACATTCGGGCTAGCAGACAAGGTATATAATGCAAATCAAATAACTTCTAGTAAGCTCGAGAGTTAGAATTGAATTATAATCAAATTTTTGTCAGTCACCTGGTATGCTTGGTTGTGTATGGCATTCATTGAAGCGGTCAGTCTGTCGATTCGCTCGAGCATATCGTGAAAAACAAACGCGTTTGTAATTTGTCTGAAAAATGTAGATTTAAAAAAACTCTTTTAAAACGTACAATTTTTGCCAAAATGTGATATGTTTTACCTGGGTCTAGGAGGTTACCCTATGTCTAATTGTGATATGTTGTACCTGTGTCTAGGAGGTTACCCTATGTCAAATTGTGATATGTTGTACCTGGGTCTAGGAGCGTACCCTATGTCAAATTGTGATATTTGTACCTAAGTCTAGGATATGTTGTACCTGGGTCTAGGAGGTTACCCTATGTCAAAATGTGATATGTTGTACCTAAGTCTAGGAGCTTACCCTATGTCAAAATGTGCTATGTTGTACCTAAGTCTAGGAGGTTACCCTATGTCAAAATGTGATATGTTGTACCTGGGTCTAGGAGGTTACCCTATGTCAAAATGTGATATGTTGTACCTAAGTCTAGGAGGTTACCCTATGTCAAAATGTGATATGTTGTACCTAAGTCTAGGAGGTTACCCTATGTCAAATTGTGATATGTTGTACCTAAGTCTAGGAGGTTACCCTATGTCAAAATGTTATATGTTGTACCTGGGTCTAGGAGGTTACCCTATGTCAAATTGTGATATGTTGTACCTAAGTCTAGGAGGTTACCCTTTGTCAAATTGTGATATGTTGTACCTGTCTAGGAGGTTACCTATGTCAAATTGTGATATGTTGTACCTAAGTCTAGGAGCTTACCCTATGTCAAATTGTGATATGTTGTACCTGGGTCTAGGAGGTTACCCTATGTCAAAATGTGATATGTTGTACCTGGGTCTAGGAAGTTACCCTTTCCCACTTGGTCATCAGACCCCAACACAATTACCTCCTGTCAATTACCACCCTGAGAAATTACCCCCACTACATAGTATATATTTTAATACATATCCTTGTTATTCCTCAATTCCACTATTGCTAACACTATTTCTATCCTAAATCATATCCTTACCATTAACCTTATTTTTACCATTAACCTCACCATTACCATTGGACAATTGTCGAGGAGATGGAATGATATGTTCCACGGCAGTTTTAGGGTCTGGGTAAGGTCCTATGAGTAATTAACAGGATGTAATTAATCTGTGTGTAGTAACGAAGGGGAAATTACCGGGGGTAACTGACGGGAGAAGAGTACTATCTACCAGTGGCGTAGCGAGGTCGGGTGTCACCCGGTGCGGCACTTAATGGTGTCACTCCCCTCCCAGAGGCGTTGCGACCCTTCCCGGGGACAAACTTTCATGTTTTTGATTTGCACCCCCCTCAAGTTTTTGATTTGCACCCCCCATCAAACTTTCGATTTGCACCCCCCCCCTCAAGTTTTTGATTTGCACCCCCCCCCTCAAGTTTTTCTCTATATATTTTGCTATTTTTTGCCTTGGTGTCACCCCCCTAAATGGTGTCACCCGGTGCGGTCAGCACCCCCCGCCCCCCCCCCCCCTCGCTACGCCCCTGCTATCCACATACCGTGTCAGCCAATTCCTGCCCCATTGTGTAAGGTAACGTAAAATTTCCATAGACCACAACACGTCGCTGCAACCAACACCCACCACCCCCACCCCATTTAAAGTAGCGAACCCAAAGATCCGATTTGAAAAATTTTTAACTGAATTTTTTTCCCACCAAATTGAGCATAACTAGGGGTATTCCGTTTAAGAATCGAAATTTCGTGAAATTAGGACCACCCTAATATATATATATATATATATATATATATATATATATATATATATATATATATATATATATATAATAGGTAATGTTGGAGACACAATATGGCTGGGCATAGGGCTGATCAACCATCCCTTAATGTGGTGAGGTCAAGATATATAGATGTGTCTAGAATGTTACTATTATGTGTTGTTTGTGGTTCAATGATGGGTAGATTGGTGGGTAGTGGAGGTGTCGATGTAAAGTTGATGTAGAGATAATGTGTTGTTTGTGGGTAGATGATGGGTAGATGATGGTTAGATGATGGGTAGATGATGGGTAGATGATGGGTAGATGATGGGTAGATGATGGGTAGATGATGGGTAGATGATGGGTAGATGATGGGCAGATGATGGGTAGATGATGGGTAGATGATGGGTAGATGATGGGTAGATGATGGGTAGATGATGGTTAGAGGAGGTGTCGATGTAAAGATGATGTCGAGAAAATGTGGATAGATGTGTAGAAGATGTATATAAGATGTATAACTGATGTACAGCTGTATAGTAGTACAGACTTTTAGGTTATCCTGAATAAACCCGTTTATCTTTAAATATTGTCCTTGTACTCCCCCCCCCCCCCCCCCACATGATCTAGTACGAGAAAGACATGAATCCTGTTTGATTCAGAATAATAACATCTTTTATTTAAATTTTGGTTTTCAAAACTTCCAAACATACGTCTAAAAGAAGGATTAAAATTTGTCAAACGTTTCGCAAAACTGTTTACCTCGTGTCAAGCATTTCAAAGAGCTGGACCAACTGCTCTAGGTACCTCTCATCGACTACACCTATAGGCTCCTGAGGCGATATGGAGATGTCTGCAGCCTCATACATTCTTTTAATTATCAGTCCAACGTTCATCTATATGGGAATCATATGCATATACATACGCATATACATATGCATATACATTTGCATATACATATACATACACTTATGCATATATTTGCATATAAATATGGATGTACATATGCATATATATATATATATATATATATATATATATATATATATATATATATATGCATATGCATATACATAATCATATTCATATACATACACAAATACATATTTACACGTTGACTTAGCGTGTATGTACGACTTCGCGTACGTGGACGTGTACGTTTTTCCACTTCGTGACGTCATCAGTAATAGTTCCAAACCAAACTAATCTCATTAAATCCAGCAGAAATGCGAAGGTTGAGGTTCATTAAATTTACTTAATTACCCAAGGTATTTTGGTCTCCAACTCTTCTAAGGTCATCTCTTTATAAAAACTTTGATGGTCATTTTCTCCAAGTGACGTGATCAGCTGAAAGAGTTAGCTTGTTAATTGAAATCGTTTACAGCACTTTACAAACCACCTACTTAATTACTACGCTAAGAGAGTTCAACTAAACATGACGCTAGAATTACAAGGCTCCACATTCGCCTGAACAAATTCTACATTCTGTTCATAAAAGAGTTTAGCGACACTAACTGAATTTCTGGTCGACACAAGGCCGGACCATGCCACGGCGTCACCGGCACCATCTGAGCTGATTCCTCCGACTTTCGCAGCCAATAGATTATAGTACTGTTCTTGTGAAACAACATCAAACTCGCGGCCTCCAACAGTTTCTCTTGGGTAGTCAAACTAAGGAAAGTATGAGGGTAAGTTAGTTACTTTCTACGATTTAGGTTGTCAGACTAAGGAAAGTATGAGGGTAAGTTAGTTACTTTCTACGATTTAGGTTGTCAGACTAAGGAAAGTATGAGGGTAAGTTAGTTACTTTCTACGATTTAGGTTGTCAGACTAAGGAAAGTATGAGGGTAAGTTAGTTACTTTCTACGATTTAGGTTGTCAGACTAAGGAAAGTATGAGGGTAAGTTAGTTACTTTCTACGATTTAGGTTGTCAGACTAAGGAAAGTATGAGGGTAAGTTAGTTACTTTCTACGATTTAGGTTGTCAGACTAAGGAAAGTATGAGGGTAAGTTAGTTACTTTCTACGATTTAGGTTGTCAGACTAAGGAAAGTATGAGGGTAAGTTAGTTACTTTCTACGATTTAGGTTGTCAGACTAAGGAAAGTATGAGGGTAAGTTAGTTACTTTCTACGATTTAGGTTGTCAGACTAAGGAAAGTATGAGGGTAAGTTAGTTACTTTCTACGATTTAGGTTGTCAGACTAAGGAAAGTATGAGGGTAAGTTAGTTACTTTCTACGATTTAGGTTGTCAGACTAAGGAAAGTATGAGGGTAAGTCAGTTACTTTCTACGATTTAGGTTGTCAGACTAAGGAAAGTATGAGGGTAAGTTAGTTACTTTCTACGATTTAGGTAGTCAAACTAAGGAAAGTATGAGGGTAAGTTAGTTACTTTCTACGATTTAGGTTGTCAGACTAAGGAAAGTATGAGGGTAAGTTAGTTACTTTCTACGATTTAGGTTGTCAGACTAAGGAAAGTATGAGGGCAAGTTAGTTACTCTGTGCGATTTAGGTTGTCAAACTAAGGAACAAATTAATATGTGCAAAAGGAGATAGAAAGGTTGTTTTTTTCAAAATAATCAATTTCTTAAGATTTTAAAGATGTGTGTGCCTTTGGCGGCCAAAATTTAATATTTTAAATCGCAAAAACCTTTCCAGGGGTATTCTCAACAAATTCCCTAAGTTAATAACGATCGTATGAAAGGTGTATCAAAACACAAAAGGCAAACAGACACACAGACAGACACATGTTCATTTATATAGATAGACAAGGTCTCTGAAAATGTCTAAACGGCTTTACGTGTATGAGATAGCGCTGTTTATTGTTTCGGTCCACCTTCTGGGTGATACGGAAAAACGGCTCGCCCAAGTTAGCCGAGTACTTGTCAAACAAGATGGCCGCGATCCTCGACTCAGTAGGCTTCCACTGCTCATTGACCGTCGGCCAATCGGTTTTCAGAGACTCCAGGTATGCTTTGAACGATGGAAGTTCGTCGTTGG